TCTGAAGTACCCATGAGGCCACCCGACAAAATCGATCTTGACTCTATGTTTGAAAAGCTCAAATTTCTCTTGTTAGAATGGTATTCCCTATTTCAGTCTAATTATGTATAATTATGTGTGATGATGCTTTCCAAATGATTTCTAAAAGACTCCAAAAGTTGATGTTGATGCCTCACCAGTCTTCAAATCAATTTTATGTCAAATCTACTTTATGTCTATTTTATGTTAAGTTTATTTTTAAATGTTGAGTCATGTCTACTTTAAAGACAAAATAGTTATTTTTCTAAAGTAACTTTATATCAAGTCACTTGTAAGATCATGATTTTAATCATGACTTCGTCCTATTAGATCACTATTTCTTTACTCTTTATATGTATAAATTGTGTGCTCCTTCTGCCAAAAGGAATATAAAAAATCTTTCCTAAAAAGTTCTTCGTTGTAAGAAATCCTTCTTTATAAACTACATCTAGCTAAAAAAACTCTCTTCTTTTTTAGTAATTCCTTCCTCCTTCTATAGTTAAAGTTTCAGTTTTGTGTTTCTTCTACCTATTCCGTTGTTTGCAGTGATATAAGTTAAATATGCTCTGCAGTTGCCACATTTATGGGTGTCATGGACTTGCATGAAATGTTCGGAAAGGCAGGTCATAGTTCTATGATCGTACTTTGTGCATGAATATCTTTAGCTTTCAATTGTTATTAATATGATCCTCATAAGTTATTGACTTTTAACATTTTTAGGAGGTAGTGCTGAAACTCTCTGCATTGCAGCGTGAAGCTCTATGTGGTTACATTATGTATGGTTTTGTTTGATGTCGCCTGGAAGCTGATTTGGTCAGAATTTCAATTGTTTTGTATTTTGGCTGTTGTTCCTGACCTTATTCTATCTTTTGATGTTTTCCAGGGAAGGAAGATTCTTACTGGTGGTGGTCTAAGAGAGTCTGAGGGGAACTTTTTGCAGCCCACAATTGTTGAGATTTCTCTGAAAGCCGACGTTGTTAAAGAAGAGTTGTTTGCTCCGGTTCTTTATGTCATGAAATTTAAGGTAGCCTCTTCTTCACAAATTTCCTCTTTTGGGGTAGGTTGATGGCGGCTAGCCCTGTTCATAGGATACACTTTATACAAATTCTGTCTTGTTTTAACGATATCCATGGAGCTGCTCTCTGAAAACCATAACTAATTTTGCCGACTTTGAAAGAAGCAATTGAAATGAACAATTCTGTTCTTCGAGGACTTAGCAGTTCCATCTTCACACGTAAACCTGAAATCGTCTTCAAATGGATTGGGTGGGTCTCTCTACCTGGTGTCTCATTAATCAATAAATTATTTAGTTCCTATTTATCTGTGTCGCCAGCTTGAAACTTTAGATCATTGTTATTCCTATGGCATTATAATTTATAAATCATGCTTCTCACCTAATTACATGTGCAGGCCTCAAGGAAGTGACTGGTATTGTATGTGAACATACCAACCCATGCGGCTGAAATAGGTGGTGCTTTTGGTGGCGAAAGGGCTAGAGGAGGAGGCCGTGAAGCTGGAAGTGATTCTTGGAAGCAGTATATGGGATGCTTAACCTGGTAAACTTGATTATGAAATCCAATACCTCTTATTTACATCCTTTTCATTGCTATATTGAATAGTTGCCATAGACAAAGATGAGTTCAGCATTGTGCATATCTTCAAAAGTGGGGTTCAGTGTTTGATAATCTTCCATTAACTTTCTGAATGAACCATTTGTTTGATGTATTTGGCAGCATAATAAATTACGGGAACGAGTAACCTCTCGCACAAGGAATCAAATTCGGCTAGGAATGCCACATGGTTAAGCATGTATTAACCATTTTCACATAGCATTATACTTTTCTTGTTACTTTCTCGTGTTTCATTTTCCTGCATGCAGGTTCAGGCCATACGAACCAGTTTTACATCTGCAAAATCGACAATGCCAACCTTCTTGTTTTAGACCGTAGATTGGCTCAGAGATCTTCTATGCTATAGACTGAGCTTGGATTCACATAATTGATTAATTGTGGCCTAAAAACGTGAATAATAACATATATAGAATAAACGAAAGAAAGAAAAAAGGCCTGCAATCTTCAAATGGCATAATGTCCCTATGCCTTGTAATGAAAAATTCAATGAGGGTTAAAACAATCTTGTTTTTTCAATCTGCAGGTCTAGTGTATCCGCTGTACACTTCTATAATGATTCTTATTATCAAAGAACAGGGTTTTGTTTCTTTATTTTTCCTCAAATAGATTTGTTATTTTGCTTCTAATTCTCACTTTGATGAAAAATTGAAAGAAAAAAAAAAAAACCCCACAGTTGGGATGGGTTTGAATTGATATAAAAATCTGTCCTGACTCATAGATAATTAGCAGGTGGTAGTTAAAAAAACAACTGATGGATCTAACAAAGAATGAAATATAGGAATTACCACTATTTTTTTCTATTTAAATTCAATAGCCAACTTGGGTTTTAGTCATTGGAACAGAGGATGATATTGAAATTATCCTTCTTATCCGTACAATAATTTAGGAGTAATAAAAAAATAGCATAATATAAAATGAAGATTTAGATGAACAAGAACAACTATTGAGCAAATCTGGAAAAAAAGACAAGCTGTTTAATTATTGGATTTATATAGATCTTGTTTTTGGAGGTTTTGGATGGCTTTACTATTAAAAAATTTATCACTTCATAATGAAATAGATTCTCATTATAAATCCTTAACCACGGGTTCAAAGATATCTTAAGTAACTAACTAATCACAAATATAGAGATAATGACAGTTAATTTTGTTGCTGTTATATTCTCTCTCAGCCTAGCTGGTGTCTCATAGGAAATATATCCATTCTGCAGTAGGTGGGAAATTTTGGTCTTTAGGAAAATATAATTAACTCTTAATCATCGAATTAAAAATAAAATAAGAGGATTATTAACTTAATTGGGGAGAAAATACTTCACTTTAAGATCTTCATCTCATAAAATGAACAATTAATCAATTATCAATTAGCCTTTATATTTTTAAAAAAATCACAATTTAAAAATAAAAAATTATAGATGCTGAAAATTTATCAATTAAGTTTTATATTTTATCAATTATTATTACATGAATGGAGAGACCTGGAGGGCCAAGACCATCTGATGAATAACAATTAGTGGTCTACATGCCCAACAAAGCATAAGCATAAGTATCCCTTGATGGGATTGATTTAACCTTTGTTTTTTGGCAAATGAATTTATGAAATTGGGAAGATAGCTCAATTTTTTAAACCAATTATAAAGACAAACAGAATATTTAGAAGAAACCCTTTTTTTTTTTACTACTTTTCCATTCATTCCAAAATTCCTGCTTTTTTCCAAAATCCATATCTTGCAAAGACCTCACTTTGTACTTTAGGAGAGTGAAAAGTGTGGACAAAAAATGTATACCCTATTTCTGATACCAAATCTCCTTTGCAACTATTTTAATATTTTGTTTTATCAAAGAAAACAAACCAATGTTTTAATCTTGATCTGCATTAATTTAGACCAAAATAAACATTTGACAAGTGAAGAAGATTGGTGGGATCCATGTCTGAGTCAGATGATCTGTCCATGATGGACCCGATCAGAAGTCTATATCCTATTTGTTGTCTTCACTTAACAACCATGCACTGAATGGAACTTCTGTGTGTCAAAGGGTTAACAGAGCAGAGCTGTCCACAACTGGTTCTAAATGTTGCTGTCTTGGTTGTCACTGCTGCAACAATGGTGAGGATCTTCAAATCTTATTGAAGGCTTTTATCTATTTATCAGTGGGATTCAGACAAGACAAACTTTCCCATGTTTCTTGGCAGGCATTTTACCTTTTTTTACAACATTTTTTGTTACCGCTATAAAAGCACAATCTTGCTAATGATTTTTTTTCAGGAATATCAGCTTCTGCTTGAAGAGTTGAGTTACATTCCAGTCCAAATCTTGCATTTCTATGGTTCATACAGGGTGAAGTTGCTGTCTAAATGTTATTAATACAATCATATTTTTATACTACACTATTGTTTAAACATTTCCAGCCATCCAATCATACTTTTTTCCGAGTCATGCACCATTCAAAATCCCTTCCACTTTATCATCTACCATGATGAATTTTGCCCCACCCCTCTCCCATGAAGAAGAAATCTCAGGAAATGCACTAAATAAGAGTTGAATATGATGTTTAGCTCAATTGATGTATGTAATTATTTTTTAAGAGGTCATATTTAACAAGTTTGAAATTCAAATCTCAACATCTACAATTTTTTTCGTTATTACCTCTTACTTATCCAAAATAAATGCACTAAATAAGAGTTAATATATCATTCCGTTCATGCTAAAACTTTAGAAATTGTCATTCGATCTAATTTTTCATGTTTGGCTGTAGACTGCCTTTAGACGAATGATTTGAGCTCGTGGAATGCACTTCCTTGATTTGGAATTTGCAGTGTCTATCTCGTAAGAAAATGCCATTAATGGCATCTCAAGGATGAATAGAATCACACATGGGGAATCATGGTAGATTTCCACTATTAAATAATTCCATGTTACTCTTGAATTTATGTACAACTCAACTTTGGAATTATATTCTTCCATCCAGTCATGCAAATCCCAAACCATATATCAATTTTTCTTCAATCTCTTGTCAACAGAATCTTAGATTTCAGGTCATTTTTTTAACAATTAAGTTGAAAAAAAAAAAGAATTTAAACAAAGCTTTTTCCTTTTGAATACTACTACTAAACATGAATATCATTAGATTTTCGCTTTTGACCAACATAATTTTGTGTTCAATGTCCAAAAATCAGGGGCACCAGAAACAATAAAAAAAAAGGACCTCAAGTTCATAAGCAACATTTGCAAAACCCCAAAACTGGCAACAAGTTTTCCACTTAAAATATGTTTCAATTTGATTAAAAAAAAGTTCAAATTCCATTGCAGTATGCTTCTTCAAATTTAAATTCAAACTACTTTCAATTAGTCTGTAAAAAACTTGTCCTAAACATAATGTAAAGTTTGTTGTTATGGTATCAACAAGCAGATTCAAAGAGTGGAAAAGAGAACTGTAATTATTTCTAACGACAGAGGAGTTCTATATTTGATATTAAAATCTACATAAGCTTCTAAGTCTAAACTTAAACATCAATTTCTTTTGCTTTTGACTCTCTTTTTTTTTTTTTTAATCAATGACAGACTTATAAAAAAAGAGGAACTTGAATCCAACTCTTTCAACTGCCAGAAACATACATATCTGGCCAAACATAAGCCCTTTCTCTTTGTTTGCAGCACATCAACGTTCATTTCCATTCTCTTTATTACCTTTCCATTGTCTCTTACAGATACCTCTATCAACCAGAAAGGGTAGGGAAACAACTTTCAGACCGAGTAAGCCCTGGACCCCGAATTTCACCAACCTTTCTGGTAGGACTAGCTGGGGTTGATCTTAAACCTCTTGGAGAATCCAAACTCCTTCTAAGAATACTTCTCATAGCAGATATCAAATGAACTGTAGGATCAGGAGGCGGTCCGGAGGAAACAAATTTTTGGCAAAAATTCATGTGCCTTGCCATTGCTTCCTCCGTACTAATAAGCCTTTTTGTCCTTACAATCTCATATTTGACAGCTTCAGCACAAAGACCACATATCCATTTACCTTGGTATCTTTCGCGTACCCTTTCAATATATCCTGGGGTACACTCCTCGGTCAGTCCACAGCAATCACATTTGGCAAACTCAACTTCACTTTGTGCAACAAGTTTTGCTGACGGTGCTTGAGCTTCTGGTCCTGCTGCTGATACCACCATTGGATCACTGATTATTGCAGCAGACATTGTCAATTGCCCTGTTAAAAAAAAAAATAGAACAAACATAAATAAGGCGAATAAATATACCTGTAACTTGGGTTTCTGTCCAGTTTTATTTTATTTTCTCCCTTAAACTAGAAAAATTTTTCTTTTTGGCTTCAAGCTTTTGTTTTGATGTGAACATGGTGAAGAAAAAGCAATTGTCATAATAATCTTAATGCAGCTAATAACAATCTGTAGTTTCATTTTCAATTTAAACTGGAGAAAGCAGAATATAACCTATGAATTTCCTACTCCTACATCAACGATCATTGATCAAATAATAAAAAGCAAACTCCTGGAAATGACAAGAATAAAACAAACAAAAAAATGTGTTAAAAAAAATTACCAGCAGAGAAGAAGATGAAACAAAACTTTGGGTTCTTTTTCTTATTCAAAATTCTCCCTTTCTACTTCTACTATGGCTTTTTAAGGCAAATTAAATGTTTTTATTTCTATTATCTCTCCTTCTCCCACTCTCCTTCTTCCAACTTTTCTTCAGTGAAGAAAGTCTCACACATGAAAACCATTTCCTTGAAACCTTCCCTTCTCTTCGTTTTCTTTCTTTATTTCTTTTCTGGTTTTCCTTTAAAGAACTGTACAAAAACCTCAAAGACCCCTTTTTTTATTACTTTGAAAAAACCCCAGATACCCAAATCTTTGAATGAACAAAAAACCAAGAGATTGCTTTTTGTTTCTGTTCCACGTAATTCTACCCTCAAAAGCACTTATAAATAAAATAAAATTGAAAGCCAATTTCTTTTTTCCTTCCTTTAGATAGAAAGAGAGCCCAATGATTGAAGCAATAAGGGGGCGGACTCTAGTATATTTCACGTCATCAATATTTGCTTGATATTGACTGCCAATGAATGAGTCTGCCCGTTCATCTCTCGATTGCCAGTTAAGCATCATATCTTTGGAAGACTTCCTTTTCATTTCTGTCTCAATTTCTGCTTAATTTAAGGTAGATTTATAAAAATTATATATATGAAATTTATATAATTTAAAATTATTTAATAAAAATGAAAAATATATACTATATTTAACATATTAATATAAATTATAATACAATAATTTTTATATTTTATATATTTATACTAAATTATCAGGATAAATTTGTATCTAAGTCTAATTTAGGAAATGGGAAAGTTGTCAGCTGTTTTTTCCATCTTTGGACCAATCATATTTTGCCACGTGCATCCAAAACGTGTAAGGGACAACTTTGAGGATGTCCCCTTGAGCATATTTGCTTAGAAAGTTAGTATAAATAAGTAAATAAAAATACTAATGGTTATTATTTGTCGTATCAGTACTTAATTAAGATGATTAGCAATAATTATGGTTTAAACTTTACGGTGTTTGCTGTCGTTTTATTTGGTGGACAAACTAATTGTTCTTTTTTTTTTATAGTTTTGTTTTGAGTTCAAACATTGTCAAACCGTGCATTGTTTGGTTTTGAATTCTTAAACCCATTTTCAACACTAATTAAAATGCCTATTAATTAGCCTTATCATGATGTTCACAAACAAATCTCTTTTTTTCTTTGAAAAATTACATTGGGATAGAAAAGTATTTTCATTAATATTTTTATTGCTAAATGAAAAAAACCAGACCAAGCAGGATTCTTGAAGGCGCCCATCCTTTGGATGAATATTATTTTTGTTTGATTTCTAGAGTTTTCAGTTCTGTCTCTTTGCACAAACGAGATTAATAATCATATAATTTATTAATAAAATGTTAAATTTTTTATTTTATTGATCAAAAGTTAATTTATGACAAACTCGAGTTTTAAAAAAATGAGGCAAAAATTTTTTTTCCAAAATCACTTCAATTTCCTTTTTTTTTTCCTACATTTAGATTATCATTTCATTTGTGTGTTTATGACAATCAGTTTATCTCCTAAAATTTCTAATTTCTCAACCAAAACAGAAACTAGAAAGAAAAAAGAAACATTTCCTGTCCAAAGATTAAGTTATATATTTATGTCAATTGAGGTAGCTAATTAGCTCCCAAGGACCACAAGGGAAAGTTGCCTTGAATCTAGACGGTATAGTAAGGTTGGGACTTCAACCAAATGTAACGTGCACATTTGGGGTTTGACATAACCTTGAGTTAATTAATGTCAGAAGAAAAAAAAAAAACCTTGAGCTAAAAATGAATAAATAAAACCCATCATTTAATTGTCTTAAAACTTAAGAAATATGTTTCTTTTTTATGAGAATTGAAAACACTAGTGTTTAAATTTAAAATTTAAATCGGCTTCCATCTTACTAATTCCCTTAAATAGAATCAAACGTTAAATGCAGTGAAAGAAGCGATTTTGAGGCATCAATCATGTGATTTATACTGTATTTATTTCACTTTTTAAAATTCGTAATTTATTTTTAAATTTTCTTACTTTATTATTTATCCAGTTAAAAAAATTATTATCCATATAAATTTTCTTTAAATGTCAATTTTAATAATAAATAATATATATATATACGCGATTGAAATCTATGGTCATTTTTACATTAAAAAGGAACATTGAAGTTAAGTTGAAAATTAATGTTGCTAGTAAACAAAATTCATCGAAAATTTTGTCTGAATTATTATATTTTTGGAAGGAAACTAAGGGAGGAAATGAAACATGTAGTAGGCAAGAGGAAGTGGAGTCATCATACCTTCAATTATTGGTTTGGTTTGAGTAGCAGTGCAATTTACGCAACCCCGGCCTTTCCTTCTCTTAGTCCCCACTCCCCATTATTATTATTATTATTTTTGCCTAGCACGAGGAGGTATACCTTGATGACGATTCTTCATGGTAAGAACCCCCCCCCCCCTTCGATCACCCCTCACTCACACCTCAAAACAATAAAGTTTTGGGTTTAATTAATAAAATACATGGACCAAGCTTTCATAAATATTGACAACCCACCCCCACATGAAAATCTTCTCTTTCCTTCACTCATTTTTTTTTTTTATAAAAAAAAAATTTTTAATATGAGACTAAAAAAAGAGATTATAAGTGTTAAGATTTAAAATTCATTTTTGTTTTTTTTTTTATGACAAACAAATGAGAGAGAGAGAAAGGGAGGTTGATGGAAGTGTGCTGGGAGCTTTGAATTGGCTCACATGGGGCAACAGGGCACGGCCTTTTCTTATTTTGTGTTCCCATGCATGCTTCACATGCATTTGTCTAAGCCATTTTCTTATATGCGTTTCATATGTCTTTGACGATTGAAAAACATTGGTTTTGATTTGTCGATGATTTTAGACTCGGAAACAGCTCTTACCTCCCATAGCCATTGTCCTTTTGGTGTTTTTTTCAACATTTTGTGAACTTAGATGAACTGTTTTTTTCATTGTGTTTTCTACATTAACCCTATTTGTATATAAGCTTGATTTTGTTTTTAGGTCAATCAAAAATTAAAAATTAAAACAATGACGTGAAGGATGACATATTGATTATTAATCACAAATTAAATATATATATTGAGAAATAATAGATAAGGATTACGTGTCATACACTAGTACTGTTAATTATTAATTTAGTGGTAATAAATTATTATTATTATTATTATTATTATTATCCCTTGATTTGATAAATGCGCCTTCAAGCATGTTCATAATCGTATATCATTGATGGTCATAGGCCAAATTAAATCTATCTTTTTACTACTGTTCAAGAAAAGTTGACTAATGGTCTATGTTTTGAAATAAAGAGCTCTTTAAATTCATACCGTTTTTTCTTTTTCTCCTTTTATTTTTTTCATCAAATTAATTTATTTTGTATGATTTAAGCATGAATCATATATATCATAACGAATTTTTCAAAAATTTGTGTTTTTCTGGTGATTTGTAAAAGAAAAAAAGAAAATTTTATGAAAAATAGGTTTTTGGGAGCTAGAAAACGAAAAATGGAATGACAATCGACAAATGCATTTGTTTTTGTCTGATTGCCAGTTTCTTATTTTTAAGAAAAGCTTTCTTAATAGCCTCAAAGACTTTTATTTTTTCAGAAGCTGCAGTTTAAGGGAAGTAAGAAATGAAAATTGTAAACGTTAAAAATCGAATTTTAATTTTATAAAAAAAATTAAAAAAATATATAAATTATTTATGTTAATCTCCAAGTTTCAAGTTCAAAGATCTTGATTCTTTGTATAAAAGAATACAAGCATAAAACTAAAAACTCAATTATTTTTTTATTTTTCAGTTATAATTTAGCAAAATTTATGATTAAGAGAGAATCCATATTCCTTTTAACCTTCTCCAAGTTTTTCTGCATAATCTTCCTTCACAAAAATTTTAGACATGACCATTAAAAAATAGTAGTATAGTAGTAGAATTTTTCTTTCATATTTAAGGAGGGGAAAGAAAATTTTGTCATGCATTAAATTAAGTTCATATTTTTGATATGACAGAAGTTTATTAATTGATTAATAAGTTAAATCAAACATTAACAAAGTGAATAAAAAAATTAAATACTACATTATAAATTGTGCATCCTATGTCTTTCTATATATATATATATATATATATATATTATATGTATATGCAAAAAATATGCTACAAAGTTGTTGGAAGTTATTTTCAACGAGTCTAAATCATGTTGCATATCAATTATCAACATTAAAGAACTTCATTAAAAAGCAACTAAAGTTGAGAGACGATCCATGTTTTAATTATCACACAAAAGAAAAAAAAAATTAGAAAGCCAGATTAATAATAGAAACACAGATATACGTCGATGTGAACTGATATAAATCTTTGGTTGCACAAACTTAAGATCCTTTTAGTTATGTGGTGAGAAATTTTTAAGAATGTGGTTGATTGGAAGGAATTTATAAAATTTTTTAAAAATTTTGATATTGGATATTTGATTCAAAATAATTCAATTACGAGAGAAAATTATAGATTTCGAACAATATCTAAAGTTTCGAAATAAGAAACTTACCTCTCCCTATAGTATTATAGGATTCTATTATAAGATTCTAAGAAAAAAAACTATCTTATTTTCAAATTTAATCTGAATAAAAAATTATAAAATAATTGTTATACTTTTGAAAAATATGTTTGAAAGTAACTGTAACTCAATTGTAAATTTTTGTTGCTAAAAATATTTTTATATTATAATTAATAATGTTTGACATAAAAAACGCCTTAAATAATTTATCATTTAAGGTGTTTGAGTTGAATAATATCATAATTAATGATCATTTAACAAAAAATACCTTAAATAATTATCAATTATGTCGTTTTTTTTCTTAAAATGCCTCAAATAATCCTTGCATCAATTACTTAAAGCGTTTTTTCAATTGAAATATCTTAATTGATAATTTAAAACAATTTTTTTTATTTTCATATATCATAATGTTATAACATGATTTTTTTAAACACATCTATAAACAAACGATTCAAACGTTTGTATGAAAAAATACCTTAATTGATTATCACATATTTAGATTTGGATTTTCTTTTTAATCCTGGGTTATGACCAAATATCAATTGGCTTTTGATTTTGGATTTGACTTGAAATTCTAATTTTATTTTTGCAACTCTCTTGCTTTTCCCTATTTGATTTGCTGTAAATAGTCTAAAGAAAAGGGAACGAAGACAGTGAATATAGAAACAAAAAAAAAAAATTTCAACCTTGTTTAATTTGATTGCTTAATCATTACTTAATTTTTGCCTTTGAGGTTTTTTTTTCACTCACCATTTTTTTCTACTTGAAGTTAGGACTCGAGAATTATTTATATATCTCAACCATTTCTATATCTCACTCTGTAAAAAATTAACGGCGAAAAACCTCTTAATACTAAAATTTGACATCTTCATTTCTGAGTATGAATTTGAGAATAAAATTAAAATGCATGCACATGTATTTCGAAAATTTTATGTGATCGATTGATGTGGATCAAGTTCGACAAAGAATGTTCATTTGCAAAAAATTTAAAAAAAAAAAAAAATTTCTATCTTATTTTAAGTGTTCACCTTTTTTCAAGATGACTCAAAATAAAGTATTTTATTTTTAAATACCTTATATTTTTATTTTTTCCATTTTAAAATTTATTTTACTTTTAACAGTAAAAAGCATAATAAATTAATATTATAAAAATGAGATTTATAATATTAAATGCATAAAAATAAAAATAAAAATCTTAAGTTACTAATATGCATGAAAATTAAAAAGAAACACTTAAAATGAAATGTAGAGATTTTTTTTCTCCTAGATTAACTTAAAATCTTCCACGTGACTATGAAAACAAGGAAATCAAAAGCTTTGATCACGTCCGAAGGTACTAGACTGTAAAGAGAGAGAGGTGATAATTAATGAAGAAGACACATTAATAAAAGCTTCGGTCTATTTTCAATAATGGACATGAAATTCATCCGTCACTCATTAACCTAAGTTTAGCAGTGGTCTGGTACGTAGGGGGATTATAGATAATAATATCCACAAAAATTTTCATCACAATTAATGTGTTGAACCATTTGCAAGAATCAATTTCTGATTCTTAAATCAGAAATTATCTAATAAAATATTTTAATTTTAAAAAATGTTAATAAATATTTAAATTATAAATTTATTAAATAATATGATATTTAGAAAAATTATATATCAAAAATAGGATTAGTTCATTAGTCAAACGGATTCTATAAGGATAAAAATTATTAATTTTATTTTTTTAACTATATTTAAAGAATTTACTTTAAATACTTTTAGAGTTGATATTTTAACATATATAAAATGATTTCCAAAATAATTTGTTCTCAGCCAAAAAATAAGAGAAAGAAAAAACAAATTTTTACCTATGAGACTACCTCTCCAGTGTATCCACCATGATTCTGATCATTCAGAGCTTGATCCTCCTCAAGCTCCTTTATTAGCTTTTCTATCTGTCTTCTGTAAATAGGCATGAAATGATCACTAATCATGGTTTGGGAAAGCCGCAATTTACTATACAGAGATCTCGGTGTAAGGAAAATCCCAATCCTAGTCTCCATTGTCCTTTGGCCATTGTCAGTATCAATTGAGGTGGAAGGATCACCTTCCCACTCCACCGCATCAGAGTGAAGTGTAACAATATGCATTATCTTTCCGGCAGGGAAAAACCTGTGCACTTCCTTTGTTTCTGGAACAGAGCTAGCTGGCTGGCCCTCGCCAACCTCTGCAATGGCTGCTGCTTCTTCTTCCCTTATTTGGTTAGCAACATCAGCCTCCTCACCTTCGGTTCTATCATAAAGCTCATGCTCTAGTTGTTGCCACAACTCCACTTCATTCATGCGGTCTCCATTTGAGTGGTGGCTTATAAGATCCTCAGCATCATCCAGATTAGCATCCCTATCATGGTGTGGTTCATCGGAACACGAACACTCATTTTCCGAAGTCCATTCAACTCCTGAAGACACAGGAAGTCCAATGTTTTCTATTGTACTTGAAGATGAGTTTCTTTGGGGTGATGTTAGAAGAGGCTCAGACGTTTCTGCTTTATTGGGGGAAGATTCTTGTGAACTTCCCTCTTCCTTTGAGTTTGAGCCAGCAGCTGTGCCACGATGACGAGGTCCAATGCATGACCAAGAGGACAACTTTATGGCAGGACGAGTCCATGCCGCCTGAGCCATGCTCTGGGCTCTTCTCATCACGACCTGCGAATAACAAAAACAAAATTGAACATACACGGGCATTTGAGCTATACTTAGGGGCATAAACTACCAAAACTCAACCAAAATTTTTAGAGACAATCAAAAAGTGATCAAATACAAACGGTGACTTAAGCTCAGCTAGAATTAAGGCCAAAGAGATGAAAAATAACTTCGACCTCCAGAGACAAGAAACGATTTTTTAGGTAAATTCAGCTTGAAAACTTTTAAAACATAAATGACAGGATCTGGTAAAAAGGCTTAATGGAGAAGCAAGAACAAAGATATCAGTTATTCAGCTACCTGTGTACCATTAGAAACTGGGCGCAAAATTGCCCCAGCCCCAGCAACTTTTGCTTTAGCACTGGCAATGGATGGAAGACGAGAACCCAATGCCGAGGCAGATCTATAAACAGTACTCAGAATTCTTGTATGCTCAATTTGATTCCTCAGATCATTCAGCCAAGCAGATGCCGTCACCTGAAACAGAAAAAATAATTTCTTCAAGAACATATTACATAGCCCTGAAGCAAACTAAATAGACACTGTCCAGAACAACATTTCAATAAAATCAGTTGTGCCAAGCTCCTAAAACTTGTCAGCTACCAAAAGCTGCAAACAATGTCAGCCAAGTCAAAGTAAATGTTCAGTACAAATGTTAATGTTATTTGTTTGAATTTCTAAAGGGGATTATCAAACAATTCCACTGAGGAAGAGGACCATTAAACCACAATACAAGAAAGGGGGGGGGGGGTAGGAGAGGAAGAAACAGGAAGAGAGGCAGACAATTGACAGTGACTTGTTGAGGCCAGTAAGAGTTAGCAAGCTAATTGCTAATTTGTTATTAAGGGCTCTAAAATCATTCTGCTATCTTTATCTGTGCACGCACATAATCATTCCATTACAAATTATTACTCTTCTTTGAAAGGAAGGCAACAAAAGACTAAAGGAGAGCAGATATATTTACTTAACTAACTCTAGAAGCATATTAAATAAGGTACTTATGAGTTCTGCTAACAGTTAAAATATTTTGTCATCCCTGTCTCTTCAAAATGAGTAAGTAATACAATTCCTAAATAACACCCATCAGGAATGTTACCTCAGCACGCAAATCGTCCACAGATGCAGCCGAGAATGTAGGCACTAAGTCTGCTCCGTTTATAACAGAAGTAATAAAATCAGTCCCTGATTCTGCTAACTCCCATGTCATACAAGCAGCTGCATGCAGTATATATATAGTCAGTTTTATACCTACATTCAAGGAATGAAGGTATCACATTAACCACACCTCCTATGGGTATCGTACTATATTGCGGCAAAGATGTTCTCATATATGGCTATGTAAAGAGGCATCTATTCTAGAAGGCTAACAGTGGAAGGAGAGCACAAACCTGGAGCAAATGTGACACAGGTAGTTGTTGATAACTCCTTTTGCTCCCGCAGCACATAAGTTAAAAGTGCACCAGTGCCTCCCCCCAATGAATGCCCTACAATCTGTTAAACCAAATTGAACAAGTCTATTAATTTTAGAAAAATTTTAACCATGTAGATTAGTTCCCTTTGAAAATATTTAAAAGGTAATAATATAGTCATGGATGATGGAATTTTTCTTAATTAGTATTAGCTGCATTCTCATCAACGTCAAGCAAAGATATAGACAGAATAATAACCACAGGAAGAAAATACGAATATAAATTGCAAATTATGCCTTTACCTTAATTTTATAAGTTGGATATTTACCAAGGGCTTTAATAAGACAAGGAGTAGCAAGCTTTGCTATCCACCGAGCAGCTGCTACCATTCCACAATGTGCATAACCTAAAACTAAATCGCTCACTCCTCCCTCTTGCACAACAGTGTGATGAAATGGAACTACAGCTCCAGTTGCAGCTGTCAGAGTATCCTTGATACTATGTGTTCCACGAATTAATAGAAGAAAACATTTTGTTTTATGGTCTACTAATATTGTAAATGCAGGCTTCAAAATCTGCAAGATGTAAATGCATAAGATTAATCATGAATTTCAAAGTATATTGACAGTAAAATTACATTATCATACCTCCAAAATTGACTAAAATATTAAAAATCTATGCACATAAAGAATCCAAAAAAGTGGGGGCAAATCAATGGAAATATCACAATTTCAAGTGCAGATGGGACTTACTCCTGCTTTGGGTTCTTGGAGAAGAACATCTTCCTCATCATAACCAGTCTCCTCCAAAAATAAAGGAAATGGTTTTTTTGAAAAATGCCAACACAGTGTCAACAAGTTTAACAAATATCTAAGTTCAGCGGTTATATCTGGTCCTTTGAGATCAATGCTATCTTTACCACCAAATACACTTGCAACATGCATATGTCCCTGAAAAAAAAAAATCATAACCATATTGTATATAGGGGCAATATAAAAATAAATCAAACAGATAACAAATATTAAGAATTTCTTTTTATAAACACAGCTTCGTGTAAATATGTATAAGGACTGATCTAGCAATTTGATTAAAGACTACAAGAAATTCCAGAAGGAGGTAAGATATAATTTTAAGATTTATAAATAACTCAATGAGATAAAAACAAACCATTATACAGAGAGTGTTAAAACTATATGAAAAGGAAGTGTTGGAAACAAAGTGCTCAATGATGCTTGTAACAGGATGCAGCAGGTTTACAATGAAATACCGCTTAAGTGTTTAGACATTATACAACTACTGCTGTTGTACAGACATGATAGGTCTTGACTCCTAGATTTGAAAAACGTGCACAGTTTAACAAGCCACAACACCAATAATGAGATAAAAATAAACTGAAGTCTTTGCACTGTATTCAGCCTTTCAATGAAAAATCTTCCCCATAAAGTGAAATCTCAACATTAAAATATGCCTACAAGGATCTAATCACAGATTAGGTACATGATGGTAGGGGCACAATAACAGGATTCAGAATTCATGATTCTGATAAAACTAACATTTCAAAAACACTGTAAACTAGAAAGTTCAATGAAAGTAAATAAGAACTAATTATCCCAAAAAAAAGGACAGTAAATAAAAATTAAATGGAAGACAATGACGTAATTTGACAGAAAACAGAAGTAACAGAAACCAATAAAATAATCATGGCATTTACACAGTACAGCTACAATAAAGATCAAAGGACGCATACCTGCCTCTTCAATAAGAAGTTGATCCCAAAGGCCAAATCTCCAATGGGCCACTTCCCCAAAGTCTCAGAGTATGTAAACCTAAGAGTTTCAGACAAAGTAGAAATCGTCTCTAACCATGTTGCTGGAGCTTGAATTAATCTATGTGAAACACGCTCGATTCCTAAAGGAGCATTACTGGACAAATTGCTTCCACTTTCATTGTCATACTCACCAGACCTATTTGTCTGCAATTTACGATTCAATGTATAGTACAAAAGGGCAGCTGCACCGGCTGCAGTAGCCATGGTTGCAGTTGCCATGAGTTTATCCCTAAAAAAAGAAATTAAAAGCACAATTATAATTACCTCAGCCGAAGTCATCAACCTAAGAAGCCTGTAATATCATATAATTTGATTGAAATTCAATAAAATTCAAGTTCAAATATATATATATATATATATATATATACACACACATACATATATATATATACACACATACATATATATATATAAAGTACGAAATAGTGAATGCTTTGAAATAAAGAATAGACGGATCATGATCTCCAGAACTATAACCTTCTATTTGGCTTCTGTGAAAATTAAAGAAAATCGCTATTCAAATCCTATTTCTAATAGTTTAATTCAAATCCTATTTCTAATAGTTTAAGTCCTTCATCGCAATACAAAACTATAAACCTTGCTCACATATAATCTAAGAATTAAACCAAAAAAGAAAAAAATACGAAATTATTAAAAGAATCGAAAAATCATAACCTAAACATGAAGAAAATCTTGGAAAAGAAAACCATAATAATCCGTCAAAATCGGGAGATTGAAAATGAACGAACCTGAAGAACTCAATTTTCACTGAATTTTTCCGATTTATTACGATAACTACCTTCGTTTGTAAGGAATCAAATTGAAATATACTCAAAGCATCTCTGCGTAACTTCAAACTTCAATTTTCTTTTTTTTTTTTTTTTGGGGACGGGGGAAGGGGCTAATTATTGGAAATTTTGTGTAATTTCGTTTTAATGGAATACACGTGGGTGAAGTTGATTGGATGGAAGACATAAACTGAGTTTAATTAATGGCGGTCCTTTTTTTACCGAGATGTTCGTGGAATTGGTAGCTTTTAGGAATTGTACTTTTCCGGTCATTGTGTTCCTCTTCAAACGGGGAAGGAAAGGGCCTTCTTTGGCTTCAAAGTACAACGTTCGGATGCAGGATTTATTCAGATGTAACCGACCTAAGTTAACAAGGTAACTAGATAACTCCAGTTTTTTTTACTTTGAGTAAAAAATAAAAATTAGATTAAGACTTAAGACTCTTTTTTTTATTGTGTGAAAGATGAACCCATTAAATCAGTATCACTTGGCCCAAAATCCTTGGGCATAAGGTGTGGGCTAGGGGCTATCACATGGGCCATCTCCCATCTTCTTTAACATGACTAACCATAACTCAAATATGAATAAGATTAAATTAAATAATATTATTTTATTTTATATTTAATATATATAAAATTAAAGATAAAATAATTTATTTATTGATTAAAATTATTTTTATTTAAAGTTTACATAATTATTGATCAAAAAAAATTATATAATTTAAATTATTAATATAATTTTTAAAGGTATAATCACACATGCAATTCAATTCCATCGATTCAAAATAATCATATCTATTTTAGAACAATTGAATCATCTTATATCAAAAGTATAATTAATCCTCCTGATAATTTTATTTTTTTTAGATATAAATAAAAAATAATATAAGACGATTATAATCTTATTTTATATATCATTATACCAAATATGATCTAGATATATAATATTAAATAATTTATAAAGCTATTTGGAATTTTAGGTAATATTTAATTTCAGAAAATAGAGCTATTTTTTGTTTTTATTTTTCAAAAAAATAAAAATATGAGTGAAAACGTATTTGATAATTAAAAATTAAAACAAGATTTTTAAAATCAAAAATGAAAATGGGTTGAAATATAAAAATAAGAAAAGATAATTTTAATTGTAAAAACAAGTAGGGGTGAGCAAAAGTCGATTTGAACCGATTAGATCGATCAAAATTGAGTGAATTCAGTTGAATCGATTTGGTTTATTCGATTTTAATTATAATCGATTTTTTAAATCGATTAAATTGATTAATTCGGTCGATTTTCAGTTTTTAAAATTGATAATCGTACTGACCGAATTAATCGACTTTTTAATAATTAAAAATAAAAAAAATTGAGATAAATATTTTTATTTATTTTTTTTGGTAAAATATTGTTGAAATTATTAAATTCTTTAGTAATTTAGTTTGAATGATACTAGAGTTTGAATTTTATTGAATTGAATTTATAGTTAAATAATTATTCATAATAAGAATAAAATTAATAAAAAAAAATTTGGTTATTTAACCGAACCGAACCGATTTTGGTCGGTTCGATTATGATCGATTATTTAATAATATTTGATCGGTTCGATTATTTGTTAAATGAAAGTCGATTAAATCGGTTATTGATTTTTTCAAATCGAATCGATCGAATTGACCATTTATTTACCCCTAAAAACAAGGGATGTACATTTTTTTTTACGGTTTGCAAGCTATCATATTTAAATAATTTAAATAATTTTTAATGTTATTAATTAATAAATATATATTATATTACAATTAAATGACATTAATAATATTATTGAATATTTATTTATTTCATTATTTTTGCATTTAAGAAAACAATTTTTATTTTTATTTACCAAATATATTTTTAAAAAAATAAAAAATAAAAACTATTTTCTAAAAAATAAAAATAAAAACAAAAAATTGTTTTTCAAAAAGAAACGGAGCCTTATATTTCTTTTAATTCGTAAGTATTACTTTAATTTTCAATTTTTTATTCTCATGTATTGAGACAGGAATGACCTACAAAATAATTAATTTTGTTTTTGTTTATCTATCTTTTGTCTTCAGCGTGCAATTAATGTGTTCCATTACTTTATTCATTTTTATTATTTTAAATCGAACAAAATTATTTGAGTTTGAATTATCTAGTAGTTTAATAGGAAGCATACGAAGGGCTCATTTGGAACAATGATTAGATTTGAAACGAAATGATTAGTGTCTCCAATCGTGTTACACATGTGTTTGGTTAACAAAGACAGCACGACGGTATGGATTTTAAATGTGCGGGACCTCGAGTGACCAACTGGAGCCTCATAAGTCTAGTTAATAAACCACTTTTTTTTTTTAACGTTTTTATCCTTACAATTGTATTATAAAAACAAAACTGTCCTTACATTTCAACTTTTTTTTCATTTAAAAATTTTAAAATATTTTTTTAATGTTTATATCAAAACATAATTTTATTAATTTAATATAATAAAAAGATTTTCTCATATATTACTTTTTTATTAATTTTTAATTATTTAGTAATAAATTATTATTTGATATAAAATAATTTATTTTTAATAATTTATTAATTTTATAAACATTAAATAATTTAAAATTTTATTACATATAAATTCTAATTTAATGTTTTTATTGATCATTTCTCTTCTTATTCTAATTTATCTCATCTTTACTTTGCCTTTTATCCAAATACATATTTCTACTATTGATTTTAATCCCACCACTATAACAACTAATTTTACCTCCATCGTAATTTTTAATTTTATTGGAGTAAATCTTAAAAACAATTACAATAAGTTATTCTTCTTCTTTTTCATTATTTTAACTAGTTGCAATGTGAATTACTTTAGATATATATATATATTTATATACTTTTTAAACCCACAAGTTTAGTTTAAATCAAACTTTAGATATAATTTTTTAAACCCAAAATCAATCATATTGATTTAAAATATTTATTTTGTTAAAAAATGTTTTTATTTAATTTTTTTTTAACATTTTTATTATAAACAAATGAATTTATGTGAATGCAGTTTATGAATACTTTTAATAATAGTGTAAATTATATAAACTCACATTGTGGTTTAAGGCTAATTTAAAATGGTTTGTCTTTGAGATTTAAAATGTAACATTTAATTATCCTATGATTTGTTTTATTATTTTTGTTATTCAAAATCATGGTTTTTCTGTTATTTTCAAATATTTTTCAACTTCTGAATTTTTTCTATATTCAACACTGGATGGGGGAATGAATAGAGAGAAAAAACAATTACAAGCAAGAAATTGCAAAAAAAATTCTCTACGAGTAATGATTTATAGAGTTTCAAAATTGGTTTTATAATTTTTTTTCTAGGTTTAGTTTAAAAAGTAATTTGTCAATAGACTCAAAGGAAAAGGCAATTTGGGTATAACAATTAGTCTCAAATATCATAAATATGGTAGCAATAATGCGGGCATAAATAGCATAAGAAATCAAGTAGCAATAAGAATCAACAAACATTCAAGCAAAATCGACATCATAGCCCACACCAGCATCAATCTAATTAAGAGTCGAAGTCAAACACAAAATAGCTCAATTATCATAATCAAGCAGCTAACAAACAAAGCAAACAATTTTCAATAAATCAAAGCAATACACAAATAATTTAGCACACTTGAACCTTTAAATCTTGCACACAACTAAAAAACTCATACATGATACTTAGTAAATCCAAACTCAAAAATTGAACCCAAACTCGAATTAGCAAAAAACCAAAAAGTATAAATTCAACAAATCCATAATCGAAACATACAATCATACAAGCAATACACAAAAAATAAAAAAAAATTCCTTTTAAAATTTTTGGATGCTTTGAATTAACGGCTAAAAGGCTAATTGAGGGAATTAGATAGAGAAAAAAGAATGAGTTGTTGGATAAAAAATAAAAAAATAAAAAATTTGAAAATTACAGAAAAAGTTATGATTTTGAGCAAAGAAATCATATATATATATATATATATATATATTACAACATATATATATTTAAAGTTATCAAGTAATTATCTAATTAGATATTTCTTTTTGTAAGATAAAGGTATAAACACTATAATTTTAATATTATTATCTGATTAAATATTATCTATAGATAAAATTATTATTTAAATATATTTATAGATTAAAGTTTATTAATATTTAAATGAAAAATCAATCATATATCATATATAATATTATATTACAACGTACAATAATATCTTATAAGATTTGCTCACGTGTAATCCTATGTATACAATCTATTTTGATTACACATAAGATAGTTTTAAATATATGACCAAATAAACATTTTTGCATGACCATTTACATGTACAATCTATACATAAGATAATTCTTTAATTTTAATTATTTACCAAATAATTTTAAAATTAAAAAAATTAATTTTATTCAATATTTCAAATTTATATAAACCTTAATTTAAATCACAAAAAATCTCAACTAACTCTTATCATCAATTTATATTAAATACAAAATTTAAATGCTAACTTTTAAATATCAAATATTTTTCAATTAAATCATTATAGTTTTACTATCTTTTGAACTTTTTCCTATGTATATTACTTTAAATATTTGGATTAATTATATGTAAAACATACAAATTAAATATAATTTACATATATTTCTTTTAAAATAAAATTTTTCAATAATATACATATATGTCTTTTAAATTTGAAAATTCCAATATCTTCATAGATTTCCTCATAATCTTTTAATATTTGATTTTTTTTTTAAATTCAAACAAATTAAAATCACTTATTATATCTTTTATACTTTCAAAATCTTTTAATATTTTCTCGATTGAACTTGCATTGATTACAAATTAAATATAAACTATATATTTCCATATCTAAATAATCCTACAAGTATATTATTTTTATTCAAATTATTTTTTAATGCAAATTTCTTATTTTTTTAATAATTTGATCAATATTACAACTAAGTTAAGGTCTATCAATTATTTTTTTAGTTAATTTTATTTTCTAACATTGTTCTTTATTTTTAACTTTTTTTATTTTCTTCATATTTTGTAATTATTTTAATTATTTTTTATCAATATCACAGTTTTTAATCAGTAAAACAAATTTTGGATTTTTTTATGCTAAAAATAAATCATTGAATAAAGAAATTAGTTTTATATCATTTATAGATAGTATATATGTATTTCATTCGTTAGATTTTTTGTAATATGTATTGAGTTTAACTTTGTAAAAATCTTGCTCTATGCGAAGATCCTACTTATATGCCAAATAATTGATTAGTCATTAATCCTATTACTTATTTTTTGCACATATGAAACTTTCAGATAATGGTTTTTAACATGCAAGGTTATGTTTATTACAATATTTTATTAAATGAAAAGTGAAAAACAAAAATAGAGTAAAAGAGAATAATTATTATTATTGCTACTATATTTAAATTTTTAAATGTTTATTTTTTTACTTTTAAATTAATAATTTTTTATCAAGTGAAAAAAGTGACAACATGAATTGTGCATATGAATATTAAGCCATAAAATATTATTTTTCGATAATGTAATGATGGTAAGCTTTGTTTAATTAATAAATATTTTTCAATCCAAGAAATTTTAGATTATTTTTTACTATTTTGTAATTTAAATAGGTTTTTATATATTTTTATAACTTGAGTAGGTCTCTTACATTAATTATTGGTTTTGAAATCACATAGATTTAAAAAGTGGGAATCAACTATATTCTAAAAAAAATTATTTTAGATCCAAAGTAATTTTTTTTATATATTGGTTACATAAATATTTTATTATGAATTGATATTTAATTGTTGATAAATATTTTAATATAATATTTTTCAATTTATTTGTAATAATAAATTTTAATTAATAATTTCACAAATTTAAAATATTTTAATTAATAAATAAAATTAATCCATGTATGGTACGAATCACAAATTAATAATAAAATAAATTATAAAATAATTAAATATTATATTTTAAATTTCAAAAATTATTTTAAATATATCACAAATCACAAAATAATTTTATATAATTTATCTTTAATAATAATATGACTAATAAAAAATAAAAAATAACTAAAATAAAGTAATCCAACTCATTTCACATTGCAAACGTAATGTTGATGCTACTTATTATTACAATTGATTGAAAAACTTGGTCCCCATAAATATTAAGTCACGTTGTTCACGTTAAAACCCTTCAACTTTTAAAGAATATCTCAAGAAAGCAAACAATACTATTATTTAAAAGCATAAAACACACAATCGAGTCAAACTGATCGATAATGCCTGTCTATTTTGTAGCAATCTTCAAGCCAAGTGGGTCCCATTGGAATGCTGATATTCCAATCTCTATGATGATCGGACGGTTGAAATGAAGGGGAGTACATCACCAAAACTACTTTTTTTTTTCAATAATACGGAAGGTAGAGGATTGGCATCATTGGACCACAAGCGGGACCATCGGGGTCCTGCGAGTAGTAGATCTGTCACCAAGTTATTTTCTAAATTTATTGGACCGACAAAAAGCCTGGCAGTGATTTGCTGTTTCCTTTTCGACGTCAGCGAAAGTTTAGTTTTCGGTGTTTGAGGTTGTCAAGCGGTTGGAGATAATCGTATATGTATGATCCCATGCTATTCTCAATGAGATCACTAACGGATTGGTCTTTTCAACATTTTTTTATTGATTAATTATTGTTTAACCCTAAATATTATAAAATAAGATTTAATAGCATCCAGTGGTGGTTTTTTTTTTCCTGTCACGATCCCAACGAAAATCTACGCTTTAGTATTGATTGGGCATGAGTCCTTTTGTTCGTGTTTTTTTTTTAATCCACGTCAGATTAAGTCAGGCGAAGGGTTTGTTTAAATGAATGATAAAATTAATTTTAATAAAATTAAAAAATTATTATAATTATAATTAAAAAATAAAATTATTATAATTATAATTAAAAAAATAAGTAAAAATTTTATATTAAATAAATATCATTAAAATTAATATTTAAATTTAATTGTATTTCATTAAAGATGCAAGTACATTCAAATATAAGCTAAAATCAATTTACACATGGTTAGATTTAAAATTAAATTTGATTTGAAAACTTGAAATTCAACCCTCGATTTGAGTTTTATTAAAGTTCATTTATTATGAATAAATTTGATTTATAAATTATTTAAATTCCCAAATTTAAATTGATAAATTAGATTAAATTTAATAAAATTCTAAATATAAATTTAGATTATATTTTCATCATTAATTTATTTATTAAAATTATTTTAAAATTCAAATGTTTGATTAAATTTTTGAATATTTCTAATTTAATATTCAAATATTCAAATAGTTTGAGTTCAATTAGATAATAAAACTTAAGTATTTAAACAAACTCAAACAATTTTCCTGCAGTAGTTATGCTCCGCTAAGTCCAACTTAATTAAGTGGTTATAATTAATAATTATATAAGTTAATTAATTTATATAAATCATATATTCAAATGATTTCAATAAACACTCTTTGATAAAATTTAAATTTAAAATAATTTTAATAAATAATTATTAATAAAATTTAAATTTAAAATTTTTTCGTTAAAAAAATAAATTTAAATAAATTAAATCAACCGTAAATATATAATAGAGTGCTATTAACTATATCTTTCCCCCGTAATCAAAGGAGAGTAAAAGTTTAGAGCGTTCAATTTTTCGTATTGTCTACGAAATTAATCAGTCATGCTGCAATGACTTTTTTCTTAAATTAAAATTGTAAAATTAATTTTTTTTAGTAAAAAAATTTAAGATAAATAAATTATTTAATTTTTTAAATTAAAAAAATATATCGTACTTGATAATTTAAAATAAATAATTATAAATCATGCATTAGAGATTATCTCAATGAATGATTATGAATAAAATTTAAATTCAAAATTTTTTTATAAAAAAAAATAAATTTAACCAATTAAATTAATCGATTATAAAATTATTAGTATACTGTTATTTGTCAACATCCACATTTTTTTAATAAAAAAAATCGACCGCTTTTGGATCAAATAAAGAATATAAAAAAGAAAAAAAATAGCTTTTTTGATGCATTTTCAATTAAATTAATAAACTAAATAATTCATTTAAAAAAATAAATCTTCAAAGTGACAAAATAAAACCATGATCAAATTATTAAGATTAATTAATCTATGTTTGTGCACGATGGACACAAGTTGAAATTCTATGAATGAAAATTGAAACTTTCGAATTTAAATTTTAATTGTAGTTTATAATGAAAAAAATGATTAATTAAAAAGAAAGCAACGTTAAACAGTTCTTACGTGGCACGATGTTATTGGCATTTATAAAAACTAGAATACTCGTCTCCGCAGATTATTATTACCCGGAAAATGCATCCTTGCGCCAAAAAACCCCGACCTAACAAAAAACCCCGCTACTTCTCCACGTGGCAATGTTTAATCGGTTATTTCCAGTTAAAAATATTAATTACCAAAAAAGCCACTTCTTATAACTGCAATTCAAAAATAAAAGGATCAGTTACTTGCTACTATCTTCATTTGAAGAACTCTCCAACTCTGCTTATCATCTATTTCCTTCATATATTTTCCTCTTTACTTCCCTAACTTCTCCAAAATCACCGGAAAAACCGTCATGGCCAATGAGTTCTCGACGTCGGTGACTTGTGGCCTCATGTTATCAAAGCGACTGTACTACGGCAAAGGAGCATCGCCGGCGCCGGCGGTAATGTCGAGGTCGTTGTCGTCGATGGAGAGTTATCTTCCGACGGCAGTGATGGCGTACGCGGTGGTTCCCGAGCCTGCGGTGGTTGACAACCCCGATGTCCCTAGCTACCAACCGTACGTGCATGGTCGGTGCGACCCGCCGGCGTTGATTCCGTTACACATGCACGCGGTTTCCATGGAGGTAGACTGTTGTATGGATACTGCGTTCATTACCGTCAGAGGCGCGTGGCGCGTGCACTGTATAATGGCCGGTCGGAGATGTGATTGCCGGATTGCTATTCCAATGGGAGAACAGGTAGTTAAAAAAGCAGTATTTTTTAGAAAATTTGTTTTTTAAGTAATAATTTTTTGTTTATTAGTAACATATGAAGTGATAAGTAAAATGATGGGGTTAGATATGATATGATTGTATAATAAAAGTTAAACAAAGTGATTTTTGCTTTTGGGTGGCTTAATACTTTATAAACAAGTGGAGAGTTTGTTGATGAAATTAAAAATAAAAAATGGTTATTTTAATGTTTCCAAAAGTTATAAATGTATTTTTTAAAGATTTATAGAATCGAAATAGGAAAAAAGTCGCAAATGATAAGATTTAAAGCAGAGCCGCAAAGATGTAATCTTTGTTTATATTAAAAAATTGTTTATCAATTGGATCAATTTGTAAAAGGTCAAGGCAAGTTGAAATTATTGTCTCTTGGTGTGGGCCAATTTCAGATTTATTAGCTAATATGAAAGCAAAGAAAAAAAGTGCTACTTGAATTTTGGTAATTAGTCTTTTTTTTCACGACTAACATACAATTGCCTTTTACTGTTTCTTAAACTTTCAATGTCTGAATTAACATTAGTGAAGATTTGCGTATCTTCTCCGGGGCCATATATCAGATAATGACAAATTTGCGTTTCTTTTTGTAAAATTGGATGTAACCTTTCTTGTTTATAGATTCTCAAGATAAACATGATGTGGCTAACAGGGTTCACTTCTAGGTGTTGAGGTTGACATCTCTGAGACTGAGAGGTCCTATAATTCGAAATGGGTAACATTAGCTGATTCAAAGGACACGGAAAAATTTGGCAAACCTGGATATGGTTGCTTCTTGACACCCCATATATATACTTTCAAAATTCCACAGGTAATTACTTTTTTATTTTTTTCTTAATTTATTAGTACTTATCAATTATCATTCTCTTCACAAAAAATTATATGTTTTTGATATGTGTTAGGTTGATGGAGGGTCTAATGTTTCAATTAAAGTCAGTTGGTCACAAAAGTTTTCCTACCGGGATGGTCAGTTTTGCCTCAATGTACCTTTTACTTTTCCGGAATATGTCATTCCGGTCGGGAAGAAAATCCCTAAGAGACAAAAGATTCTGTTGAATGTTAATTCTGGCATTGGAACGGAACTTTTGATCAAATGTACTAGCCACCCTCTAAAGGTATGATAATCTCAGAATAATATCTGGCTTCTGGAATATGAAGGAAATAACATATTCTTATAACTTTGTAGGAGCTAAGTCGGGAGGTTCGTAATCTAAGTTTTATATATGAAGCAGAAGTGCCAGTATGGTCAACTTCCGACCTCAATTTTGCTTATACCGTAAGATCTTTGGACAACTGATCATTCTTTGATTGACTATTTATTTGAAGAAGTTATTTTGGACTTTTGAGGGTCATATGACACGTGAGGATGCATAAGTGATCCTTGCCTGATTGCTGTCGCAATAACAGGTTTCTTCCAGCGGCATTTTTGGTGGCGTTCTCCTGCAATCTTCACCCTTGCGTGATTTTGATGATAGGGAGATGTTCTGCGTCTACCTTTTCCCTGGAAATAAACAGAAGAGGAAGGTTAGTTAAAAAATAATCACTTTCTTTATTTTCTATTTTTTTAAAGCAGTCCTGAAAGCATCTTTTCTATTCAGAATTTTATCCCTTTTAAATGGGTATAAAGATGTGGTTTTTCTGGAGATCCATCTCTAATAGGTTGCATTTGGTTTCAGAATGAGTAGCATATTATATAGAGCAGCGACTGAGAAATTTTTAGTTCAAGCAATACTGATTTTTATAATGGTAGGCTCTTTTTCTTTTTCTCTCTCAGAGGAGGATTTATTCTTTTTGCTAATTATAAGGAGAGATTCCACAATCCCCATGAAAGGAAAGGTAGCTTCACAAAAATCAAATAATGCAAGAGGATAATTAAGTTCATTGGATGAGTAAAACTCTGGTCAATCAGTGTGAATAAGAATAAAATATATCAAAATTTATCATCCTCTGTCGAATTGGCCTATCTGCTATACCATTGATTTCATTTGAATTGTTGAGGTTGCTTTAGGCTAGAGTCTTTAACATACTTGTTTAAGTTCCTTTATATTTGTATCGTGGCTATTCTTATACCATTAGGTGAATCTGATAGGTATTCAGAAAAGAAGTGGTTTTTGTCATTGACATAAGTGAAAGCATGCAAGGACGCCCAATTGAGAATGTAAAGAATGCACTATTGGCATCACTCTCTAAGCTCAATCCACAAGATTCTTTTAACATTATTGCTTTTAATAGTGAGATTCGCTTATTCTCATCAACAATGGTACTGGCTACTCATGGTTCAATCCTAAATGCTACTCAGTGGCTTAGTAGTAATTTAACAACAGATGGTGGTACAAATATCATGCTGCCCCTTAAACAGGTGCCTATATTATCAGCATTTTTAAGTAACTGATCGATTCTATCAGTTAGTACTTTAACACTTCTAGCTTTCAAATCTCTAAATCATTTACCATTTAATGACCCATTGTAGGGTTTTAGCATCTAATTTTGTTTTATTGTAGGCAATGAAGTTATTGTCTGATGCAAGTGAGTCAATTCCTCTTATTTTCCTTATAACTGATGGGTCTGTTGAAGATGAAAGAGAGATTTGCAATGTCATGAAAGGTTATTTGACAAGTGGAGGATCAGTTTCTCCTCGTATGTGTACTTTTGGTATTGGTGAGTTTTTTTGGTGTTTGGAAAATCTTTCCCTCTTTTCATACTGCTTTGGCCTTGGTTGATTTGGTTTCTCCTGGCGTAAATGGATTCTTTTCTGAATAGTGGAATAGGTGCTAGAACACTGTGTGTCTACCGTCGAGTATTGAATATGTCATATATGTTCATGCCCTTAGATCTTGAGAGATCTTGAGATACGATTCATTTCTGCAGTAGTTATGCTATTGCTGTCCTGTTACTAATCTGCATCAGTGGCCTTGACACACTGGCCGGTGTAATAATCATAGACTTGTACCAAAGTGCTTAGGAGTTCCACTTAGCTTGTTTTAGTCTCCTTCCTCTTGAGGCCTTTGTCTGCCATTGGGCTAAGGTCTAGTCTATGCCATCTTTCTTAAAAATCTAAAATCTGAACTTGTTGGTTCTTGCTTGTGCTACAAATTGTCTTTACTTTCTCTTCAGACTGCCACAAATCTCACTTCATTGTGCTGCAGATTATCTTTCTCTGCTGCAAAAAGACACTCTATGGTGACAGCCTTAGAAGTTTTCCCTTCCTTTTGGTGTCAATGCCAACTGATGATCTGTCACTAACCTTTCATATTTATCAACCAACTCAACCTATTGACACATCTGAGCCATATTTGTTTGTCTACTGCATTGTTGCAGCTTTATTACTTATTTTTGTGTTTTAATCTTTTCTAGGTTTATATTGTAATCATTACTTCTTGCAAATGCTGGCTCAAATTGGGAGAGGCCATTATGGTTACACTTATGATGCAGGTTAGTTTTCTTCTGCTTCTTCCTCTTTCTTTTTAAATCTTTTATAGTAGTACTTTTTTTTCTTTTTCTCTGCTGACCTGCTCAGGAATGATTTCGTGTTCTATTTCTCTCAAGAATCAAAATATTTGAATTTATTGTTTTTGAACAAGCTGAACAAGCTGCTATGATCTAATTTGTAGTCATTTGGAAACTCAATGCTAAACTAATACAGAACAATGTAGTGTTGCAGGCTTTTGTTGCTCAATTACTGATAAAGATAATAAGGGATTCTAGTAATATTTATTCTGATTTCACCTTTCTTGACCAGATAACATTGAATCACGAATGGAGAGATTATTTACTACTGCTTCTTCAGTCGTTCTAGCCAATATAACCATGGACATGCCAGAAAATCTTGATTCTGTTGAGGTAAATCAGAGCTGTTTGCAAATTTCCTTGCTGATCCTTTTTTGTCAAGTATTTAGATGTTACATGTTTGTCTCAGTATTACTGTCTATTTTACTATGAGATCCCTTTTTTTTATTCTTGTCCAAATATACTATCTTCCTAGCCATGTCGGTAAGATACTACTCTTTTGTGGTCTTTCAGATGTTTCCATCTCAAATTCCGGACCTTTCATTTGGAAGTCCTTTGATTGTGTCAGGCACATACAAAGGGGACTTCCCAGACATTATCAAAGTTAAAGGAATGTTAGCAGATATGAGCACTTTTGTAACTGACTTGAAAGTGCAAAATGCAAAGGACGTGCCATTTGATAGAGTAATTTTTCTACCCCTGGAGTTAATTCTGCTAAAAGTTTCAGAGTTTTGTACTTGACAATATTTTGTTATGATCTTTTTATTTCCAAAAGAAGTAGTAACTTCAGTTCGAAAAGAAACATTTCTTTTAAATGCAAAAGTTGCATCTTCTTTGAGACGTAACAAGTATGCTTATTTTCCATTTGCCTCTGCCAGCTCTTACATGTTAAATGACCTGTCTGCCAACTTGCATGGTTTGCTTTATATGTTTAATTAAGCCTTCCACATGGTAAGATTGAAGCATTTTTTGTATCCACTTAAAAATAATTGATTATAAACTAAGAATGAGGATATAAATCTGTTTTCATAAGAGTCAGTGTTGGTTCAATTAAATTTTGATCCCTGTGTTTCCTTTTCTTCACTTAACACATTTTCCTCCCTAGGCACTTAACTGTTGTGGTTCCACTTTGTTATGTAGGGAGTTTATGGTGTTCTAATAAAAGGACAAATCCCCCACAATAGTATTTAGATCTTTTTACAAAGTACTTCCGAATTATATGAATTATCTTCCAATTGAAGCCTTATTTAACCATACATTTTCATCACTAAAATGCAGATATAGAAGTTTGGGTAGTGATACAACCTCTTTTTCTCATTGTCATGTTTGTTGGCAGATACTTACAAGGAGGCAAATTGATATCATTACATGTCATGCATGGCTTTCAAAGAGTAAAGAGCTTGAAGGGAAGGTATGCCACTTTCTGAAACTTTGGTTGACCTCAAAATAACACATTCAGGGTCAGGTTAAATGTTATCTGGCATATTTAGGCTTAGTTTGACATTATGGCTGGGCTGTAAAACTATTGTTTGGTCTGCAATCACAATGCTGAACCAAATAGGTTTAGATTGATTTTGTTGTTATGATCACCCTCACACCCTAATGAATACATGTAATTTACTGAAATTATTATGCTTTATATGATATCAGTTCTTGCATTGTGGTTTATATATTTAGTTATACACCTAATTATTTTCAAGCTGTTTCTGGTGCAGATTGCCAAAATAAGTCTACAAACTAGTTTTCCATCTGAGTATACCTGCTTGATTTTGCTTCAGACTGATAGTGGGAAGAAGGTGCCAGAATCAATTCTAGTACGGGAGGTATGTATTTTTTCTTTTTTTTTGAATGCGAAGGAGACATGTACTATTGTACTTGCCTAATGTTCTGCATGAATTTTGATGCAGTTTCAATATGCCCCTTGGATACAGGTATTACTATAACTCCCTTTTTTAATTTATTAAATTTATCTCATTTTCTTTAGATCTCACAATTTGAAAGTCACTTCTACCATCAATCACTCTTGGTAACATCAACTTAAGATTTGGAAGTTTGGCTGTGGTTTTTCAAAAATTGAAGAAACTTTCTAAATCAAGGGCAGATCCACATGGAATATTAGGGTGTCCATAGAAATCCTCAAAGATTGGAAAACAAGAAAATTTTAAGAAAAAACTTTCGCTGACACCCTTTTTGTCAATAAAATTGATAATCCGTTGGACAATTTTTTATATATATTATTAGTGGACATCTTCGGAAAAAATCATGGATCTGTTACTGTTCTGAATAAAAGAATAGAGTGGAGTAGATGACAAAATTGATATATATATATATATATATTTTACAAATATACTTGTATATTTTAGGAGGAAGAAATGCATTTACGTTCATTTACTTAATTTCTTTAAATTTAACCAGATATTCAACAAAATAAGCCTGCCAAAAAAGGGAGAATTGAATAGCCAGAAGATAGTTTTCCTGGGATGCCTAGGTGTAGGCTTTGGTAACTTGACTGCTACGGCTAAGAATATCCCTCCAGGAGCTGAGGAACCAAAGGCACCTGAAGGTGCAGAGATTTTGGTTAAGGCTGCTTCCAACTGTTGCAGTATGCTGCTTGATCGCTTCTGTTGCATGTGCTTCATCCAGGCTTGTTCATCGATGAATAACCAATGCTCAATCGTTCTCACTCAACTCTGCACTGCTCTCGCTTGTTTTGAGTGTGTCAATTGCTGTTATGAACTCTGTGCTTGTGTCTAGAAATGCTACTAAAGGTAGTTGAAGCCTTGAAGACCAAAACAAGGAGGATATGAATATTACTATTATGGTTATAATTGTATATATACTTTGCTGCAAATCATACTGTTAATTAGCAACGTTTCTATTATTATAAAGCAACTTATACGAGCGATTATAGTTATCTACCCCTGCATTAAGCTGGGGTGGAAGATCCGCCATCAGAGTGTGCTTGCTAAAATCAAGATCTGCCATGAGAAAGGCGACGTGAGTGAGCAGCCCTTTTGTAATCGCAATGATTTGCAGCAAGACCAGCGTCTCCATCAACACACAACTGATCATTGCCCACACCTCTTCCTCATCCATCCGCCACTTTTCATTCCCCGGCAACCATCGCTGTAGGATGGCAAGCGCACTCCATCCGAAGAATCCCGACTTCCCTTGACTAATTATCAACTTGAGCAACCAATTCAAGGTACACCTGGGTTCAATTTTGAAATTTGAAGACGCAATTGTTGTTCAATTTCTAATGTACAATTTCTTTCAACAATTAAAAGAAAATGAATAAATAAAGTATTTAACAAATTTTTTTATATTTAAAATTATTAAGACTTAAATTTTAATTATTAAAATTAAGAGTTTAATAATTTACTGTTGGCCTTTAACAAATGTTATTAACTGTTTCATGCGTGGCAAAAATGAGACACGTGACATTGTCTTTGTGTTCAAAATGCGCAGCTGACTTGTGGAAAATTGTCAATAAACAATTCTTCTTATTATAATCCTATAATTATCTAATTATAATAAAAAATTATGTAAAAATTTATTATTTATAAGTATGAATTTTACATAATTTTAATAATTTTATATATTTTTGAATTACGATTAATTAATTATATTACAATAAATTTATATAATATACTCACCGATCATATCACTATTTAACTTTAATTAAGCATATCTGTCATACTCAAAACCACTTTAAATAATAGATTAGGTCACCGGGGGAGGCTGTCCTCCTGTTAAACATAAATTGACAAACAAAGTTGAAGTTAGCGGCCAAGAATGGAGGAATTCGCCTTAATTATTGAGAACAAATGGCCGCGCTTTATTCTTATCCTGTAAGTAAGATATAAATAAAAATCTTATACGTTTGTTGCAGCTTCTCATGGTCTCAAAACAAACATTTGGTTAATCTTAATACAAAACAAGCCCCCCCCCCCCCCCCTTTTGTTATAGATTTGATTTGATTGCTATATTTTTTATTCTTTGGCTTTGGTTTTGCTAATCTTTTTTATACATTAATCTTGGTGGCAGTGGGAGTGACCCTTCGATTTTTGACTTCCCTTTTTCATTTTCCTTAATCTTGCTTCATCTCGAGGAATTAATCTGCATTGTGACCATACGAAGGTTTAGACTAAGATATTTTTATTCTTTTTTTTCTCTTCATTTGCTTTTTTAAAGGATGTTCTTAATTTGCATTGGTTAAGCAATCTGATTAACCAAAGAACATCCGACACATAGCTCAGTGTGTTCTTAATTACACTTAAACCAAGCAATTAGGCCATGTTAATCCATTTATATAAACCACACAATTAACCAATAATCAGAATTTTGATAATCCGAACCTGATTTGGAGGCTGGCACGAGCTCTCATGTATGAAGGTATTCATTTCATTTGTGGTCCAAAGCTGAATCCATGTCAGCCAATCAAAATTTAATTTTTAATTAATCTTTGTTTCTCTCTTGTTTAGTTTAATTACTATCTTAATTGGTTTTGGTTTGCCTTAAAAAATAATGTTTCACTCTGGTCTAATAAAATATAGGGAATATAACTCACATGACAGATCATGTTGAAAATAGTGCATAGTTGTGAAATGTCAAACCGACAGTGTAGAACACGTGTTGAAAGAAAGCAGATGTTGGGATTTTACTTTGTCTTTCATTGTTTGACACGTGGCTGACCGTTCACCGAACCTGAACCCAACTGTTTGTGACAGACAGCCACTCTGACGTCATTGGCTTCTGTCCTAATTTCTTTCCCACTTGGAAAATTCCTAGTGATATTTATAATTAAAGAAATTAAACGGTTTAAGTAATTTGATAATTTTAATTATGATATTATAATATGATATAAAATAATATAAAAATTATAAAAATTAAATGGTTTAAAATAAAAAAAATTATATATAAATTTAATAAAAATATTAAATATGTTTCATATTTTACGTATATAACATATTTTATGTTTTACATATATTTAATATGAGATAAACACAACTAAAAAAAATCAATTGCTTTAAAAATTATTTCATGCATGCATGCATTGACATGTATTTTCACGTTTATATAGAAGATACGGGAGAATGGATATTTCTTATATATTGAACTTATACAGAGTATAAAATGTGTACAAATCATGCTATATATACATAGAATAATAGTAATTGCTAATGTTAAATCAATGCTGCTAACACAGAATCTTTGTTGAAATTTGATTGATATTTTTCGTGATTTTTGTGTCTGATTGATTCTTTGATGTAGCCTTAACAATTGAACAAAATCTGTTGATTGAAAGATTTAATTTGACTTCGACACAATTATTAGTTGATTTTCCTTGATACGCCCCCGCAAGATAGGTGTGCCATCAACAACACCTATCTTGGATCGAAAAGAAGCAAGTCGTGTTATTAGGACAGGTAGTCCTTGGAGGAGATGTGAGATACTCTTACTACCTTTATTAACACGATCTCGAACAAAATGATAATCAATGGCAAAGTGTTTCATCTTGGAGTGAAACATTGGATTAACACAAACATAGGTAGCTCCAATATTGTCACAATGAACAGTAAGTGTTTTTGTGAGATGGATGCCTAACTCAACAAGTAAAGATTGCACCCAAGCTAGTTCTGATATGATGGTAGCGATTGCACGATACTCTGCTTCGGTAGAGGAGCGAGCCACTCAATATGTCCAAGGATTCAAAAACTTGAATAGCTTCCTTCATTTATTCAAGACAGAAATTTCAGAGTAAATCTATGTGGTGGCTCAAAATTACGGGACAAAAAAAACGTGTATGATTCAGACAGCAATCTCTGTGTAATTGGGCATACCAATTAATTAAAATATTAATCCAGTCTTGTGTGTAAAATGAGCAAGAACATGATAAATGTGAAGGGAAATATGATATCTTGCAAATAAATTATGTAAAATTAAAACTTTACGGTGAATTAATGATTGCTTTCATGCTTTTTTAACAGCCCTGAATTCCAAGGTAGATTACTCCTCATTCAAAAAATTTCAACTTATTAACATTTATTGATATGAATAATAAAGAATTTAATTTTTTTTAAATAAGAATTTGATTTCGAATTTTATAAATAAAAAAATAAATTTAATTTTTTTTATAAAATTTAATCTGATTTAATTTTAAATTAATCTAAATCTAAAATAATTATAAAATATCGAAATATCTCACATCAAAAAAGAAATCTCAATTTTAATTTCTATCGTAATCTTTCAAATATTTAACCTTTTCAAAGAAAAAACTCAGAGGATGTCATTTCTCCAGAACATCTAAAAAAGAATCATAAGGAAACATCCACCATTTCTTCATTGACTGCACGTACAAGCAATGAGCTTCATCCACGTAACCAAGTCCATGGTTAGTTCCCCTCATCTACTCACTTCCACACTTCTTTTAGGATAGATTTGTTAAATAAAAAAAATACAGAAAAATCTAAATTTAATATTTATTTTTATTTTAAAAAATTTAATATTACAAATCAGCAATAAATTATAATAAAAATTTAACTTCATTCTTAAAATTTAAAAAGTTATAATATAATATTTAAATTATAAATTTATTAATTAATATAATAATTAAAAAGTTATTTATTCACTCATATATTAATTTTTAAAATTAAATTAATAATAAATATAATATAATTAATAAATTCATAATTTAAAAATAAACTCTCTCCTGATTCCATCACAAACCAAAAATAAAATGCAAATAGAAATGAAACCCCAACAACAAAATCTACTAAAATAATTCCACCATGTTAAAGGCCACGCCCTAATTCCCTATTCATTTTGTCCCTCTTTTTCTAATTTTCCCGCATTTTCTCGGGTTTTCTTTTTTCTCTCTCTTTCTTCCGGCTAGATTGGATCTGATTGCTCTTATGTTATGTTTCTCCAACCCCACTTAGACCCTTGGAACCTGTACAGGAAAAGAAACCCCAATTTTTAACTTCCCAGGGTTTTCAAGTTAAGGTTTTTCGGATCTAGCAGTATTGGAATTTAGGGAGTTTCTTTGGGTTTTTGGGTAATTCGTGATATTGGCGTATCTGGGTTGCTTTTGTTTTCCTTGAAGGGGTTTATATTGTTATTTTTATTCATTTTTCTGGAGGTCAGGGTTAGATTAAAAAGGGAGAAATTTGATTAGCAAATGCCATATTTGGATAATTGGTATTTGAAAGGTGTATTTTTTTCGGCAAATTTTTTGGAGAGACCGAAAAAAGTTTATCTATGTCTTGGGCAGGCCCTGAAGATATCCACCTTTCTACTTCTCTTGCCAGTTACCTTGACAGTATGCTCTTTCTCCCTTTTGTTTATTTCTGTTAAATTTATGGTGTCGTGGGACTAATATTTGGCTGCAAAAGTCTTTTTTTTTTTTTGGCATTGGCTGTGGAGCCCTTTTTTGTAGTGAGAGTAATTGTTGCTGTCATATGTTTATATGCTGAAGGGTTGTTAAACTTTTTGTTATATGCTTAAACTCATGTAATATTCTTCTTAATTTAATTGTTTATGGTGGAAGACTTTGCAGTCAACTTTGGAATTTGGATGTTGTTTTATGATGTCTTTAGGACGACCAGTGTATTAGTTAATAATCAGCAAATAGCTGGGGAAAGTTATCAGTTAGAAGTTGATTTGATTCTGTAAAGCGTTAAGTAGGATTTGAAGATGGATAAGTTTTCGGGATTTCACGTTGAAGAAAATAAAAAAACTTTCAATATTCGAGGATTTGCCTGTTGCATGATTATTGATAATCTTTTTGGTAGACAATGTCTAAATTTCGATATGCTTATGAATGCAATGAATCTTGGTCATATTCATGCTTAATTGGTCTTTTCTTTTGGAGCTTTCTGATATTGTTACGAGGTTTTTGAATGTTACATGGCATATCTTTATTTTAATTCACTTTCTGCACAGAATTTAGATGTAATATTATATTCAAATGTATGAGCACTATTTTATGTTTCCACTTGTTGACGTCTTGCTCTTCTGTATATGATGCAGAAAAACTTTTAGTGCTGCTACGAGATGGTAGAAAGCTCATGGGAACTTTACGTTCTTTTGACCAATTTGGTACTGATTTCTTCTTCTTACCTAACTGATGTAAGGTATTTTATAAATAACACACTTAGGCTAGATAGAGGCAGATTTAGGACTTACAAGTAACAATAAAACTTGAAAACTTTGTTGATTTACGAACATAAACAATTTGAAAATTAGGAAGGGGAAAACAAAGGGAATTTAGGTGAACTATGAAAACTGAAATCAAGGAAGAAAATGAATTCCAAAAACACCCTTAAGATTAGGGAATATCACACATTCAACACTCAAACTTAATTAATTTCTCTTCTCATAGCACTACTGGACACAAAAATCTCCCTAACATATAGGTAGTCAAGGATTAGGCAGCCTACTATAGTCATAATTAAATGAAGCAAGTAGATAATGGCTTAGGCAGCCTTGTTATGGACAAGATTAGAAGATAGCCAGCTTCTTCATAATGTCATAGTATGATGGATAGAGCTTTTATTAAGTGGCAGCAAGCATCTTACTGATGATCAGCCAACATCCCCCTTAAGTGGTAGAGGTTTAACTTAAGTGACAGCATGTGAATTCCAGGTAGCCAAGCAAGTTCAGCTTTAGAATCTTTCCATATTATAACATTTGCATTGCTGTCCTTGCCCCTCCTCCTATAGACTTTACCAGGTTTCCATCTTGCATCACTAACTCTTCTTGGATCACATGTTAACATTTTGTTCTGGGTTCTGAAACTCTTAAATTTGTCTCAGCCAATGCTGTTCTTGAGGGTGCTTGTGAAAGAGTTATTGTTGGTGGTCTTTATTGCGACATCCCTTTAGGTCTATATGTAATCCGTGGGGAGAATGTTGTCTTGATTGGCGAGCTGGTATGACTTAGCTAAGTTATCTTGTTCCATGTGCCTTTGCTTTGTTTTGTAATCCCATTCTGTTGTCCTATAATTTGCATTTCATGTGTTAGGACTTGGAGAGAGAGGAACTTCCTCCACATATGACTCGTGTATCAGCAGCAGAAATTAGAAGGGTAAGTCTTTAAATCATTTTCTTGTATGAATTATGTGTTTCCATTAGCAATGATAAAACAATTTCTCTGAGACACATTTGGCTCACTAAACGCCCCTCAGCTCTTCTTCTCTTTTGTGCATCTTAAATTTCTATTTGGACATCCATCACTTTTTCAAGTGCTGCCATGTAGAATAACTGGAGAGTAAAACATTGGTAATATTTGAACTCAAAGAAATCCAGATTCTTAGATGCTTGTAACTTTTAAGCATTTTCATGGATCTTGAAAAAGAGGATGGTGGAGATAATGATGATGTGATGAATGATTTTGTTGTTTATTAGTATGGCTCAAATGGAGAGCTTAACCAGGTGTTTCTTGTGATTCTGTCCTTATATTCTGATGTTTGTAATGAGGAAGAGTAAATTAAGGAGATTCTAACTATTCATAATAGTAAAACAAAAAAAAAAAAACTTTTCTAGCTTAGAGAAGCTACGTTGTTTAGAGATAAAAACATTCTGTTTTTACAAAAACTAGTTCATTGCATGCATATGTGTTATGAACTATTTTATGTTCTGGAGTGATTGGTAGTCTATAATTTCCTATTGAAGATGCTTGTCCTGTTATTGGATTTTGAGTTTCCTTAACAAGTAGCATTGTACCCTATGCAGGCACAGAAAGCAGAAAGGGAGGCAACAGATCTCAAAGGTACAATGAGGAAAAGAATGGAGTTCCTTGATTTGGACTAACTCATGTTTCCTGCATCCTGTTTTAGCTATCCGCAAGTTTTATGGCGGTTGTTGGTGTAGGAGATGGGTAGGCTACAAAATGCTCCATCTCTCTTTGTTTCTATCATTTCCCTCTCAACATTAAATTCTTGTAACATTTGCAAACAATGTATTTGACAAAGCTTAGCCGCGATTTGCCGGTCCTCTAATTTAGTTTTCGCAGTAACAGATTTCACTTATGGGAAGTCTCCAAGTTATCTTGAATTCTCGAATGTAATTGCTTTGCACAGCAATAAACATTCATCTCTTGACATTGATGCTAGACAGGGGAGTGTGTTTAAAACGAAAACAGAGAACTCAAAGAAAAAAAAAATCCACCAAATGGAATTCAACAGAAGGTGAAGTCAAGGCTCAAACCAGAATCATACAGCCGAAAGTCACAAACTTTTAAAATGTATGGTGGATCTTTAAAAAAGAGGAAAAAAAACAGCTAGAGGCTCCTGATGAATTCTGTATTTTCTGGGGGCGGGGGTGCCCATTAGGAGCCTAGATACAAACTCCGTATTTAAAGGAAGACAAGGTTCACGTGAAGAATTTTGTGAAAGTTTTAGGGGCATTCAAAATTTTAGTGTAGTGATATTGTAGGATAGGTGCAGACATTCTAGGAAATGCATTGATCCCAAGGGTACTCCATACCAAATAATCATATACACAAATATAGGAATTTTGAATTCTTGTACATTTGCCATCAGTTTTATTTATTGACAAAACCGGGCAGTGGGTATAGATAAACCCACCGCATTCACTTCACGTTGCTCCTATTCCAAATCTCACTCTTTAATTATCATTAAGCATTAATCTAGGCGCCACTCAAGGTAAGCCAGAATGAATAGTCTAATCTTACGTTAAAGCGTAAATCCAGATGTCATATATCTAATGGTCAGGATTCTATTGTCTTCAGCTTTGCCAGTTTCCACTGTACATTTCTCTCATTCTTCTTGATATAAAATCTGAGTTTCACAGTTTAAAGGTTAGTTCTCTGAGGAGAAAGAAGAATTTCCTTCCACTCTGCAAATCAGCAGATCCAACCAAAATCTCCCTCTTTTTTTGTCCAACCGAGCTTTGGTTGGCAATGCTGAAGCATCAAAATTCTCTTTTCCTTCTCTCCCTTTTATGTTTCTGCTTTGTTTTCATCAGTGATGCTTCAGTTCATGAGTACAATGGAGAGAAATTCGTCAATAAAGGCAACGCATTCGTCGTCCACGGCGGCAGCGAAGGCATTTATTCTTCTTTTCCTGACCCCCACAATGTAACTGCCATTGGTGGTGACTCTTACGTCCGGTAATTTTTTCACTTTCCCATTTCTTTTTCTCATTACAATTACCATGTTGTAAGTATTTTCTGATTTTAGCTTTTAGATCTCTTTATTTTGTTCTTGGGTTTAGTGGGGTTTTGTTTTAATTGTGTGGGATTTTAGATCTGTTGGGATCTGATACTGAATTAGAATTGCGTTGCAAGACAAACTTGACTAGAAACAGAACTAAAAAAATTCAAAGATTATGTCTTTTACGTGAAACGAAAACAAAAGATCAAAATTCTTTTTGTACCCAAAGAACGAGAGATCAAATTTTACTCAAAATTAAGATTCTTGCTGATTTTTCTTTAATTAAGTCAGTGGTCGGGTCTGATCAATGTAAACATAGTATTAACTGGAGAAACTAAAAAAAATGTTTTCCAAGTATGGATTTCAATGTGTAATTCACTTATATTTAGATGTTTGAAGACCAGTGAGCATTGAAGGTGTTTCTCTCTTCTCTTTTTTTTTTTCTTAATGCTTGAATTTGTGGGTAATATTGAACCAGTTTTGAGAAGATTACATTCCATAGACCCAAAGAATTTGCAAACTTTAGCTCGCGGTCGATCCAAGCAATTGTTTTTGAAGTGGAAGATAGAAAGCACATTGGGGGTTCAGCTTATGGGGGTCAAAGAGCTGTTTGTTGCACAGCAGATCTTGCAAAACTGGGTGTTTGTTCGGAAGGAGAAGTTATTCATCGACCTTCCACACAGAATCCTGGCTGGCCTAAAGTGTTTGGCGTCTCGTTTAATGGAGATGATGAGGATGCAACATTGCCATCAAAGTCTATAAAGATTACTAAAACTGGGATGTACAACTTGTACTTCATTCACTGTGATTTAAATCTTAAAGATTTGATTGTAGAGGGGAAAACTGTATGGAAAAATCCTACTGGCTATCTACCCGGTAGAATGGCTCCGCTGATGAATTTTTACAGTTTCATGTCCCTTGCTTTTGTGATCCTTGGAATCTTTTGGTTCTCGCAGTATGCAAGATTTTGGAGAGAGGTTCTTCCTTTGCAAAACTGTGTAACATTAGTGATAACGCTTGGCATGCTTGAGATGGCTCTTTGGTATTTTGATTATGCTGAATTCAATGAGAGTGGAATCAGGCCCGTTGGGATCACTATATGGGCAGTCACCTTCGGTACTATTAAACGTACAATTGCACGGATTATTATTTTGCTGGTTTCCATGGGATATGGTGTTGTGAGACCTACCCTTGGTGGGCTTACTTCAAAGGTAACCATGCTTGGAGCAACTTTCTTTCTGGCATCCGAAGTTCTTGAGTTGGTAGAAAATGTTGGTGCAGTGAGTGATCTTTCTGGAAAGGCAAGACTATTTTTGGTTCTTCCTGGTGCAATCTTAGATGCCTTCTTCATTCTTTGGATATTTAGTTCTCTCTCTGCAACTTTAACTAAACTTCAGGTATTTTTTTTTTTACATTGTCAGTAATGTCGAGTTAATAGCAATATTCATATTTTCCTTGGCAATCATGTTTAAGAGTGAATTCTTTAGATCTTCTATGATAAATATGCCCATGTTTCACTCTTTGCAAGTGGATTATACAAGTGATGATTGATATTGAAAGCATTTGAACGTATGATTTTTTAGAATCCTCAAAAAAAATAGGAGAGTAGATCCTTATAAGTTCCTTCATGTTGTAAGAACAGGTACTTTAACAGCCTCCAGCAAAAATATTTATCATAATTAAATAGAAAGAAGCATTGAAGTTTCTGATAGGATCTTAAACAAAAAAAACCATCCCTTGCCTATTGCCACATTTCCTGCACTAAAGTCCAGGTGCATGGATTTATTTCTATTCATGAAAATAATTGAAGGTGTAATGAAGAAGGTAATAATAAGCATGGTTCCTAGATAATATTTGCTGCTTGATCTGTGATCTAACACATGCTTATGCATGCATTTGATATTGAGTTTATCTCTTTCTAACACCCGGCAATTAGATCTTTTGAAATTCTTTAATTCAAGTGTAGCAACAGTATATCACACCATCTTTTATTGTTTGTTTTGTTATTAAAAGTAATGACAATTGCACTTTAAGTAAAACATTGCTTTGCAATTTTTTCTCACTAATTGGTGCAACAGGCTAGAAGGATGACGGTCAAGCTTGACATATACAGGAAGTTCACAAACGCATTGGCAGTAGCTGTGATTGTGTCTGTGGGTTGGATATGCTACGAGGTAGTCAAATCCATTATCTTCAATGCTTTCTTTTGGCTGCTTTATCCATAGAGTTAAGTTCAGCATATAATTTACAAAAAAGTAAAGAACATGCTAGCAATTTAATTGTGCAGTCTTGCATCTTACAATAGGAAATATGAGATGGAGTAATCAGAAACCGCAATCTATAGTGTGAGGAAAATGTAAAACATTTTAGAAATGGCATTGTTGTCAAACATCTTGCATCTTACAACTTTGTAACTCTGAAATTTCAGCTTTATTTCAAGTCAAATGATGTTTACAATGAGCATTGGCAGAATGCATGGATCATCCCAGCCTTTTGGCAAGTCTTATCTTTCTCTCTTCTATGTGTCATCTGTGTTCTTTGGGCGCCCTCTCAGAATTCAATGCGGTAAAGATCTAGCTTCTTGAGCTCTTAAGCTTCTCTTTTTTGCCATTCCTTTTCTGATATAGTTCATTTATATACTTTATGGCCATTCAAAAAAAATAAATATATATATAGAAGGAAAAAATTTCAGGCCCCCAATTGTTTAATAAATTTACTGATTATATATCAAGGTAAATCCTAAGAACTTGAGAGGCCTATGTATGCTAGATTACTTATGTGTTAATCAATTTTAAGCTAGTTTCTGTGTTACTGAGTTTAAAGACCTTTACCTCTGTTTTACAGTGGCTCATATTGATGTTCTAGCTTTCTTAGTTTTCGTATGCAGCTCAGTTGACTTATTTCAATGTCTTTGCAACTTCTTTCCCACTTTTTGGTTGTTCTGATCTCAATAGGTATGCTTACTCTGAAGAAGCTTATGAAAATTTGCACAAAGATGACACTACTTTGACACTCATAAAATCCTCTTCAACACCTTCAAAAGATTTTAGAACTGCACCACAAGGTGGACCAGTGCAGGGTAGTAATGGAGCATCAAATGGTGATTTGGAAGAAGACAAGACAGAGTGATCTAAAAACCCCTGTTGTGAATCTGGGATGCTTAGAACTCGGTTCAACAATTCTGTTTCACTTAATTTGAGGCCTAGTTATTCTTGTAACGACGATCCAGTTTTTCTTTGAAACATAATGATATCAGGGTGGCAATCGTTACAGCCAAAAGTCAGCTGTTGAGCTTTTTCTTCGCCTTTTTTTCTTGTACCACAAAGGTCATATTGTTTCTTTGTATTTGTTAAATTAGTCATTAAATTGTTCACCAGTTAAGTTGTTACCAAGAGAACAGACAATCCGTGCTATGTCCTTTTTTGATATTAATATAGTTTGTGACGTGTTATTTGCCAGCCTCTTTTTTTCTCTTTTTTAGACCTGTAAATTCGAAAATTCTATCTTGTTTGTTTCGAATCAAAAATATGTAAAATACAAAAAATTTCTGTGTTAAATTTATTTTGATATATTAAATATAATACATTATTTATTTTTATTAAATTTATATATAATTTTTGTTAAAATTTTAAGTCGTATCGTTTTTGTTTTTTGTCATAATATAATGTTTAAAATTATCATATTTATTTATTTTATTTTATGAAACTGGTACCATCTAGCAATACTAGAGAAAATCCAATAATAAGAAGTCAATCTTTTTACCCTGTCTAGACAGAAAAGAAGAGAACGATGGCCATCTTAGTCAAGTTACATGCTCTACCAGTTAAGACGGCATTAAATTCTCTTTCTTGATTGTTATGGCCATTGTTTTCTGAAACTGTAACATGGCTTTCTTTTCCTTTCTTTGAGAAATTGTGGATTCCCTGGATGAATTGCATCGGTCTATTGTCCAATAATGGAGCTTTTGAGAGTCACCAAATTTAGTTTTTTAGATTTCCTGATTTAAATGTTACAGAATGCTGAAACCTGAAAGTGAAAGGTATACGATTATACCGAGTCTTGCCTTAAATATATGAGAATCAAGTTGAATATTAGAAAGGCAACCAAAGAAGTTGACCTGACAGGCCAAATTCCATGTTCCAGCAGCATCACATTTTAATATCAATGCCTACGATACTCACCTTTCTGAGAATGCATAATTCTAATGCAATCATCAATCATTTATGCAAACCTAAAATGGGGTTACTGCAATAAATGCTAAGAGGGAAGATAGAGGTGGAAAAAAGGCTTCTTCATATCATTAATAATAGTGAAAGCAAACACATACAAAATTACAAATTACAGATACAGCAATAACCATATGAACAAATGGAACAAAATCTAGAATGTGGTGACAAAACCAACTTATTAATGCTTACAGTGCGGAAAGCATTCAGTTCTGGAACCTGGCTGGTCTGGAAAGCTAACACCTGATCTTGTTGCTTCCTCAACCGTGGAAATAATTCAATCAGCCATTTTTAAACAAATTGGAGAGCTCAGGGAAGCGCCAGATTCACCAGCACCATATCGCCCAAATACAAGCCCCACAAAAAATTGTAAAAATGTCTCCTAGTTTCTACCATGGCAAAACTCATCTCAGCTCACATCAACTCCTTCACTGAGATCTTCTCCTCAAGTGCTGGGACACAGGGTATCCGTCAAAGAAATCCAACACAGCAGTTTCCAAGTCTTCAACTGAATACTTGATGTAATTCTCTGGGTACTTTCCACTCTCTATATGGCTCTTGAACCGCCCAAGAAACGACCTATAAGCTGGGATCAACTTCTCGGACATAGAAATCCTTAGTTCCTCCCTAAGCTGAGCATCAGGTATCAACCATGTTGCTTGAGTCCTATGAACCTCATCGAACATAGCATTGAAAGTCTTAAACCTTTCCCTCAATGCAATCTTTGACACCCCAGAAGAAAAACTACCATTGACATGCAATCCTTCAGCTCTCAAACAATATAAAACACTCACCCAGGTAGCTCTTTGATAACCAGTCGCCGCCTGCCTAAACTTTCCAGTCAACTTCTTCAAATAATCATCCCCAATCATTTCCCTCAACTCGGGTGACCCTTTAACCTTCTGAACAATATAATGAACGTTATTCATTATAGACAAATGCGCCAAAGATGCATCTCTATAATGCTTAGACTTCCCAGCCAAATTGAATTGCAAAACCACAATAATCCAAATCAAATGCAAAGCTAAAGGAGTTTTCCCTTCCAACTCAGCAAACTCCATATCTGGGGTCGATGGATCCCCGGAATACCTCGAACCCGTCGATGGTTTCGAAATTATAAGCCCAATCAAAGTCGGTTTATAATCTGATATCAAACTGATATAGTTCATAACATACCTAGTCAAAGGATGGATCGTCCCACCAGGGACAGGCACAATAGAGGGCTCTCTTAAAACTGCGTTTTCGAATTCGGACAAAATCCCTCGTGCGGCCTCAGCTAACCTGGACAAAATCTCGGCAGCCTGAACTCGAATGGAATCAGATGATTTGGAATCGAAAACCGCCTCAATATCAGGCAATAAATTCATCAAAGCATCATGTAAATCAAGTGTCTTAAAAAGCTTTTCAGGAGATCTCCTACTTATACTTATGGCTTCCGCGAAGTTAAATAACTGAATTGCAGGCCCTTTAACTGTTTCCACAAAACACACGTCATCAATATCCGTTCCGACACACTCAAAGATTTGCTCACAAAGTTTCTTCTCGCTCGCAAAGAGAATCCTGACGCAAACTCTCGCGGCTCGAATCCAACGCCGAAATTTACTCTCCAAATCTTCCCATTCAAGCCTTTGGATTTCTCCGATGCTGAGCTTCTCTATTCCGAGTTTCCTAAAACTCGAGTCAACGGCGGATTTCCTGATGCTACCGTACACTTGAATACACTCCCGTAAGTAACCGGACGAGATCATCCTCGTCGCAATCGCTTGTAAATCGGAAATAGCTTCGGCAGGCATCAGATCCACTTCTCGGACACTGCTCGTAGATCGGTGACTCGAACTATCCGAAGAGTTACAGTGCTGAAGCTGAAGGAGATTGTTGCTACTGCTATTATCGTTGCTTAAGCTGTCGTCTTCTTCGAGCTCGTGATTAGAAGGAGTTGATGTTGAAGACGACGTCCTATCGAAGAAGAAACCGGTTTCTAAGCCGGAGGTGTGAGTAATGAGGATGTTGCGGAACTCGTCTTCCAGACGAGCCATGGCGATCTGGATTGTGGTGTTGGCTTTTGACTGACCACCGGCGGCGTTATTGGAAGAGGTTGAGATTGATGCGTTCGATAAGGACCGTTGGATTTCATCGACGGCTCGGAGGTAAAGATCTGCTTCTTGACGATCCGTTTCGAAAATCATTCTATCACTTGCTTCCTCCGATGCTGCTGAATCCCACCGTAAGATTATTTTCTCCGCCAATTCGTAGCCGTTACTATCCTTATTACTATTCTCCGGCGGCTCCATAACTAACTTTCAGGAACCAAATAAACTACAGAATTTGCAAAAAGAAAAAAAAAAGTATCCTTTTTTGGAATCTTGGAAAAAGGTTTAGGAAAAGTAAAAGAATGAACTTGTAATTTAGTTTTTTGTTCTTTGAAAGAATACAGTAAAGGTAGTGGCTTTGGTCTCAGATAAGGCAGCGCATACGGCGGTGGTCATGGTGGGACGTGGCGGAGGAAGGGACAGGAGAGTTACTAACGAAATAAAGTGAGTGTTATGGTAGGGCAGCTGATGAGATTTTTGTCTGGACGTGAATTTTAGAGAGAGAAGTGGGTCCCGTTTGTGGAATTTTTTGAAGGATTATTATTGTTGAAATTTGACACTTCGTCTTTTTTTTTCTTTGCTTGTTTATTTTCTCACCTAGAAAAAATTTTATCTACATCCGTCACCGATTAGGTCTTTTGCGCCGCGAATTTTGGTCCTTCTGCCTTTTTCTAGAATTTTATTGGACTTCGCTTCCTTCTGCTTGCCTTTTTTCCTCTCTTTTCACTCATTTCTACACTACTTTCCCTTTTTAACTAAAAAAGAAAACAAAAGAAAAAGAAAAGGAAAGGAAAAGATTTAATTTTGTTGGATAAATAAATAAATAAAGAAGATATTTTAGAATTTTGGGTGGGTCGCCCTCACACTATAACACGATGGTCCCAATTTGATTGCTGGCCTTCTTTTCTAATGGGTCCAAAGGCCCATCTTCATTCCCTGCACGATTGGGTAGGCTTGTTCGGTTTCCCGTCCGTAAATCTAATAATTTAAAAGAATAATGTGACACGAAAATATTATAAAAAATAAAATATTACATAATTTTAAATTTTAACAAAAATTATGTATTTGATAAATATAAAAAAATGTATTTATATTTTTATATTTATATAAATTACTATACATAATTTTCATATACAATATAATATGAGTGTACAAATTATTATATCTATTCATATTTTTTTAAAATTTTTTATAATATCTAAATTTAAAGCTACAATTTCTTTTTTTTACTACTAATTAAAGGAATTAAAATTAATGAACATATAATTTAATTTATTGATTCATATAATTATTTTTAAAGATGATATATAACATATTTAAATTTTATATTTTAACAATTATAATATTTTCTCACGTTTTAAATTCCGATAATTTTTATTAAAAAATGAGATTAATGAAATTTTTTTAACAAAAACGGCTATCGTCACATTCACAATCATAGGGTCCAGTTATGCTACTTACCATCTGAGCATAATCGTCAAGTTCAGACTAATATTAATGACCCTCTCATGATCAGCTTTGCTATGCTAAGTGGATAATTAGTTCATAATTAAATCAAGTTAACTAATCTCTACTGCCAAATGAGGCGGACATTCATGTGCCTGCATGCTTCTTTGCACGCACAATTTCCGATTTCAGTAAACCTAAAATTAATATACTAATAATTACTAATTATTATTATAATATTTTAGAGGAGAGATGGATGGTTTTCTAATTCAGGAGTTGCACGAGTGGCTGCACTCTGTTCAAAAACTGAACTTTTTTTATTTTTAATTTGGTCAGAGAGAATTCTTTCTTTTTTTTTTTATTTTTTTTTATTTTATCGATAGATATTTGATTTTAATATTTAGTTTCAGATAATTTAATTTTTGAAAAAATTAATAGATTTTTAATTATATTCAAAATCTAGAAATCAAAAACTTATCTTTTATTATGATATTCTAATTTTTTTTTATAAAAAAAATTACATTATTTTTAAATTTAATTTAAATAAAAAATTATGAAATAATTATTATTTTGAAAAGTATGTCTATAAATAACTACAAATTAGTTGTACGTTTCTATTATTAAAAAAAAATTTATATTGTAATTAATGTTGTTTGACATAAAAAATACTTTAAATAATTATGTTCACTTTTTTTTAGATTATTTAAGATATTTTTTGATCAAAAATATCTTAAATAATCGAAAAAAATCTAATAATCCTAAAAAATAAACACTAAAAAAAAAAATCAAACCTACGATTTTATAATTAATATTTATATATTATAATCGACTAAACTACTTTAATTTTTTTATATTTTATTTTTTAAATCTTCTAGTCATATGTTTTAACCGATTAAATTACTTCAATTTTTTTATATTTTATTTTTTAAGTAATGAAATTGATTATTTAAAATATTTTTAGTCAAAAATATCTTAACTAATATCTTTCAAAAATATTAAAGGGCTAGAAGAAAAAATCAAACTTATAACCTTATAGTTAATAACTATATGCTCTAACCAATTAAACTATTCTTATTTTTTATATTTTATCTCTTGAATTTTATAAGTAATGAAAAAAATTATTTAAAATATTTTTAGTCAAAATACCTTAAATAATCCCTTTTAAAAAAATATTGAAGATTATTTAAGACGTATTTAGATAAAAACACCTTAAATAATCTTCTCATATTTTTTAAATGGTATTTATTTAAGATATTTTTGAACAAAAAATACTTTAAATAATTCCTTTTAAAAAAATTAAAAAATATTATTTAAGACGTTTTCTAACTAAAAATGTCTTAAACAATTTTCACTATTTTTTTATTGATCATATTTAAAAAATAATAATAATAAAATAAAATATAACTTTTTTTGCTATTAAAGACATCATTTATCGTTTGAGTATTTATTATTAATAACAATTGATAAAAAATTGTTATCATATATGTCAAAAAAATTATAGTAATTATTCAAAAATTAATATATGTGAATTCCTCAAATTAAACGAGTAAATTTGAATGCGAAATATTTTGAAAATGAAAAAATATTTTGAATTTTATACTTTTTTGAATATCATATTTTTCCACTGAATCCAAAATTCTATGAACCGAACGTTCTAATGATAATCATCTTCTGCTGTTTTGTTAAAACATTAAACAAAGTTGCCCAAATTGTCTGGCAGAAGATTTATGGGTTTCATGAATACAAGTTGGAATGCTATGCACTTTGGAAAGCTTAGCTCAACTATTTTATAGGTTATAAGTAATTTCTACAGTTCTTTATGGTAAATTTATTTTTTTAACTCAAAATTTAATTAAGTTGATTCGTAATTTTACGCGAATCACTGCCGTTGTATCTAAAAAAAATCATCTCTCCTCGGGGAAGTATAAACTCTATCCTAACACTTTGCCTCTCTGTATTCATTCTGGGTCCAATACCGTTCTGAGACACAATGCAGTGGGAGCAGTACTGATCACCTTACCCAAGCCATCTGCTGAAAATTCTAATTGATCTGGTTCAATGTGCAAGTATGGGAACCTGGGAAGATGTTACTAAATGAAATTTGGATTACTTACAATGTCCAAATATTTAATGTGAATTTCTAGTGCAAAGGTAGGCTTATTGTTGCATACCAGGTTCGTGCTCTGGAGTCCATAGTTTCTGCAATCCACATTTATGGTTCCTTACTTTGTTATTTAAACAATATAGAATTGCTGATAAAACATGTTTCAGGAAAGTTAAAACAAGGCAATAGGTTAAAAGAAATTGGAAAATGCTATAAGTTACATTTCAACATGTTCTTCTCACTCTTGTTTCTAACTTCAACCTAAAATTTCTACAATAGGGGCCTATAGATCATTGTAGAAGCCACTGCAATTCATTCTCCGTTTAGATTAATTATGTACAGATATGTTTCAAGATCAAAAAATCAAAACTTCTCTTTTACATATAGTTGTGCACGTGATTGCTTTGTAGCTGTCCAGGAGATGCCGAAGACAAAAGTATCAAATTACGACGCCCAGCTCCATCGTCTGACCCCTGCATGTCTCCTTGTTGCTTGCTAAACATTTCATTCTCGGAAACTAGATCAGTTACTATTTGGTGCATCTGCGAATCCATCTCGAAGAGATGGTAAGACTTGCGTCGTTCTAGTCTGAGAGTGAGACTCTAGGTCTCCTTCTACTTGTATCTCCTCTATCATTCTAATGGCTTCTTTCATGTCTAATCGCTGCTCAGGATTACTTTGAGTGCAAAGTCCGCCAATATGGAGGAGCTTCTCCATGCTGCCAAGTGAATTTTGGCAGCCCGCAATCTCTGGATCAAGCAATTCAACCTGTCTCCCTTCTGAAAATGCAGATGCCACCCACTGGACTATATCAGTTCCATCTTTTCCATTGCTAAGATATTGAGAAGGGAATTTCCCTAAAAGGATCTCAAGAATGATAATTCCTAGGCAGTATATATCACTTTTAGGAGATACTGTTCCATATTGTATAGCTTCTGGGGTTTTAGAAGCAAACAGGGCTTCTACCCCATCGATGTTTACGAATGGGCAAAATCCATAGTCCGAGAGAAATGGATGATTATCAGGGCCGAGCAGAACATTGCTTGATTTGAGATTGCCATGAGGCACATCAAGAGAAGCAAGTTCAGTATGGAGATAATCTAGTCCCTTGGCAATGCCTTGCACAATCTTTAGTCTGGCAGGCCAATCAAGTTCAACATGGGATGTGCCATGCTCACCTGGAGAATTAGATTTTTTTTTTTTATCAGAATCCATGGATGCTATAGTATTGCGTGCACCAATCTTAGCATATATAGGAAAGAAAATGCTGAATGAGCTCAAAACGCCAACTGATTGGAGAGCATTTGTGCAATTATTTTGAAGCAAGAAAATAGAAAAACTATTTGAGATAAATATAAGAAACAAAGGCAAAAGATGTAAACTTCAGGGGAAGAGAATTTCATACCATGCAATTGGTAAAGCAAACTGCCTTTAGGAAGGTACTCATAGACAAAAAGTTTTTCCTCTTTCCGGTAATGGTAAGCTAAAGGTGTCAAAATGTTGGCGTGTCGTAGCTTTCCAAGCCTTTTAACCTCTGCATCGAACGCGTCTTTCCCTAATGCATTCATCTCCCTCATCCTTTTCACCACCACGGCTGCTCCATTAGCCATCATGGCCTTATAAGAAGACCCCAGCGCTCCATTTCCGAGCACTTCTGCTGCTGCCTTCATCAAATCTGGCAACCTAAAAACACCCTTTTCATCATTTACCATGACTAGTTCTGCTACAGTACTAACACTGGCCCTTCCATGATTAGACCCTCTACGGCTAGAGCTTGCACTCTTTCTGCTATTTACTTCCACTTCTCTTCTAGCTGGCACCGAAACCTGCACCTCAATCGCCTCGATTGAGCTTTCCCTTCCAACCGCATTGCAGTCCTGTTGCTCATTTTTCCTACTTCTAAATGCAAAGAAGAGAACCAGTGAAAGTAGTATCAATCCTAACGCTATGATTGCAGCAATAATTTTTATGGAAACATTTTTATCATGTCGAGGATCAGTGTTGTTTGCAGTTGGCGTTGGTCCTGGAGATCCTTCAACTTCCTTGCTACAGTCAACGCTCACTTTTTCTCCGCAAAGACCTGGATTTCCCGAGAATGATTTTACATTGAATTTTGACAAACTAGAGGGAATCTCTCCTTCAAGTTCATTGTTTGATAAATTGATAGACTTCAAAGTTGGGTGATCAAAAGCAGGAATATGTCCACTAAATTGATTGCTTTCGAGATGTAAGTCAATGAGATGAGACAACCGACCCAATGAAAATGGAATGTTTCCTGTAAATTTGTTATTTGATAACCAAACTCTCTTGAGTGATTTCATTTTGGAAAAATACTCGGATGGAATTTCACCTGAAAACTGATTCCATGACAAGAATAAAGCCTTCAAAGCACCCAAACGATTGATTTCAGGAATGACGCCTGTAAAAGAATTGTTCATAACACTGAAAGAACGCAAACCTTTCATCCCAACCAGAGCATCAACATCAATATTTCCTGATAATCCCATTCCTTCAAGACGCAAACCCGTAACAATGCCATTATAACAAAGCAGTCCATTCCAAGGTCTTTCTTCATCGCAAGGGGCCGAGCTGGGCACCCAAGAATCGAGAGCACTAGCATTGGTAAAAGATTTCTTGAGCTTTAACAAGGCCTCAGAATCTGATATCGAAAATGTCAATGGTAACAGGACCAAGAAAGATGACAACAAAAGAAATGGCCTGAAAAACCAAGCCACGGCCATTACTTTAACCGGACACTGGAGGCCTCAGGGTGGTTTTTGGCAACGTATTTTTAGTAGTATGATTGTGGGGTGCTATTGTCGTGCTAATTTTTCGTATTGGCTTGGATTGTTGTTGCGTTTGGTTTGTTTTTTTTTTTTTTTGAACAAGTCAAGTTTGAAAAATCCGTCATTACCGTTAACATGTATGGATTGGAATGATCATCACCTCTCAAAACTTACGCTTCAGCCTTTAATTGTGCAGCAAAATAGTGCCGACCTGACAAAAGGGTAGAATTCACATGCAGTAAAAAAACAAGAAAACAGAAAAACTACAGCATCAACAGATTCAGGACGACAGTGGGATGCCTTCCCTTCTTTTTTTGTTTTCACTTTTCTACTCAATTTGTTTAGATTTTAAGATTCTAGGATTATCTTGGCATATTCTATTTTTTTTTTAGACAATGTTTAAGATTCAACATTTTTTTCTTTAAATTGGTCTTGCTAAAGCTAGAAATCAATATTATTTTTAATCTCGTTTATGTTAGGTAAACAAGTCTGTAGGTTTCAATTGGGCAGGAAGGTAAAAAAAAGTTGGATTTTGCCCAACATTCACAATCATTGGACCACTTTGTAGTCTGTTCAGGATGTTATTGGATTTATGACCCAACAATCAGTCTCGGGCTAGCTTTTTAAGCTTGTTTACTGGATCAAGTAAGGACTTAATTTTTTTTTTTTTTTAAATAAGCGAAGTCGCGATTTAAAAATTAAAAAAAAAAAAAGTGATGGCAGATGCAAAATTTTAAATATAAAATTATAAATTTATAAATACTGTAATTTAAATATCAAATTTATTAAATATTATTTATAATTATATAAATTAATTGATTTAAGTTTCAACTTCGTAAATACATGCAAAATAATCAGTGAAGCTCCCATCTATAAATGCCTTTTTGGTTTTTTCTAAGAAATGAAAATAAAAAAACAAAATAAAAGAAATTTTTAATAAAAAATAAAGATAAATAATAAAAGAAAAAAGTAAAGAATCCAAAAGAAGAGATTAAAATCTAAAGACAACAAAACATGATATTTCATTTTTTTCTCTTTTTTTTTTTTTGTCTTTCATCACTGCCGACTAGGTCCAAATTTGATATATTCCGTTTTAAAATCTAACCCTTTTTTTTTTTTTGTAATTTACATGTTGAATGCATATGATTTATGGTTTTTTTTAATAATTTAACAATAAGGGATTCTTCAACTTCAAACAACCATTACTTGAAAATAACCAGTTCAAAATTTTTTTACCCTTTTTTTTTTTATTTCACTACAAGAGTCCATATGAAAAGCTGGTAAAGTTTGATCCTTGAAGCTTACTCAAACCCGACGCTTCGCCATTGTCTTAACTTGAATTGATTAATCCATAAACATTTCTTATCCTCTTTTGTTTTGTTCTAATAATTAAGTTATAAGATGAATGGTAACATTTTCCTTTCTATATTTCATAGATTACTGGTAAAATCCATTATCGAAAATTTCTTCATCTAATTACTTGGCACTTATGGCCACAAAATTCTTATAATTAAACTAAACGAATGATAACATTTTCTTTATGCAACAAATCAGCGCTGTCGAAATAAAGATTTCTTGGATTGCGCCTATTATAGGAGTTTGAAAATTTACCCTTATGATTTTATCATTAAAGAAAAGATATCTTGATGAAAATGTAATTATTATAAAATTACAGTCTAATATTTAATTATTAGAACATTAAATTATTTTCCTCCTGACACTAACCTTTTAATCAAAGGTGTGAATTGTGTGTTAGATGAAGAGTGATACAAATTTTCTTCATCGACATTATTATTGATGTAATGAATAAACACTATTAATGCAAAAATTGTTAAAGATATTATCTGTTACGAGAGTCAATAAAACTATAATACTTGATGGAAACCAAAGTGCAGTTCCACACTGATGCATCTCATCTGATCAAAATTCAATTCAAATCAAAGTCACCTCAGAGACTTTGATTTTTTTTTTTTATTATTTTTTTTAATGCGATGGGAGGGGAAGGTTCCTGTTGCACTAGAGCACATGCGATACGCATTCAAAATAACGTTGCCTGACTAGCTAGAAGCTATCCGACTGCTAAAATTTAAACATTATAATTTAAAATATAATATAATATAATATAATAATAAAATAAAATAAATAAATAAATATTTTATGTTTTTATATCAATATAAATTATAACATAAAAATTTTATATAAAATAAATTATACATACATAAATTATTAATATTTTATTTTATGTGAGTATACAAATGACTATATACACCAACGTAATGCTTGAATAAATATTAATAATAAAAAAAATAAAAATAAATTTTTTAAATATATTTATGTACCTCTTATTTAAATAATTAAAAATTAAAAAAAATTAACAACTATTATTTAAATAAAAAATAAAAAAAAAATTATTATAATAATTTTTTTAATTATAAACTTTTATTGATTATAATTTTAGAGCACTCATAAATACAATAGTTTTTTTATAAATTTTTTTTTTACTTTTTTTTTTTCAAATTAAGATATTAAAAAAATAAAAATTACAAATAAAAACAATAATTATTAAATTTTCACCCTTTTTTTTAGTTAAAAATTTATTCAAACAAAAAAATTTTCTATTTCTATTTTTTTTTTATTTTCCTTTCCTTTCCTTCCATCCAAACATATTGTAAAAATCAACCATATGCTTTGGCACATTATTATCGTGTGATCATTCATCCTTTCCTATTTGACCGTTTCTTCGAAGGCTGAAGCCCCCTTGTCAAGTGTCATTATCTCTTACTCTCTCCGAACCACTTAAAAAAAAGGGCATAAGTGAAAAAAAAAAACTTCAATAAAAATTTAATAATTATTTAAAATGTTTTTATATTTTATTACAATCAATTAAATTTTAAATTTTTTATTTTGAATCAATTAAATTCTTAAATATTTGTTTTTATCCAAATAAATTTTTATACATCTATTTTTACTCAATTAAGTAATTAATTGAATGAAACCGGTCAACTATTTTTTCTTTAATAAATATTTAAAAATTTAATTAATTATAAAAAATAATAACCTATATAATTATTGAAATTTAATTTAAAGATTTTTTTGATCATTTAAAAAAAAAAAAAAACAGTCACAGAACTCACAAAATAGCAATATCCAAAACCCAAGTTTTATAAAAGGGTAACCAAAAATTTTAATGCAAACAAAAGAGCCAGGTTGTTGAATTGATAAAATTGTTAATTTGTTTCTATGTAAATGACTTTAATTTCAAATTTCGTCAATAATTTCTTTTGATGCTATTCAATAATAGTAATATTTTTTTTTTTACATTTACATTTTAATCTAAGAGATGGAATAGTATATTGTTTTATCCATTTTTTTACAAAAAAAAAAGCATAAATAATTTATATAATGAAAGAATTGAGGTGCTCCATATCACTTAATTAAGCTGGAATTTTCGTAATATCATATTATTCTTTTGTATTTTATAAAATATTTATTATGTTATTTATTTAAAAAATAATTGATAAAGTATTTTATTTTATTAGACTAAAGCAATTTTTAAGGAAGTAATAAATTATAAAAAACCAAAATTTTGATATAAAATCTCTATTATTATAATTAATTAATTATCATTTGATCAAAACCTCGTTCATCAATAAATGATATTCATTTAAAACGATAATTTGGGTGAGTCAAGATTTACAAGAAACATTGGATGTGATAAGCCTTGAAGAAGTAAAGGGTTTTTCTTATATTTAATGTTTTGCAAAATTTAAATTCAAAATTTTTAATTTTATAATCATATTTCAATATTATTGAACTAACAACTTATCTAATCATTTTATAATGTAGCTTTCGATCCAAAATTTTCCTGAGTTTTCAACTAAATATGTATTCTTTCAAAAAAAAAAAAAATTGTAATAAATATCGAGTGGTACAACTAAAACAAAGGAAAATCGAGATAAATTTTTACTTGATTTAATTTTATAATATTTATAAATTATTTAATTAGATTTATATTAAAATATTTTTAATATTAAATTTGATCTAATTTGTATATTTATAAAACATAATTAATTTATTTCAATTTGACTTAAAATTAATTTAATAATTTTAATTTAACATAATATCATAAAATATCTTAAATAAATTATTAAATAATAATTTAAAACATATATATAAATAATAAATTAAATAAATAATAAAAAATATTTTTATATATATTCAAATCTCGTCGGGCCGATATCACTTAAAATCCGACTTAGACTCAAATCTATCTTAAAAAGAATTCAATGTTATCCAGCTCCATATTCAGTTTTAAAAAAATTATATTTCATTAAATCAAGTAAATTAAAATTTATTAAATACGAATTATTTTATAGATTTAACAGTCGAGAAATTAGAGAAATTTTATGGGTCCTCTCTTTGGAAACGAATATTTTTCATTGAGTTTTCTTTTTTATTTCAAAGAAAATATATATGCTCTATTGAAACGTCTTTTCTTGGTCCCTTCTGTTTGTTTTAAATTAAGAAATTTACAATTGATTTTTGCCTCATTCTCTCACCGTAATACAATCACATTCTGACCTACCTAATTCTATTTTTAAAGGTTTTTGGTTTGGAAACAACTCTTCATTGCCAATCTGCAATCCCGTCCACATTTGACCTGGATTCCTCCATTTTATTAGCGATTATATTATAATTTATTAATTTAAAATTATATAAAATTTATCAAAGTATTATATAAAATTCATATCTATAAGTAATAAATTTTTACATAATTTTTTTATTATAATTAAATAATTATAAAATTATAGGTGAAATACTCTTTTTTTTTATCACAATTAAAAAATAAAATTTTCCTCTCTTGTTTTAGGTATAGTGGACATACCAAACATGCAAATTGGCTACAAGGAATCATTAAGAAATGAATTTTAATTGTTTGCTCCAAATTGATAAAACAAATCAATGATATGTAAAACACGAAATTTTAAATCTTAATAATTAATTATAAAAATAATATGTGCCTATCCTTACTATTTATATTATTACATATTAGTTTATATATGCAATTGTATAAACTATTTTTTTGTTCAAAATTGTTGAAATTTAATTAATTTTTATAAACTCACAACATGAAATAAATTAATAATTTAGTTAGATATACATAAATGTAGATTATATATGATAATAGTAAGTACTATCTTATTAACAATTGAGTTATTTATTGATAAAATATTAAAATTTTAATTTAATGATGAATTAAAATTATATAAAAAAATTATTTTATTATTATCTAAAAAAAGAAAAAAATTATATTGAACAAATAGTCTCTAGTTTTTTGAATCGAGATATAAAATTATTTGATAATTTAAAATATGATATAATTATATAAAATAAAAATAATTTAAAAAATTTAAATTTTAAAAAATTTAAATTTTTAATAATAATTATACATAAAATCAAAAAAATATGTTTCGTTTTTTCGTCTTAATAAAAATTATGTGATAAAATTTTGATATAAAATATTATAAAAATATATAAATTTTAATATTTTAGGGTAAGTAAATGTGCGAATCTCTACATATCTAAATGATAATTTTTATCACGTGCTGTATTACACTCTGCAGAAAACAAGTAACGTAAGAAATTAATGCCCGTGGGGCCCACGTGGCTGTCTGCCTCCGTCGACACTTGACTCCACCGAACTAATTACTGTCAAAAAAGTGCCTTACTCCGTCCGTGTCTTGCGAAGTCACCAGTAGGCACCCCTAAATTGCTTGTAATTACCAAAGTACCCTTTTATTTATAAACATATAGTATATTTATTTATTAATTAATAACGTATCTACTTTAATCTTCTTAGTCACAAAAATATCATGCTTCGAAAAATAAATAATTAACAATCAAATTTTAAATCTCATGATTCATCTATATATATATATATATATATATAAAGAAATTTCATGTAATGTCTAAAAGGAAGAAAGGTTTAATTATTTTCCCAATTTATTAATATGAAATATTTTTTTCATAGAATTATTATGAAGCAAAATTTGGGTCATTCTTACAACTAGTTGGGATAAAACGACCTAAGTTGTACCTAAAAAAAATTTATATTGTTGATTATCTCTTAATTAAATTAATATGTTATTAAAATTTATATTTAAAAATTATGAATTTAAGAGAGTTTGGATACGACCTTTTCAATTAGGTATATAATAAGACAATGAAGTTTAAGAATAAGTTAGAAATTTCATAAAATAAAAAAGGACATATGTTCGGTTTTATTTAAATTTTTATCAATTTAATAGTTTTCATTTTCAATAAAAAAATATAAATTTTATTGAAAGAACTCTACCTAAAATTTTGTCTCCCTTCCGCCATCAGTTTCCTTTATTGAATGTAGAAGCTAGAAGATGTCTTTAAATTCCCATCCTAATTTGCATTATAAGTCAAAATTTTGAATCGTCTGTTTTTTTTTTTTTTTTTTTGCTCGTGTTCAACAGTTCCACCAACCACTTTGTAAATGTTCTCCAAGATTAAGCCAATTTTTAATGGGATTTCCTAGTTTTTTTTTTAAATTTTTTTTACAAAACACACTATAATCCAATAATAAAAAAAGAGATTATAAATTTTAATATTTGAATTATGAAAATCATATCTTACAAAAATGATTGTATGAATCAACAAAATTAAATTTTAAATTCAATACATATTAAAGTTTTTGCTAGAGCCTAAAAGCATAACAAATTTTCTATTTAAATTTAAGATTTAAAAGTTTTGAATTTAGTTTTTTTAACCCAAAATATATATGTTTATTATTAAGTCAAATGTTCATGTGCAGCGTAGTTACACAAAAACAATTGTTCAATGAACCAAAGTGTATTTCAAGGTAATATAAAAAAAAAAAAAAAGAGTTTTTTTTTTTTTTTTCTTTTTAAGATTCAAATCCCACGTATCCTAGTCATGAAAGAATAACTAAACTGTAATATGATTATGTATTAATATCCATAATCATGTTGCTTCTCTTCCCCACCCATTTGTAAAAAAAAAAAAAAAAAAGGTTTAAAGGGAAAATATTTAAGGTAAAGAGGTTGGATGTCATTTTTATTAGTACTCTTTTTAGACAGGTTAAATGTTTTAACATTTGTATGAAGGACAAAAAAAATGTGAGATTATTCCATGTAGAAATGGATCATAATTCTAACTTTATTCATAAAAATGTTAACCTTATAAACAAAATTAATCTTTTTTTTTTTTAAATCACAATTTAGTGATAGAAAAATGATGGTAAGTATGGTGATTTAAATCTCATTCATGTTATTTGTCATTTTAAAAATAATTACATAAATTAATTAAATTTAAATTTAAATTTACTAGAATTGAATGCATAAATGCAAAATCTCAAATATGGCAACTCATTTAAAAGAGCACATTAAATTTAATCATATTCTAATACACATGATAAGACCCGAATTTAATGTTTTTCCTTCTTGGCATGAAAAATGTGACCAAAAACCTTGACAACCCGAAACCATTTGACTTGGACCACAGAATTTGCTGTTCTTCCCTTATTTATGAATTTTAAGGTTTGTTGAGCAGAAGACTTGGTCCACATAACCACAGCCGAAGGGCAGCCATGGAAAAAAAGTGAGGTGGGCAATTGCAAGGAAAGATCCAACATGACTGTTCTTGCTCCTCCACTACTGTCTTCAGGATTATTATACTAGAAGTAGTTTCTCTCCCTTCAACTTTTTTCCTAATGCGAAAAAAACGTGCTTTAAATAAAATAATTAATTATTTTTGTAATAATTCCGTAAAGAAACCAGAACAGCTCAGAGTTAATCAGGTTCAGAGACCGTGGTGGTATTTGGAGAAACCTGCTTTCCCCTTATAATCTTTCCTATATCATCCTCTATCACTCTCAAAGTGACAAAAAACTTAGATAAGACCCTGAAACTTGATGTTTCACTAGATTTTATCTTTGACTGTTGCTTCATTCAGCTTTTGCAGGAAACTTGAGAGATTTCAGACAACAAGAGAAGAAAAAAAAGGAAGCAATGTCCAGTTCAGGCCAAAAGTCCGGTAAGGCTCCTGACAGAGCAAGTTTTGTCAACCTACTCAGCCAGTACTTGAAAGAAAAAAGAAATCTTGGAGATATCAGCGTTGGAATGACTTCAAAAACTGAAGCTAAAGGTACCCGTTCGCTTTCTTAATTTCTAGGCTTCTGTATTAGTTGCCTGAAGAAAGGATTGTAGTAAAATTCTGAGCTTTAATTTGGCTTTTGTCGGAGGTGATGAGCATGAAGATTTTCTTTTTCCTGTGGATGCTATTGGAAAGAAAAGTTCTTGGATTTACGAAAAAGAAGGTGCTTTATATTCTTTGTTTGTTGATGTTGCAGGGCTCGAAACTTTCAGGCAAAAAGCAACGGCAATGAACTTTTTGCCCAATATGGATAATTCTTTTCAGAGTTCAAGACCAAATATTGTGGCATCAACATCAAATGTGAAATCATCTGATTTCTTTCCAGGGATTGGCAGTTTTGGTTCCTCCAGTTACAAGCAAGATATCACTAACAAGACAGATATCAGGTATGCATCTTATAATTCATTAATATCACAGGATATTCAGGTGCCCCTCATATTGATCTTTTACATACCCAATCTTTTAAAAATGTTTTACTGTGTTTCACTATTTTTACTAAAATTGGAAGCAATATGTTTTTAAAGATTTTTTATCAATTTTCTCTCCAGTTTTTCCATTCCCAATGTTCATTCTTCACTTGTCTGAAATTGTTTAAAAAACATATATACTGAGAATATTGTTTTTGTTGGTTTAGAAAACCAACAATGGTGGAACCAAAGAATTCCCAGCTGACCATATTTTTCGGCGGCCAAGTGCTAGTATATAATGACTTTCCAGCAGACAAGCTCAAGGAGATCACGGCCATAGCTAGCCAAGTATGCCCAAGAGCATGTAATGGTGTTGTTTCTGGCATGGAAAAAGTAAATTCTAACATACACAAAATTGATTCTAGCAATTCTGATATTCCTGACCTGAACATAGCCTCCACTACCGCAAATAGCCCTGCTCAAGATCCTTCCGTTGAGCGGCGTCAATATGGTGGTTCAGGTAATTAATATGTGGCCTTGAACCAAATCGTGGAAGTTGCTGTTGAAAATATTGAAAGCTTTTAACCATTAAAGACCAATTCTAATTTGTTTGCATTTCTTGGTTCTCTACAGATTTGCGAATTGCAAGAAGAAATTCACTTCACAAGTTCTTCGAGAAGAGAAAAGATAGGTACGAAAGTTTTTCCAGCATTAGAAAATTTTTTTAAGCTAAGCTTCACAGAAACATGTTTAGTTTCCCCAGTTCCTCGGAAACTGTAGTAGATTCAGGATTTTTTTTCCAAGGTGTCCGCTTAATATATATGAAACTGTGGACGAATTTATTAATTTTATCAAAGGAAACAAAACCAATGCCCTTATATTGCTGACTTTTTTTCTCGACTACAAAAGGAGAGATTAACGATTTATATTTTTCCTTTGATCCATCAAACACCAGATATAGGCTTTATAAAAATTGAATTTAGGATCTAGATAGCCTATCCTTCTCGGTTGTTGTTGGAACGCTGGATCAAGGGCCTGGGTGCAGATTTAATCTTGTTCTTCTCTAAATTGATCCTTGGCTTCGTTTTCAGGGCAGCCGCAAGAGCACCATACCAAGTTAACAACCTACGAGGATCGCCTACTCCACCTAAACTTGATAAAAGCAAGTCATCTCATGAGGAAGGCCAATCATCAAAAGAAGCACCAAGAGATCTTGATCTCAAGTTATAATCATAATGGTTCCTTCATTATGATGCAACTTAGGATACCCTTGTAATGCAGGCTTAAGGATTTTAACTATTGTTGTTAGGCATTTTATACTTCAATATCAATATATATCTGCTACAATTAAATTGAAATATGAACTCAGGAACTTAGTTCAGGTAGCTCATACAATGGCATTTAACAAATTTAGAGTTCAAATTTCAACATTTGTAATATTTTCTTCAATTGCCGGACTGGAGCTTCTTTTGTAAAAAAAAAAAAAAATTTGAGATCTTGTAACTTTTTTCATGTAAGTTTGATCCATTGAGCGTAAAAACTGTTTTCTATCTTCTTCTTGATGAAACTATGTTGTTGATTTGTTATCTTTGGCAAGTAGGGAAGCAGGCAGACAGCAAATTACTTCATTAAATGGTTTAAAATTGATGAATCGGGTAAGGGATTGAGTGTTCAACTTCTATTATCAGAAGAGTAGACGAATCTGTCTTGATTTAATAGAAAAAGGAAATTCTACAGCAACAGCAAGAACCAAGCTAGGCAATTCCGTTGAGTATGTGAAATACTCAAATCAGAATCGAATGGGTCAATTGTGTTAGGATCACAGCAGCTCTCATACAAGTTATTATGCTAAAAAAACCACAATTCAATTAAATATTTTAAAGAAACTAAATTAAACTAATCAATTTATTATTCAAAAAATAATAATTTTACATTATTTAATCCAATTGATTGATATTTACAAATAAAAAAAAGATTTATTAATTATAAAAAATTATAAATATATCATATCATATCAATCATTATTCATTAGTAATATCGATAGATTTTTTTTATTTTTCTCTAATTTTATAAAATATTTAATTCAAATAAACAGATACATACGTAACACATTATATTTATGTATATTTTTTTTTATTGTACATTTAAATATATATACTTATAAAAATATTTTTAATTTCTTTTAATCTTATGAGATGTTTATCTCATAAAATTTTATATATATTTTTTTCGTATCTAAATAATATATAATCAATTTTAAACGAATCGTAGTTATTTTCAACAAATCAAACGGTGTTGGATTCCATTTTCTTGTCTTATGTTTTTGGTAACAATTTTGGGTGACCAGTGACTGTCGGTAATAACTTTAGACCACCAGCTCCCCTTGTATGAAGCCAGAAAATTTGATTTTGACTGGCCATTAGAGGAAAGGGAATGTGATAGAGACTATATAATACAACAATCTACTTCGATTTGATTCCTTTCGGACTTTTTGCTCCCTAGATGCCAAAACAATTAAACATGGGATATTTCTGATCCAATCTTCGAGCTCTCTCTCTCAGTAGTCAAAGACGATGGCTTGCCCAAAGTTAACAGGAAACCCCTATCATAGGGCTTGAACCAGTGAACCTCATAGGCTTTTCCTGTCCCTTTCCTGCTACTTTTTCGTCATGGAAGTTAGGTGAAAGCTCACATTTTGCACGCTCTGTTCAAATTCAGAAATGGCTTGATAACAGTCTTTATTCCTATAATGCTACGCTGTTACTAGCAGATCTTTGATTGGATCAAGAAATTACTGTTAAATTAAAAACCTTCAATCCAATTACACACAACGAAAAAAAAAAAAAAATCAAACACACAAAAGATAATAATTTAACGTGGTTCGATTCAACTGACTTATATCTATGGATGAAAAACAAGATCCACTAGTTATAGAAAATTACAAACATACATCAAATCATTAACCTCACTTAACAATCAATACTCATAAGATACTCTCATTCTCCTCTAGTCTTATGGAGTATTTTAAACCCAAACAAACGTAAACCCAAACTCTTGTGCACCCTTTCAACATAACCAAATACATACTCATATGCTCCCATACATCATACCTATGTGGACCCTCTAGTCCACTCACAAACAAACATACACACTCATAAGACGTAGAGCCTCAATACTCCTATCAGTTGTCTATCCCATAAAACCCTACAACTCTCTTACATCTTTTTCTCATACCTAACCCTGTAGAAATTTTACCTATTTATAACTATACAAACTTGCCCATTAAGAATCTCTCTCTTCTTAGAATTCTTCTCTTATAAGTCAAACTTGCTTATTAAGAATCTCTTTCCTTTTAGAATTCTTCTTTTGCAAGTCAAACTTACCTATTAAGAATTCTCTTTCTCTTAGAATTCTTCTTTTGTAAGTCTTCTTGTCCATCAAGTAATATCTGACAAATCTCAAACAAATCTCAAACAAATCTCTAACAAGCAATATCTGACAAATCTTAAACAAATCTCTAACAAATCTCTTATGAGATTTGAGTCAATATTTCCAACAATCTCCACCTTGACTCAAATTTCATTAATCATCTGTCTTCATACTAGACATGCTTGGCTCCACTTGCAATGAAAGTCTCACAATCATCTTCTCTTGTGTCTTCATGCTTCATACAAACCAATCCTCAATCTTAAACTCGAACTCTTCTCTTGAATCGAGCTCTTCTAAGCTTACTTCTTCCCATGTCTCAAATCAAGCTCTTCTCATATCTCGAACTGTCAACTATTCTCATGTCTCGAACCATCGGCTCTTTCCACATCTTGAATCTTTAACTCTTCTCACGTTTCAAACCTTCAGCTCTGATACCACTTGTTGGGGATCACCACAGCTCTGATACCATTTGTTGGGCTAAAAACCTCCAATCCAATCACATACAGCAGAAGCAAAATCAAACAATAAATCAAACACATAACGTGGTTCGATCCAACTGACCTACATCCATGGATGAGAAACAAGATCCATTAGTTGTAGAGAATTACAAACATACATCAAATCATCAACCTCACTCAACAATCAATACTCATAAAACACTCTTAATCTCCTCTAGTCTTATGGAGTATTCTAAATCCAAACAAACACAAACCCAAACCCTTGTGCACCCTTTCAACATAACCAAACACATACCAATATTTCTCATACATCATACCTATGTAGACCCTCTAGTCTCTTCTAGTTCACTCACAAATAAACATACACACTCACAAGACGTAGAGCCTCAATACTCTTATGAGTTGTCTATCCCATAAACTCTATAACTCTCTTACATCTTTTTCTTATACTTAACCCTGTAGAGACTTCACCTATTTATAACCATACAAACTTGCCCATTAAGAATCCCTCTCCTCTTAGAATTCTTCTCCTGTAAGTCAAACTTGCCTATTAAGAATTCATTTTCTTTTAGAATTCTTCTCTTGCAAGTCAAATTTACTTATTAAGAATATTCTTTTTCTTAGAATTCTTTTTTTGTAAGTTTTTTTATCCATCAAATAATATTTGATAAATTTCAAACAAATATCAAACAAATCTCTTACGAGATTTTAATCAATATTCTCAACAATTACAGCATTTCCAACACGACATCGAAGCTTTACTGTCTTAGGACAAACAGGTATTTCTTTTTCAAAAGAAAAAAAAAGATTAACAACACAGTCAAACTTGCCAACAGTGCTTAAGCTTAAAATGGTAAAATATGGAAACCATGAATCAGTGTCGGGGAACATCAGCCGCAGAAGCAGAAATCATTTGTTCAACTTCTTCACCAGCTACGGACTACAAACATATGAAATCATAAAAACAATCATCTGTATCCGAAGGGAACAAAGCAGTAAATAACAGAACAGGAATTGGCTGCAGAAGCACTTAGCAGGGAAGAAACTGAAATACAAACTACGTGATTGAATTAATTCTGTATCCATGATGGAGAGACTGGTTCTTCCCCTTCTTGAAACTACTCCATTCATACTTTTAGTAAGGAAAAAAATTTGATCAATGGTAGATTGTTGAATCTACGTTTCATTGCCTTTGTGTAAGAAGGAGACAGGTTGATTCATACCATTGCAATTTCTAAGGTCCAAAATTTAATTTCCCCATCAAATCCATAATGAAAGGGGAAAAACTTATTAGAAGTTTTTAAGATGAAATTTATGAAATTTATTTTTAAGAAATAATTTAATAAATTTTTTTAAAAATCAAATCAATAGATTAATAAAGTTTAATACAAAAATCAATAATATGTAAAAAAATTATTAAAAATATTATTTATAATTTAAATTTAATGATTCTTATTTAATGGTAAATTTTTTTAATATTTTTATTAAAAATATTTATTTAAAAAATATATAAAAATTTATTAAATTTTTTCAAAATTTTATATATTTGATCTATATAAACGAGATCTTTTAATTTATCAATTTTATTTTTTATTTTAATTTTAATTTAATTATTTTTAATTAAAAATTCTACTAAATTCACTTAAAAATTTTCATATAAATTGTTAAAAGAAAAGGATTTTGACATACCTAATGATTCTCACAATTTCTTTACAAAGGAAAGCTCACTTGTACAGTCTTCGTCAATTTGATATAAAAGGCCCATTATCTGGTTTATTGGGCCAAAGCATTTGTACTTTTCTAAGCCTGTCCACTCTTACTTCACTTTTGGACATGGATTTTGTCTCATAGCCTCCAATAAATGATCCCTCTGCGAAATTTTATACGTGGCAGTTCTTCATTTGTTATTGACAATCACAAGTAACACAGAGAGGTAACTTTATCCTTTTCCTTCCCTCAATAATGATCCCGTTATAAATACATTTTGGAGCCACTTGTTTCTCTTCCACTCTTTTTAGAGGTCTCTTTTCCTCTTTCATTTTTATTTTTTCCTCTCACTTTCTCGAGGACCCCCATTCTTGGAAGTTGGAACCCTAGCAAAGAGAAAAAAAAAAGGGTAATTTTCTTGGAAACCAAACACCCCGATTAATTTTCCCTAGAAAATCGCCAAGAAAAAATGCAGCACCAGAGGCTAAAGCAACAGCAACAAGCCTTGATGCAACAAGCTCTCCTCCAACAACAGTCTCTCTATCACCCAGGCATCTTAGCTCCTCCTCAGGTTTTCCACTCTTTTTTCTTTTTCATCTCTTTATTTTTTTTCGTCAATTCCTGTTTTCGTCGATCATTTACAAGTTTTTGATCCGATTTCTAGGAATGATTTCTTGGATTTTTGGAAATCGTGTTTTGATCTTCGAGCTCGTGTTTGGTTTCTTGTATTTGATTGATTGGTAGGGCAAGGGTTGGTGGTGGGATTTTATGCGGTGTTGTTACGGATTTTGAAAGCTCAACTTTTTCTCTAGGTTTTGCTTGAATTCGTGGAATTTGTTTTTTTTTTTTTTGTGATATTTTTATGGCTTTGAATGTGATTTTTTTTTTCCATTTTTTCACCTGCTTTTGTAGTCGGAAAGTTGAATGTTTTGTATTTGGTTTTTGGAAATGGGAAAGTCTGTCTTTAACATGCTTTTGGTGTAAAGTTAAACTCGTTGTTTTGGGTTTGAAATTTGATGTGAGATTGTTTTCTTTCTCGATATATTACATTTTCATTGCGTGAAATTCCAATGTTGTTGTTTCTCTTGTATGAAGTTACAATGGGCAAGCTAGTAGGTTTCCTTCTGGTGTTTTCTTTCTCATTTACTCGTGTTTCTCACTACTTTGGTTTTATTTAGTTTACTGCTGATCGAAATCTTCATGTTGTTTTGCAAATGTTGAGACATATGTTTATATGTATCTACCGGTATCTCTTTTTTGCAAATATTGGGTAAAAATGTGCAATCTCTCTCTCTCTCTCTCTCTCTCTCTCTTGTTTCTAGTGTTGAAGCGTAAAACATGGTTCCTGAATTTTTGGGACTCTTTAGGTTTATAGTGCTGGAATATAACAGCATGGAGCAAATTTATAGAAATGTACTCTACTTTCAAATTTGCATTCTGGTGAAGTTACATTTCCGGCAGACCTTTTTTGTTTCAATTGTGTAGAAAGATATAGATATGTTTTTCAATTTGGCGGAGGGAGTTCAAAGGAATATTGAACTGCATTATCCTTGAATTTTCTCTGACCTTCAGACTACAGTTCTGATGAACGTATGTCTTATTTAGATGATGCGAAATATTTGGGTTTGGTTGTCACTGAAAAACCAAAGGGGAAATCATAGTAAAAGCAATAAAGTATATTGTTATTTTTGTCTTTAATAAAGTGTTTTCAAAGACGTTGGAGAAGTGATGCTCTCATTTCAGATGGTTGTAGTTAGTTTCTTGTTTTTTCTAGGCTGAATGTTGGATACCTTCTAAAACTCATCTTCTATCCAGGATTTGAATGCTTTAGAATTTGGGCGAGTGGGAATGGATTTTTTTTACATCATTTCTTCTTTTCCCCTCTTTTTATTTTTTTTTTTCACTTTTTCTTTTTGCAGATAGAGCCAATCCCAAGTGGAAATCTGCCTCCTGGTTTTGATCCAAGTACTTGCCGCAGTGTGTGAGTGTTTGCCTAGATATTTTTACATTTTTTTTCTTTTTCCTTTTTGTTTCTTTTGTATTTTGTGTGTCTGTTGTTTCGCCTTCTTGCTTAAGCAACTACCCTAGTCACTTTTATGCTTATAATTATATACATTGGAGACAATTTCCTTCATGAATCTGGTGATTGAAAATGCTGTTAGTGCAAAATTTGAAGCCAATGGCTCCTTAAATTGATAGTTAAATGGTTTGGGAATGCGATAGCTATGTGTATGTTCTTGCATCTTTCGAACAACTCAGAAAGTTACTTATAGCCTTTTATTTATTTTTTTTGTTTCTTTTTTTTTTTTAAACTTTCTAGTTTTTTTATTTTTGAGAAACTGCAGGTATGTGGGAAACATCCATACACAAGTGACTGAACCTCTATTGCAAGAGGTTTTTGCAAGTACTGGTCCTGTTGAAGGTTGCAAGCTTATCAGAAAGGAAAAGGTATTATTTTAATATAGTATCCTATTCTTCCTTATGATACCTTGAGGATGCTCTAATTATGCAATGGTTAAATTTCTTACTTTTTCTCCCTTTTCCTTCAGCCAATTGATTGCTGTATGGTTGACATGTCTTTTGTTTCTCACTCTACTTAAACAGTCATCATATGGGTTCATCCACTACTTCGATCGCAGATCAGCTGCTCTTGCTATATTGTCTCTAAATGGAAGGCATTTGTAAGTATTAACTTTTAATCTGTACCTCATACTCCATTTTGAGTGTACTTTTACATCATATAATATCATGCAATCTGCAGATTTGGACAACCTATCAAGGTCAATTGGGCATATGCTAGTGGTCAGAGAGAGGATACAACAGGTTTTCCCTTTTCTTTTTTTGGCAAAATTTTGCTCTAAAATTTTTATGATGTAATGGCAATTATTTTTTAATTATAATTTTGATACTATCATAATTGGTGCAGGTCACTTTAACATTTTTGTTGGGGATCTTAGTCCTGAGGTTACTGATGCAATGCTGTTTGCATGCTTTTCTGTCTATCCCAGCTGTTCGTAAGTGTCTTTTTCTTTTTTATCTTGATTTCACTAAATGCATGGGTTGTAACTTATTAAAAGTCTAAACTATCAGGATGTGAAAATTTATTACTTAGTAAACCTTGATTAATGTTTTCATGATGCATATAGTAGTGATCTATTGGTGTCACAATGAAAAACAAATCTGATGTCTTTACTAATTTCAGGGATGCAAGGGTTATGTGGGATCAGAAAACTGGGCGTTCAAGAGGATTTGGGTTTGTTTCATTCCGCAACCAGCAGGTACTGTTTGTTGGTTAAGTTTCTGGTTGCTCTTTGGGTTTCTCTTCCATTATAGTGTTGTTTCATCTATTGGTGTTTGACTTTTTTTTTCCTCTGTTCAGGATGCACAAAGTGCAATTAATGACTTAAGTGGTAAGATTGACGCTTACTCTATACATGTTTTTTTTTTATATCTTCACTGGTCACAGTTTTAGCTTATCAAATAAAACTGTGATTTTTAGTTTGAAAGTTTATATTTTATATCTTTCAGGCTTTGAAGTAATCTTATTAAGTTGCTGAAATAGTAATATAAAAATGTTTCTCCTTTTCTTTTTTTCCTCTGTTACTCTTTGATGAATTTTTCTGTAAAATCACCATGTTTAGAGAGTATTGGTTCATTAAATTATTGTGGCTGAGCTGGAAGAATTATATTTACTAGTAACTTGTTAGAGGAATTATCACTTGCATGAATTGCTGTTATTTGATATTGCCTTAAAAATTCAAATGTTCTTTTGACTTATTTTTCTAGGCAAGTGGCTTGGCAGTAGGCAGATTCGTTGTAACTGGGCAACAAAGGGTGCTGGTAACAATGATGACAAGCAGAGCTCTGATGCCAAAAGTGTGGTGGAACTAACCAATGGCTCATCAGGTGCGTTTGTTCCAGCAAAAATCATTATCTTTTCTTCAAAAATCAAACTTGCACATTAATTATTACTTTGTTCAATGCAAACCTCAAAACTATTAGTATTTTATTATTTTATTTAACCTTTTATGGATGTTTAAATTTGTGCCAAACGGGAAATAATCTTACATGATACATCTATTACCTTGGTATGCAGAGGATGGTAAAGAGACAACCAATACTGAGGTTCCTGAGAATAATCCTCAATATACTACTGTTTATGTGGGCAATCTGGCTCCAGAGGCAAGTAGCTATCCCCAACATCTATTTTATTTATTATTTTGCACATGCAGGTTAATACTGAAATGCGGATTGCAAAGCATTATGAGCATACTTTGCATGGGACAAGTGAAATGGGCATTTCTTCCATCACTTTTAGGAAATCTCATATTTCTAGATGCATGGATAACATTAAATTTTACCGTACTTTGGTCATTTATGTTTTTTTTTAAAACCCAGCTAGAGTAAAAAGAATAATTGGCCTTTTAACCATCAATTCAAGCTTCTCAACCAATGATGGTATGAAGCTTGAACCAGTTGTCTAATATTTGAACCCTGAGAACTTCCATCTTCTAATAAAATTTTGATTGCATGTTCTGAAAGTTCCAGTTAATTTGTACTGTAAAGGAACATGTTAGGTTCTCCAATAAAACCAATTTTTTCTTTTTATTCCTGCAGGTCACCCAACTTGAACTCCACCGGCACTTCCATTCTCTTGGTGCTGGGGTAATAGAAGAGGTTCGGGTCCAGCGTGATAAAGGCTTTGGCTTTGTAAGATACAGTACTCATGTTGAGGCAGCTTTGGCTATTCAGATGGGGAACGCTCAGTCATTTCTATGTGGCAAGCAAATTAAGGTTTGTTCTCTGCCTTTAGTCAAAATTTTACTTCTTTATTTGACCAATATAAATATGTAACATAATGTGTATTTTTGAAGTCCTTGGAGGAGGATGCTTTGGAAATTCTTTGCATAGGTTCTTATGTACATTGAATCATTGACCCTTAAGTATCCTAAAATGAGCTGTATAATGAGTTGGATGATTGTCAAGGATGGTCTATGTTCTTTAGATTCAATCTTGCTTGTCTAAATCTTGTAGTTGTAGTTCCAACTTTCACTTTTTAATTCCTTGGATAATGAGAAATTGGCATCTTTAATTTGTTTGTGCAGTGCTCTTGGGGCAGCAAGCCTACACCATCAGGGACGAGTTCAAATCCACTTCCCCCACCTGTTGCTGCACCTTTACCCGGCTTTTCAGCTGCTGACCTTTTAGCTTATGAGAGGCAACTTGCCATGAACAAAATGGGTGGTGTTCATGCCCTAATGCACCCTCAGGTACAGCATCCTCTCAAGCAAGCAGCAATGGGAGTAGGTGCAGCTGGAGCAAGCCAAGCTATATATGATGGTGGATTCCAGAATGTTGCTGCTGCCCAGCAGCTGATGTACTATCAGTAATAAAAATAGAGTTTGTGTGGTAATATCCATATTTCTTGCATTTGCAGGTTTTATTTGAGTTCTAAACAAAACATTTAGGAGGCTTTTTAATGTATTTTCCCCTTTTTAGCAGTGGGGTTGCACCCTGCTTTTATCTATAGCATGTGTTTGTCGAATGTATCAACCCTGCTTTCTAGTGTATTTTCTCCTACATATTTCATACGGTTGCTGTGCCAATGGATATATAAAGCCTATTTGCAGCTTTCTCTTGGATTCTACTTGTACATATTTAGAAGATTTAACTATTTATGATCCATTGTTTGAACTTGAGAGATTAATTTCATCGCACTTGCTGACTGGCCTGGCATACAGAACTGTATTGATGACATTATTTATTGTAATAAATTGAAGAGCCTTTATACACACCTTTGTGGAGGAAAGATGCTTTTTTCAACCGGTTGAGGTTAGTATTGCAAATATTGTGCAACCTTAAATGATAGGAAGTGCATACCATCTGTCGCAACGCATGATCCAACCAATAATAACATAAAATAAATTCATAATTTCAGGATCTGCTACAAACATGGATACTGGAGATGAGAAAAAGGTGGGAAACGGAACAAGGTATCATTGACCCAACCAAGTAATGGTTAAATTCACAAACCAGTATCTGCAAACTGCAACTAACAACATTGATGGTAGAGGTGGGGAGAGACGGGGACAAAACGGAAAAGGCTATAGCCGCAACTCCGCAAGCTGTCTGCTATCTCTTCAACCTAATGTTTTTAGAGTACATAAAAAAGGTTGATTTTTATTATAGATGCAACTTCGTCAGTCTGTTTCCAACCTGGCAATATATTTGTCATAGAATTTCCCTGCTTTCTCAAGATCTCCAAGCTCAGTGTAGCAATCGGCAATTGCTCCATAAGCTTCTGTGTTTCCAGAGTCCTCCCCTTCTCGTTTAGATATTTCTAAAACCATCAAATGGTATTTAATGGCTTCTTGATATTTGCCTTGCCTTTGCAATGACGCACCTGGATGAAGCAAACTTAAGTCGGAGACTCTTACACTTTCAGGTAACCTTTATGAAAAGGAGTTCCAGGCTTACAATCCAAGCAATAAGAAAATTTTAGGATTCCGTAGACTGTATAACTCTACAAAAATAACCACATAACATGATAACACCCTTATATAGTTGGTAAAAGTTTAAAGGATATATGATTTCATCTCTTTATGCTTAGGCACTACCACTTATATTCATAAACAACTAGGGATTTCTTCCTTACCAAATATATGGCACCTAAAAGCTTGATGCACACAGATACAAGGCAATGCCATATAATAAATCATAATCCTTATTCCTCTTCTTCCACTTGGTTTGGCTTAAACCATAATAATTATATATTACTAAATCGGAGATGGGGACAAGATGGATAAAGGGAGAGATACAAACCTAAACCCCTGGCAGCCTTCTTCTCTTCAATAGGATCCTTTAGACTCTGAGCAAGCTCCAGGGCTGTCTTAAACTCTAGAAAAGCCTTCTCATGATCTTGATTTCTTAAAAATTTCTTTCCACTCTTCAATCGAGAGATCAATTCTTCCTTTCTTGGATCAACAACCACTTCATTCTCTGATATTCTACCAACAACCGGAGCATAACTCAGGCTGGGAGCATATGACTCTATCTTAGCCTGCCTTCTTAGAGCAGCATTAATCTGGCGCAGCTGCTCATTCACTCGCTGCAATTCCCCTCTCCTCTGCCGTGCAAGCAATCCTGAGGTACAAATTATGGATTATTAGGGAAATAATAGTTTGTGCAACATGGAATTTTCATGGATATCTGCATTACATCATTTTCCAAAAAGTGAAAAATATAAAAAGGAGAGGTAGCAACTAAATCCGACATGACATAGAAAAAGACATAAAAAGTTTATTTTCATGAGTTACATAGACCGCGCAGCATGAATTCCAGTGTTTAGGGAGGGAAAGGGCGGGAATTGTACATTTATTTTACAAATTGGTAATCCAAACAGAAAACAGCTATCTTATTTCTAGATTCTGTGAACTGAGACATTTTCTAACTTTGTAAATTAGCCATTCAGAATCTCTTCTTTCATGATATCTTGGAATGAATCCGAGTCTAGGTATTTTAGGAGTAACAAACTAACAATTTCTTCAACTTCAAGCACATCAAATATAGTTTGAACAATGAAATATCAATTGCTGACTGTGTTTGTATCATTGTAAGTTCATTTGCAAAGCACACAAGGTTGCATCCCATTATAGACCAGAACTAAAGACGATCAAAAGTAAGAAAGATACCTCCAACTGTGGCACCAATAAGGGCTACAAATAGCAGTAAAGGCATATTGAAAATGGAGTTATCAGCCTCACACGTTTCTGCCAGGGCTTTGAAAGGAGCAGAAAACATCAAAATGTTGGCAGCAAGAAATGCTGTCACTGGGACTCCTAACCGTAAGCCCCCCTGTCTCAGCAGCTTCAATCAATTAGAACAATTTGATAAAAAGGAAGAAAATTCTTTTAATCTTCAAAGAGTGACTTGATACACCATAAATTTCCATAATTAAAAAAAATCAAAGTAATTTAAGTCATATGCATCTTTCATGAACTTCAAACATTGAGATTTAAGTATTCTACAAATCTTATCAAAGCCAAATTATATATTACCAGGTGTGAAAGTGAACATTTAGCTCACAATCATATCCAAATAACATAAAATATAAGTATCTAACTAGCTTAGTTTTGTAACCATGATTAGAAATAATAAAAGCAAATAGCTGCCCAGAGGACTCACCATCATACCTCAAGAGTAGATAACTGCTGTAAAAATTCATCATAATATGATGAAATACGATCCAAGACCCACTTTCCCCCCGGCTTTTGGCAATGGAGTAAGGACTGTTTACCCCTTTCTCGCAACAGATGATGAATCTTAACTGGTTCATTAACATCTTTAAAGGAAGGTCCAAAGTTTCCTAGTTTACATATAAAAGATGCTACCTTCCCTGTTTTTCAATCATCAAATTTCCTTGTAAAATTAGTATACATAAGAATTTACAAGGCAACGAAAAGAAGCGTGAAAGAATATGGCAAGAGAAAGGGAGCACTGACCGGGAAATTGGGGTTTGGCGGAGGGTGGAGATGGAAGGGAGCATGAGCGGGGAGGGAAGCGAGAGCAGTGGATTAAAACCGCCATTGCGGTTGCAGATAAAAGTTGGATTCTCCAAAAAGGCAGTCCTCTATATTGTATGCGCATTGGAGGACATACATGACCTTGGAATTTTACAAAAGTTACACTTATACCATTCCATATTTTTTAACAGAAAAATTGATTTGAAAACGGAATTGACTGTGATTCTTGAGTCCATGGATTAAAAGCTCAAATCAGGTGGCGACCCTGTATAATTCTATTGATTATGAAGTCCAAACGCTTCCAACAAAATCATGGAATATCATTCTTCTAGAAAACAGCTAAAACTTTGTAACTATGCGAAGAAATCTGCTGGTGATTTCTGTCTTTAAACACTGATTAAGGTTTGACAAAAGTACATGAATTCAAGTATGGCACTAACCATATTTTGAACAAGGGAAAAAAATGACAATTCGGAGAAGGGAATTCTCTGCACAAGAATAAAACATAAGAGGAAAGATTATTTTACTAAAAATTTCCAGCCTTGAAGAAAAGCAAAATTTACAGATGCATTGCCAAGAAAATGAAAAAAAAAAACTTTCAAACACCTATGACAGCAAGCGAGCATAATGCTAACAAATGTATATATCATCACTTGCAAGGCTATTTGGCAGTCAGCCTGGTAATGTCACTGGGTAGTAGTATTTGGAAGTGATCAGTTAAGCCCAAGTGTGCCATCAGAAGCCAGACATGGGTTTGAAGCTGCCCTACTCGCCTTTGTTGTTCTCCGTGCTGATTTCCTTCGCAATGAGGTGCAGCATGAGCAAGCATTTCTACCCACGTATCATCAATTAAGCTCCATTTCTGCCATAACATAGTAGTAATAGATTCATTATTGAGATCTCAAGCTCCAAGATGGGGAGAGTGGAGAGTGAATAAGAATAAGAAGGGACTGATTTGATTGAATAGCCTTTATAGATTCCTTGGCAAAAGAATGTTCATTTCGCGCTCTGATTGAATAGCCTCTATAGGTTCCTCCAAATAGTAGCAGATGCCGTAGCAATGTGCCAAATCAAAATTCTTTCATCAAATCCTTTCTCCATGCTCCATTTAAGTTCACCATTAACATGTATTTAACAATGGGCAATTTCATTTTCCTTCATGTACTTCATAAAACAACTATGATTTTCTCTTATAGGTTATAAATAAATAAGCAAACAGGGCCTGCATTAATCACCTTCTATACAATTCTAATCATGTTGGAAAATCTAATGCTTCAGAAGCAAGCATGATCAACAGTAAGAGGTTTACTTTTTCCAGAACAGAAATGGTGGCTGGAGCATAATCTAGCTGGCGACCTCCATGATAGAGACAACAATCCGATCAACGTCTACTTCAACAGCCTTTTATTGCTGCCAGTTTTGATCTGTCAAATCTTAAATTTTATATTAAGGAGTAAACCAGAGTATTCAAAAAGAAAAAGAGGAAAACAAGCTTTGATTTTGAACAATCAAAAACCTATTATAAACTCACAATGGCATTCTCAACCTATGGTATTTTATATGTGAGGAAATATCTGATCTTGTTTTCCAAAGAAAGCCAATTGAACTAGCAAATTTGTAATAGATCTTCAACGAATGATTTGAAAATATGATCTCCATCTAAGAAGTCAAATCCTTTCAGTATACCTCTGGCAGCAAACAACATAGGTTCTGCAGTACTAGAAATGGATTTGGTAAAGCACTAAACTTCAAATCTCTTTGTGGAAGGCTAGAGCTATCTCTGGCGTCCAAAACAGTGAGAGTAAACCTAATTAGAAGGTTACTTAGGAGATGCCAAAATCACAGGGTTGCATGGGTCCAACCGACGTATTATCAGCGGCTGGTGCAACAAATATAATTTTATACTTAGTGCGGCTGGTCATATCGTCGGCGGAGAGGCAGTGAGTAGATACATCACTTCTATCTCTTGTTTGTAGGCATTAGTATGGATTTACTGTAAGTTCCTATATCACTTCTATCTCTTGTTTGTAGGCATTAGTTTGAGTAGATCACTTCTATCTTGAGATCAAGTAAAGCCTTGTTTCACCAATAAGTTTCCTACATGACATACAACACCAGTCCAAACAATTTAAGTTAGTGCTATCTCTAATTTAAGATGATTTGCAGCACATGATGCTTTGTCGTGGTTCGAATGCAGTTCATCCAATTTTCTTTAATTTTTAATTGTGGGCTGCAGTTTTGGCATCATGCAGAGTTCTCTCACCGAGGGATTGTTATCCCGACCAAAGCTTCATGCCCTTGGAACACTGTAAAGCCTCCAACTTCAAACTTTCGAGTTTCTGCTTCTTGCATAAATTACCATTGGTACACATTTTTATAACTGGGACACGATTTTGTCATTTGATCACGATCGTGATGGAATTGTCGTTGGAGATGGAGCTGGGACACATGATGCTTTATTAGTTTACCATTTGCTGTTGTATTATGGCTTTTATACAAGGAAAGAATAGTTTTGTCTTGCACATATGCTCTTAAGGTAGGGTCTCTCTTCCACAATTCCACATTGCAATTGTCCCTATGCTTCGCGGAATTGTGTCATGAACAAAAACCAGAATGCATTCCAACGTTTGGTCTCCGAGGTGCAAGCTACCCACAGCAAGAAATTCCACGATGAGCTCTTAAAACTATGAAGCACAGTTGAATCACCGTAACTTTGCTTTCACCCAGAAGAGGAGGAAGACAACTCCTAACACAATAGCAACAGAAGCCCACTTACGAATTAAAGCCTACAGGCAAATAGATGAAACCGATAAAAGAACTTTCAAACTTCAATGAATCAAGAAAGATTACAATAGCAATCCAGCCACATGAAGAACATGGAAAATTGGCTTGAGCTCTTGCAAGAGAGACCTTCATTTAAAAGAAAAAATAATACAGATTGAGTAGAAGGAAATTAAGCAACAAAGTTAATCAAAGCATCTTTCTTCCATGGTACTAATGGCAACTTCACTCAAACTGTACAACATAAATCAGATTTAGGTGCTAAATCCATTCTTCGTGATGATTTTTTTAACGGGTAGGGGGCATTCAAACTTAAAGAATGAATTTAACAAAGAAATACTTATATAACTACCTCATGCTTGTCTTCATGATAATCAATAAAGCCTAGAACTCAAACTATTGGTGCAATAAATTGCCCAATGATTTCCCATTTTTTTCCTGAGGTGCCAGTCCATGCTTAGGGAGTCATTGTAAGACTGATGAAGACTATCATATCAATCACCTATGTTTTCAACCAAGAACATCATGACATTGTGGCACACTATTAGTAACACCGACAAAAATGCCAAAAAGCAAAAGCTAAATGCCTAAACCCAAAAATAGGATAACCCAAAATAATGAGACTTCTTCATCACCAATCAGAGAAAACTAACCTGTCGATTTAAATCTCTTGCCTTGTCAGCATATATACGAGACTCCGATGTCAAACGACAGGTCATTTGACTGACCTCTGCATTATTCGCAAAAAAAAGGTGAAAAGCACACTAGGTTCGTCAAATGGTAATACAATCTAACACCCAGTGAAAAAGAAGAGGAAGAGAATGTTGCATATTGAACCATCAGTAAAGAAGAAAATCATTTAGGTTAGTTCAATTTGAGGGCAATACTGAGAAGCTAGCTAAGGCAGCAACAAGATGCAACCATAATTAACTTTGCCCTTGTACCACATGCAACTGCTAGTAGAGAACAAAATACTAGAAGTGAAGTTATTTAAAATTAATTGGCATAATGTGAATTGATAAACAACACTCCAGAAACACTCGATGAGAAGCAAAGACCAGTAAAGCAAGCATTATAGGATTAATGCAAATCAAAGTTTTATTAACAGCAAAATCTAACTATCAAAGGAACACAAGTTACAAAACCTTCACCCGCACTCACACAAGAAACACTGTATTTCTTTTTAAAGACAAATATATATTTATATATATATATATATATATATATATATAAAACTAAAATCATCCAGTTATCAGTCCATGTTCGAATGTGTATTATCTAATTGAGGGTAATTTACAAAAGTTAAAGTGGGGTAGAAAAAGTTACAGAAGCATCGGTCTGGTATCACCTACAAGGTTTTTTCCCCTTTTAACCGGCACATGCAATAAAACAGATGCATTAAAATTGTAAAAGCACAGTTACCTAGCTCATAATTGCAAAATTCAGCATTTATCATGGTGCATTTATTCAAACAAAATTCAATGTTAAAAAAAATGGCATAAAGTAATTCTGAAAGGAAAAAGAAATATCTTATGGTCCAACTTTTCCTAAACGCCAAGAACTTCCTGTACATTGCCAGTCATTATTCGGTGAACTTCATAGAGTTCATCATTCAACTTTGCAATATTTCGTTAAGCATGGGTGTCTTGCTACAATTTTTTTGTCTTCTGTTTGAATGTATCCTAAAGACAAATAAAGGACAAAATCAAGCCTGGTAAGAGAAGCAGAACAAATCAAAGTGGAAGAAATGCTAGTTGCATAAGAAAAGCAGAAAAAACCAAACACTAAACACAAGGAACCTACCAAATTTAATAAAGGCATAAGGCCTCGCAGCTGTTTCAATTTGAGCTCCATTAACAAGCTCAAATTCACTCCTGAGGTCTTCCAGGTATTGAAAGGCAAGTTTCTTAGGATAAGCACGGTCACACACTGTCATATAACAAACACGTCCTTCATTGATATAACTTAGAGCTTAGGTCAAAGTAACAACACAACTCAGATGCAATTGCACATAACACCAAAAACATGCAACAAAACTTTATTTCTTTCCTCAGAAAAAGTAATAAAGTATGAAACTATTTCATAGCTCGAGAAAAATGGCATCCAAAAAATAGACACGAGAACAAGGATACTGGAATACATAAGGGCCAATTTCAACAGACATCCTTAAAGCCTCATTCTGGCCTTTGGAGAGATTCTTAAACAAAGCCTTAACTTGTTGTTTGTACATTTCAGCATCTATCAGATCACGACATCGTCCAGTCCCTCCGCTAGAGGATGACCATCAGTAACACGGGCAGTCATTGTCATCTTCACCATCTTTATTCCCCTATTTCTCAACTACCCTAAATCCCTTCAAACTAAAATAAAAGCAAAATTAACACCCTTATTAGACATTGAGAAAAGAAAGATGCAGCAACCCATTAAAATTAATGATGACAACGATTAGAATACGACACTTTTAGAATGAAACCATTAAAATTGACCAAATAAAAAATATATATAAATTAACTCCTAGATTACTTAATTCTATAATTCTGATATTCACTAAACTCTCATCATTGATTCAAAACAAGATCGACCCAATACTTCTTTTCCAATCAAATGGTCACTAATGTAACCAAAGACAACCCATCTAATCAATATCATCACCATCTAACAAAGAAATATTTATTTATTTTCCGAAATTCCAACAAAACCCAAAATTTCAGTTTGAAGAAAAAATCTGAGAAGAAATTCCACAACATTGCAAAGAAAAAACAAGATTTCTTTCAAATAATTACGATCACATCTACAAATTGATACACAAAAACTATAGCTTTAATGAAATGAGCAGCTTATTACAGCATCTGTGTCTTGGATTTCTTCTTTATTTCATAAAATACGAGGAAACGACCGATGCTCAGACAAGTCTTAAGAGATAAATATAAACGGGAAGAGAAAAAAAAAGTTAAAAATAGCGTTTTTATTGTAAGAAAATGGAAAATTAAATGATGGGTTTTTTTTTTTTTAATCTAGTATTGTACTTTCGAGGTTGTCATGCGAAATTTCATTTCGAGTAGCTTTGAGTCTTAGGCAACATTTGTTTAGTTTAAGCATATTTGTAAGGAGAAGTTGCATCAAATTTGATCAAGAACAAGTTTGTTTGCTGCTATTAATCAATACTTTTATTTTAAAATATTCTTAATCAAAACGTTTTCAATCACCGTTTCCCAGGCTTTTCCACTGATGAAAAGTTTCTGGGAAGTCTCAAAAATAGAGGTGACAAAGGCAACCATACCTTTAACAAGACAAAAATGTCCGACCAGTGTAACTTGTAGTCATATGAACCATGCTCGGGAGATAGTAATGACATAAATATTGTGAAACCCAAATTGAAAATATCCTATGAACCTGATACATCCATTGCTTTGTTTGCTTAAAATATTTTTTTGGGTGTGAACTAATCATGTTATTCTTGAATTATCCAAACTTAGACTAAAAAAAATTTGATCTTTGTGCTGTTGAATTTGAACTGTTTGAGTAAGGAGTGAAACCAAATTTGAATAATTTAATATTTAAGTAGTGAATAGAATAAAATTCAAATAATTTAATATTCAACTCAAAATTTATTATCAAATTTATTTGAGTTTTTGTTATTTTTAAAATATATTTAATATATAAATATAAGTAAATGACAAAAAAATATGTTCTATGTAAATTTATAAAATCAAATTCAGTCGATTCAATTAAATTATAATCTAAGCTTAAACATAAAATATAAGAATCGATCAAGCTTTGAGACTCAAACATAAAATATAAAACTCAAATCAAACTTTGAGCTCAAGTTTTCGAGTCGAGCTTAACAATATATTAAAATCAAGTTTTAAGACTCGAATTTTCTAATAAAATCTAATAGTATAGGAATACGATAAAGGGTAAGGGAATTCCACCCAGAAAAAAGGGATAATTAGAAAATTGCAACTAAGATAAAAGCAATTTTCTTTTACTCCGCATTGTCAATAACTCTGATGAACAAAGAGTTCAATTTTTGATATACATCACATGGCAAAAGCATATTAAAAGGACAAAAAGAATGCCTCTGGACTACCAAAATCACAATGACTTGGAGCCAATAGGCGATTTCTTGTTCAATACAATATACAACATATCTGGACACAACTACAGAAAATTACTCACTAGATCATGAGGAAGGCCTCGTGGCTCCATGAAGATTTACAAGTCCCTTCGCAGATGTTATGCTTTTCAACTGTATCGTGCCTCCCTCAAGCATCTGTCTGTCTTTACAGCCTACTGCTCAAAGATGTGATTCCAAGCACTTATCCTGAACTTCCCCCAAATGAAATATATCTAGGCTTGGAATCGCTACCCTTGCTTCGAAATGATGAGAGTGAAAAGAATGATCGTGGTGCTGCAAAATCATTCCAGTTTAAGTATACCATTATGAATAAAGACCATGAATTCAACAGAAGAACAAACTAAAAGTTTCTTCTCAATAGATTCTCCAATGGTACTGAAGTTCTAAAATATGGCTCAAAAAGAAGTTTCGAAATGATTGTCAACAGCATTAGCTTCATATCATATGTGCTTTCGGTTAAGATTTTTCTAAGGCAAAAACGAAAAGACTGAGATTGCACAAAGTCAACTTTCATGTAGCATAAAACGAAAAGACTGAGATTCCACAAAGTTTAACTTTCATGTAGTATACTGCTTTCAATGGGAAGTTCTCTGGCATCAAATAAAGCCAGACTTGGTTACGAAAGGGGATAGGTTCACAGCAACAATCTATGAGACGATACCATTTGTTCAATAGAATGCCTTCATAAATTACTTCCAAGAAAGAGAAGCATTAGATAACTAGACTAATTTTAATAAGGCGTCACCTTTTATGGAGCTTCCAGACATATGATCTTCCCTTAATTTGAAGTTTGTTGGTGGTGCTGGAATAGAACTATGTAAGGATTGAGCTGCAAGGGACCATTAATGACTCTAGTTTAAAATCAGGTTCATATATACAACAAAAGAAATGGAAAAATTGCAACAATGAATAGAAATGACATGGAAAAATTGCAACAAGGAAAAGAAACATGCGTCATCAAGTTCAATTCGGAAGCCAAAAATATATTTAAAATATTTGCATATGTTTATCATGAATTTTGAGAACTGCAGACTTAAGTTTATTTCCTTGATAGTAAGCTTACTTCTCAAATATCCTTTGCCACTCAAATTATAACCTTCTTGACTAACATAAGATAGCAATCAACCAAGAGGCCTAAAGGTTACTTATTCTAACGACAGAGGAATAAGATATGCACGGGTTTCTCCTTTAACCAAATTGATTTTTCCTTTTCCTTAATCAATTACTGGAGAATGAACCCCAGGACTGAAGTAAACACTTGAAACTGTTTTGAATTCAACTCATTTTTGAAAAAGTAACTTATATAATACACTTTTATAAGCTAAAGCAGTTCATAAACAAGTCACTTTTCCAAAGTTGAAAAGAGCATAAAAGCGTATCCTAAAGCTTTGCAAGAAAGGCAAGATATTCTATGAAAGTAGAAAGTCCAAAGCAATTTTTTTATTATTAGAACAATAATTATTGAACAATTGCATTCAATCAATGACTACTCAAAATAATTAACAGATGAGGAAAAAATGAAATAATCAGCAAATAGTCTAAGCAAGTAACAACAAGGTAATTAACATAAAAGGAAAAAATAGGAGCTACCCTGATCATTGAACAACTCGCCTTCATTGAAGCCATCATCAGAAGGGTGGCCTTGAGAAAATCCCATCCTTGATTTCCTCAAATCTTCTGACAATCGATTGGAAGGATCTCTGCCATCCTCTGTGTCATCATCTCCTTCAGAAGTTGTAGCAGAGATCCAGTCCACCAAACCGTCTGTCCCACGGTTTTTCCGTCCAAATTTCAACAACCTTTTGAACCCTTTTGTCACATCCCTACGTGACTGATTATGGGTTGCATTAGCAACAAGAAAAGGTTTCTGAGCACTTCCCCATTTCTTCCTCATTCGAGCAGCATCCACCTCTGTTTGAGCGAGTGAGTGAGAATTCCAAGATGCAGGGCTCCCAATGGGGGAATCCATGGAAGCATCAATATGTGAAGTCTCATGGGGATAAGAAAATGGATGATGCAAGCGTGAATTCCATGATACAGGACTTTCTCCTGGTGAATCCTGCAGGGATACTCCAGTATGGAATGCAGTGGGCACTGCAGCTGGCAGTTCAGCAACTGAAGCAGGATCGACCTGAGAAAGAGACCTCAAGGAATCACCATTCTCAGATCCAGAATTATCCAACTTGTCAGATTCCTGGCTTAGTCTTGATCTTCCATATACCATGTCAGCAGAATCGTCAACCGCCATAGCAAGCTCATCCTCTTCATCTTCTTTGGCCATATCCAAGGAATCATCTGCTTCAAATGCTAGCTCATCAGACTCTTCATCTTTTGAAGTCTCAGATGCCTCTGATGCTTTGAACTTTGCAATATTTACTCCAGCATCAGGACCCATGCCATTATCCTTCCTCAGGAGAGGATTTGGTTCCATATTCTTCAAAATTTTGTCACTGAAGCTCTGTTCCATCTGCTCTTTATCAAATTTTAAAGGTGCCAAAACAATGCCATCAGAGTTCAAGGCAGACAAATCAGAAATTTCTACAAGTCCAGCAGAGCTTTTCCTAAGGGATTGAGACCTTCGAGGCTGTTCATCCTTGCCAAGATCAATCTCTTCATTGGTACTCTTGCTCTGAGCACAGTTTCTCACTTGGGAACGGCTAGTCATCTTGCCAGCTCCAGAAGACGGCTTTGTATTTTCTTTTCTGAGATTAGAGAAGTTGGGAACAGACTGCGCAACAGGATTTTCAGATTGTGCTCTTCGCCTTCCAGAACTGGGATTCGAAACTTTGGCAGCTGAGCGTGGAACAGCTGCTGGTGTAGTGCGAGGAGTGGATAAAGACACATTTTTATTTGTTAAAAGTTTCTTAGTGTTAGAATTCCTAGAAGAACCATCTAGTAAAGATGCCTCATTAAATGATCTATCCTGTCCATAGTACTTCTGATCTGGAAACTCAGAAAGATCTTCATCTACACTCTGAATTGAACTTATTGGATGCTGCCAAATGCATAACCTTATCAAAATTAGTAATAAATAATTCCATCAGAAGTTTTTGAGATTCCCGAAACTTAAAAATGAGGATCCAATTATACCAGTTACGAATTTTAGCATTTATTTCCCGAAAACATAACTGCAATAGCCAATAGGAGATACCTGCTCCCTCTGAGAACGAAAATTCAATGACCTCATTTTCTCTGCTCGTCGACGAGCACTAGAAACAGAATCCTCAGCAGAACCAGAAAATTTGGCCTTCATCTCAGCTCTACTTCGCTCAAGGATATCCTGCATAGCCTTCAATTTGGCTTCCTTCTCAGCCTTTCTAGAACCCCATTCTTCCCTCAGCTTTGCATCTCTCTTTTGCATGTACCTCTCATAAAATTTTCCTCTAGAATCATCTGAAAAGCTGATACCAGAGAAATTCTGCCTCAAACTGTCAGCATACTCCTGGTTATCTACAATCTTTGCTGGAGGAGTACAAAATTTAGCCATATTACTCAAACTCCCCATTGGTTCAGACATTGAGTTTCTGTGGGGCATCTGTTCATGAGATACATCTACTGCCACCAGTTTCTTGTACCGTGAGCTGGCTTCTTGTTCGATCTGAGCATCAGCAGGCTTGCTTCTCCTCGCAGAACTGAATTGATCACCAGGAACCCGAAGTTTGTGCTCTGCAAAAAGCTTTTCAAGTTCATTTGCCTTCAATTTTAACTCATTGTTCAGCTCCTGGTTTCCCCTTGACTGCCGTATCCTCTGAGATTGATCTACTGGCATCATTGGGGCATTAAAACTCTCTTTAATCTCAGGTACCTTTTTACCAATAACAGACTTGTTATTTGCATAAAAAGAACCACCTTCATCCCTCCTACCCTGTGACTTCTTGCTCTGTTCAGCACCTACTGGAACCTGTTTCTTGAACTTCATTTTATGGATTCCAGAATCCTCAACTTTGCTTATTTGCTTCTCAGATGATGTTAAGTCTTTCTTTCCCACTTCCTCAACTTCACCGGCCAAAGATCTCCACGGCAGATGAGGAGTAAACTGCTCACCTTCACTGCCTTTATACTGAGCCTCCTTAGTTTTTAGTCCAATACCACCTTCAAACTGCCCTGATAATGTTCGGGGGTGGCCTTGAGCCCTAAGATGCAATTGTGTTACCAATTGTTCTTTGCCTTGAGCCTCCACTCTATTCTTTAATTCACCCTCAGTTGTGGTGTCCTCCATTGTATCTGCAAAAACTCCAAACTGCAACTGAGAACTGGGTAGGTTTTTAACCCCAACAATCACAGCCCTATTAGGAAAAACTCGAGACTGAACCTCTGAAACTCCCCTCTCTCCTGTTAACAAACCCGTAAGCTTCTCCTGAGAAACCACTTGATCGCCCACCTCAACCTGTTCTGACTTACCCGTAAAAGACTGGTATTGGTTGTTCTGTGATCCTAATTGATCCTTCCAAGTCATCTGCCCCTTCAATCCCACATCCTCCTCTTTCCCCAAAAGATTACCAACCTGTACTTGCACTTCTCCCTGATCTTTCAAACCAGAATCAGCAGCTCTACCTGGACCATTCTTAGGTTCAACTTTAACTGAACTTACCTTGTTACTCAAACCCTTCTCATCTTTTTGTTCCTTATCCTCAGATAAACCTTGAAACACATTGCTTTTACCCGGAGACACGGAAGATGAGGAGGGTGTACACAAAGGGCTATCTGAATTACCATCCTTCTTGTCATTACCCAAGTCAATGCTCATGTCACTTGCACCACTCCATCTTCGTAACACAGCCTTTTCAGCAACTGCAGGCACAGATGATACGTCAGATGAAAGCCTTCTCAGTTCTACAGATTTGCCAACGGCAATGGGTTTGCCTCCAGAGCTTGAGGTCTGCTTTTGTTTGTTCTCAAAGAGATTGATCCTGTCCTGCACACTAAGCCGCCTAGCAGGTTGACCAATCTGGCTAGGTGATGACTCAATCACCCCCTCCTCTATCTTCTCTTCTTCCTTTTCTTCTTTTTGAGAACGTTGTTGTGTAGTACTTGAGGGCTTTGGTTGTTGAGATGTGGCTGGCTTTGATTGGTCTATATGGTGCTGGGTCTGCATAGTGTTTGGTTGTAGTCGTTCTTGGTGTTTATTCTGGAAAGGTTGGTGGGGCCAGATGGTAACATGGGACCCCCCAATTTGGTCTTGATTGGGGTCGTCGATTGACATGTCAGATCCCCATGAGGTTCTGACCACTTGATCATCAACACCTTGTTTCCATAGGCCAAGCAGTTCTGATCTTCTCTGGCACAGTGATATGAATTTGGTGCAAGCATCACTGCACAAGCATTAAAAACTTATATGAGAATAATTATTACTAACACTTTCTTATTAAAAAAAAAAAAGACTAATAGAAAAGTTAAGGTGATCTGAAACTCCTATACCAGTAAATCATAATCTAAATTATCTACAATGATCTGAAATTTTTTTAATTAAATTATCAGGTCAGAATCCAAAGTGAAGGGAATTAGGCCATATCTTACGAATTTATGATACCCACTTTGTCCTTAACAACAAGGACAATATGACAAAATTAATTGCAAAACAGTATAGCCAAATATCAGGCAGCATGTGATGATACCCAGGCAAAATTGACCTGCCCTTGTTACCACGAGTTGGCCAACATGACAGTGCCGTCCACAATTATGATGGAATTCCTCAGGTGTACTTTCCACCATCCATTAAAAATTGAACGTTGCCAGTCCTTTACCTTCTTGGTTTTCACGAAATAATCCACTTTGCAGAGGAACCCACTGCTCCCAAACCCAAACATTCAAAAGAAACCAAAAAGAGAGAATAATTTTGGCAAGTTTTCTAATTCTCAACAACTGAAATCATTGGGATGTTGGCAATAAACATGATGACAATTTGGACCTTCCATGCCCAAAAAATGGAAGACAATCATCTTTAAATTAAACTGACATGGGACAACTGGATATTTAGATCAGTTGATGAAAATTAAATAGAAAAAAGAATACAAAAGGGATGTCATTTTAGGACATCTAAATTCACTGAAGGTTGCCTACAACTAAGCACATGGTAAGATTTCATTTTCAAAATAGCTTAGAAGTTAGATGATGTTTTCACTAGGTACCATTTCAGGCACCTTTTAGACCTCTAACCTACTAAGATTATAACTCAAAAAAGCTTCACAAGTCTGATTAGTAGCTCAGCTAGCCCCACAAGAAGACACTAAAACCATGCTGCCATGAAACATTTTGGTTTTGACATTCAAGCCCTTTCTAAAACCATCCAAACAACTATGAAAGAGAAAAAAAAAAGGAAACATAAGTTCTTTCTTTGATTTGAAAAATCTATACATGCTTTAAAAGGAAAAAAATTATTTATAAAGGCCTGTGTCATTTCCAACTCCTCTATTAATCATAACATGCACAGTCAAATATTTACGGCAAACCTCTGACGCAAAAGAAACTATTAAGCACCCCGAACAGATAAGGTTACAACTCATTTGGACTCTCTAAAATTCCAAAAATAAAAAATAAAAAACCTAAAAGATTGAATCTACCATGTCAGACACGGTTGTTGCTAAACACACATATGGACTGAGATTGAGTGGCGAAATTGTTAAGAGAAGGAAAACTTGAACCAACAATTAATCCTGCATTGAATTACTCCTTTTCAGTCCTTAGTGAAAGAGCTCATGCCTTTTGCAATTTCTACACGTGATTGGAAAATGGATGAACATTACCAAATCCTTTACACTATGTTAGATAGGAAAGGAAAAGTGGTAGAAGGAAAATTGTTTGATGTAATGGTTAGGCTTGTCCACCTCCTTTCTTATATTTTGGGTAGCCATTAGATGAGACAATTTTCCATCGACTTTTCCTTCTTACTTACCAAAAGCTTGAAGATAAAACGAAGTCACTCAAATGTGGAGAGGAAAGCTAAAAGAAACATTGTCCCGTCTCACATTGTTTTCATACCAGGCCTCATCGAAATCAAGAAACAACTTCCAATCTCACCTCTAATGATATGCACTAAAAATCATCGCAAAAGGTGGGATTTACCATAAGAGACACACAGCTGCATAAAGACTAGTGTCTCCCCCTAACCAGGACCCACTCAACTATAGGCACCCATGCTAACATGAAAACTAGCCGGCTCAAGAGGCGGACAGACAGACAGACACACAGAGAGACATAGTATCTCATTGAAAAGGATTTCTAAAGTTCTTACTTCAAACGATGAGCACGGAACCGATCTGCAAAGTGTTGGAGTTCAGATACAGTATCAGAGTTAAAACCAGCAGCAGATGCACGAGCAAAAGTTGTTGCTAAGTCCTGCTGAACAGCAACAAGACGTACATCAATAGCCCTTAAAAGCTCCTTCCTGTGTAAATTGGAGATACAACAAATCAAATTAGAATGCATAGTTCATGATGCAAATGGAAGATCCAATTTTACCAATAACAGCTGCTTTAGCATGAAACTTTTCAGACACTCATAGTAACTTTCTGTCCATTTCCACAATTAACAAAAGCAACAACTCAAGCAATTCATTAACTGTCCACAGCATAGTTAAAATCAATATTTCCTAAGCAAAGCTTTACTCAACCAGCTCACATCTCAAGAGTGAAACTTAAATCATTTCAATAGTTTCTGTACAGTCCTATATAAATTTTACTTGGACAACTTCAGACTTCCTAACACGAGAAAAGGCAGGCCAGCCTTACACTCGTGAGTATGTCATCATGCATTAATCTTCGCATCTCTTATCATTAACTTTAACAACAATCCCTTCTGTTTCTATATCATGGAAAATGTCTAGCAGGTATAAAATTTCAACAGACATCAACTTAACAGTTTCAAATATGTAAGTGCAGCTTTAATTGATGCCAGAATCATCCACAAGTTTATTTAATCACAATTCAGCAAAAAAAAATTATACTATCATGGATATATATAAACACTAAAAAAAGAAATGGAGTTACTTTGTTGCATCAATAGCTGCTGTCATTCCTGCACCATCCCCACCTATCACAAATTATCCAAACATTCTGTTAGTTTTCAACAATGACTTGCAACAGGGTTTCAAACCCATCAAACAAGATCATAGACTTGAGATTTTACCCAAATACTGTCCATCTCAACCAAGCTCTAAAAGAATCACTACTAATAGTTGTATCAAAAATGGAAAGGCTAATTCAATTACCTTTTCTAGGCAGACTTTATTATACAAATGTAAGAGCAAACACAAGATCAAGCATCTGATTAATGAAAAGAAGCAAACCATCCATAATAATTTAAATCAAGGTGAATTAAAGCGTCATCTCAAGCCGCACCATAAACTGAATGCAGAAACATGAGATAAAACCACAATAACTTGTAAAGTTAGCCATCCAAAATAATTTTAAATCAAGGTGAATTTAAAGCATCATCTCAAGGCACGACATAAACTGAATGCAGAAGCATGAGATAAAACCACAATAACTTGTAAAGTTAACAATGTGGGCACTACACCAAACCAAGAACAAAAAGCATAAGAAGGCTCCTAAATTGCCCAAAAAGCCAATAACTCATATCAATTAATTTTGTCCAAGCAATGTCATTTTTAAAAGAAGAAAATTAGAAGAAAAGAAGAACCAATCCATCAATCACTGAAGTCAACAAAGCACAACCCTTTCAAAACAAAAAAATAGAAGACATTGACAGAAAATTTGAAGATCGTGCAATCCAACTGCTAAAACTCCCTACATGTTCCTTAAACCAAATTTGCTATAGATTTCACCTCGCTAACAAAATAATTGGACCCTAATTGCATATACAAGCTAAACTAATCTTAAGACTGAGCAAACAGCCATCATAAGCCAACTCCTGATTGCTGCTTGCATTTTCCTTCTTCTTTCTCATAATCTATTTCAATAATATGAGACTCAAACATAACAATCATTTTTTCAACAAGATTATAAGGCATTGATTAGGTGATAAGAACTTGAAGAAATCTATACAGAAGAATGACCACATTTCATAAATGCATCTGATGGTACAACATTAATATCATATTCATATCTCCACTGTAGTTAAGCTCACTTTTATATCATTAATGTTTTAATTCATATTCCCATAAATACGGGCCTTAAAAAAGTCATTCACATCTTCAACAAAACCATAGATGTATTCTACATTTCAATAAACAGCCATATATTTTTATTTCTAATGAGATTCATAAGCCACTTATATGCTTTACTAATTATGACACAAATAAATGTAATAAATATTGTATACACACACACACACACGCACACACATAGGCATGTTGCTGTATCATCATAGTTAATGCATTTAGAGATGTTCTAAACTTTAAACTAGTTCATGATATTATGACTTTCCATAATAAGAAGAAATCTTCACTTCACAATATCATGCCATAACTTCAAAATATCTACCACAATCCAAGTAAGAAATATATCAATATTTTGATAAATAAAAGCAATAACAAGCAGCAATATGTCATCAAAAACATATACTAGAACTAGTGAAACATAATTCCACATAATAAAAGATACATCATTACCTCCATCAAGGCTCATAAGAGCAAGGCTGATAAGAGAACAAAAATATTGAAGTTGAATGTTTCTGGAATCTAAAACTGAATCTATAACAAATAAGGGAATCACAAGTACCAGCAAACTTGATTCTATGTTGGAATAGAAAAGAATAATGAAATAAAAAAACACACCTAATGCACCAGATGGCTGATCTCCCATTCCCTGAAACATAAAGGTTCTGAGATTCATTAAAACTGTAAAGTAACAAAGCAAAGCTTCTGCTATAGATGAAGGCCATTAATACCTGAGAATATATTCTTTGAGCTGCTTCCAACTGAGACATCTCTGCATCATATGTGTTCACCAATTCCAAAACCTCTGGTGCACTAACAAACCGCACAAACCTGGAAACAAGTGACAATCATATCAAAATATGAAGCCAAAAATCCCCGCATGAAACAGCAAGAAATGCCACAGTTGTTGAACATGTCTAACCTCTCAAGTGTTCCTTTTGTGAACCACGTCTCGGCATTTTTACGCTTTTCAACTTCAAGCTTAATTGATTGACGTGACAGTGCAACCTGTTCTTCTGCCACCTTTAAATGAGTAACAAATGGTTTTACTAACCCAGAAGCAAGCTTTTCTGTGTTTCCATTGCTTGAAACAAATAAATCACATCTGACCCATAAGGAAAAAATAGCAATGGTTATAAATAGAAAGAAAATTAGGAATAATATCAAAAGTCATAGAATGATATCCCCACCTCAAGCGCTTTGGTGATAATTGGAACACGGCATAATCAAGAAGCGTGTCGGATTTCATCTTCTCTCTATGATATTTACAAAACTCCCTAGTCTAACCCCTTCACATACGCAAAAATACTTCTAAGCACAATAAGAAGCCACTGTGTCATAATCAGCATAACTTCAAATCATAAGACCTCAAAGCAACAATGCAAATTCTGGAGTAAAAAAATATTGAAAAACCATATAAATCAATAATAAATCGTACAAAAAAATCCCAAATAAGATTATATTATCTAATAATTTTAGTTACAATTAAAAGTTAACTTATTAAACCCTACACGTGCACATCAAAAAAGGAAACCAATACCTAAATAATTCACATTTCAAATAAAAGATTGGCATTATACTAAGAACAAAGTTGGAGTAAAGATAATCAGAAACCTCAAAAACTTCACCCAAAAAAAAAAAAAAGACCTACTAATTTTAGACCCCAATCACTTACCAAAAATAAACAATGGAGCTCAATCTAAAACCTCAGATGAAAAAGGAAAAATGCACCCAGAAAACAAAACTCTGGGCACCATAAAAGAAATTAATTCTTCACAGATATAAAACAGAAACAACCCAGATCTGATTCCACTCAAAAGGCCCAACTTCAATAACTAAAATAAACTAAACAATTTCCACTTAACCCAAGATAAAGGAATTGCAAATGCAAACACAAAGAAAACAAAATAAAAGCCACCCATTAACACAGAACAAATTGCATGGTAAAAAAAGAAATAATTGAACTTTATTTCAAGTGAAAATGGGAGTGTTGAATCGTTTTAAGACTCAAAGAGTTACCTTATAGAAGAAAAAATGGTGAGATCTTGGAAAAGGAAATCGGATCCTGAGAATCAACTCTCAAATGGGTACCTGCATTTGGGTTTTTTTCCTTTCTTTTTGTTGTGTTATTTGAGGAAATTAAAGAGTTTAACTTTATGGGGTTTCTTTTTTCTTTTTTTTTTTAGTTTGAAGAAAACTCCATAAATGACAAGATAGTTTTTGCTGTAATCATTTCTCAAACGGCAATGTTTTGTTTCTTTATCTAATGGTGGTGACTTTGCTTTCTCTCTCTACACCACTCTCTCTGTCCAAAAAGACGCAGTAGAGAGAGAAAGAGACAAGGTTTGAGACACAAATGCCGAGATTATGTGTTTCTTTGGACTTTTTTTCACTTGGGATTTTGAAACATGGATGACTATTCGCTACTAATGTATATTTACAAAAATGGTCTTCATTTTTTGTCTTTTTACAATATTCTCCTTTTCTTTTTAGCGGCTTCATATTTGAATTTTCTTTGATTTTACACAATTATTAGATTTTAGATTAGATCCAAAATATGAATTTTGACAATTTTTTTACTACATGATTTTAATGGAAAAGAAATAATTTGTTAAACGAAACCCTTGGTATAGATTATATATCATTTTTAAATAAAAAATTTTGGTCAATATAAATTATTATTTTTATTTAATTTGTAAATTTGATCTTAATTATATATGACAGTTCAACCGATCCCTAACGGATTTTAACTTAATCCGATTTCTTAAAGTCAATTTTTTATTTAAAAAATCAAGTTTCGAATCAGATCAAATAATAGTAAAAATAAGTTAATATCAGATTTTAGGTAAACCCCATCCTATATGTATTATTTTTAATTATTATTTAATTTTATATTTATATATTTATATTTATTTAATTTTATATTTATATTTAAAAAATTATATTTTATATTTAAAAAATAATATTTTATTAATTTTGGATCAGATTGAATTAAATACAATTCATATGATATTAAGTCAAGTTAAATTAAGGTATGAACAAAAAACTTTAAAAAATTATCAGATTAGATCGAATCAATTTTAAATGTTATAGTTATAAAGTTAGGTCGAGTTCAGGGTACAAAAATCAATCCCAACCCATTGCTATCTCTAATCTTAATCCCATTTATTTTAAATAATAAAACTTTTAAAGATGATTAAACTTCCAAGTTTGAAAAAATAAATAGTTCAAAATTGGAACTTGAAACCTATTCCAATAGAAATGGACTAAATTGTTATTTTCCATTTTTATAAAAATAAAAATGGAGAAATTGAGCATCATAGTTATTCTTTATCCACATTAAGTTCACTATTAGATTGTTGTATTAAATAAATCACTTAATAATAAAGTTAAGTCATGGCTAACAACAATAACAACACGATGATAAGCAAAAGAATTCACAATTAAAGCACTATTACTTTCGGTTGCATTGCTTTTGGACTTATTTAATTTGGTAGTTAGATCTTATTATTGTGTTTTTAAAATTTTTTTGGTAGAACCTAATAAAAAGAGATCATAAATTCTAACGTTCTTGTATTTATAATTTGGTCAAATTTAGAAACAACCCACCTACCGTCCATAATCTTCATAAACAAGAATGATGATCCCGCTTTGCCGAGGATTTTTTTATTTAATTTAAATAATATTTTAATAAATTACTTAAATAAAATTTATTTTGTATGTTTTAATATATATTAAATTTTAATATAAAATATAAATATAGTTTATTAATTGTCAAAATTAAATATATAATAATTATTTATTTATAATATATTATAAATACATTTGCAAATATAATTTATATGCATTTGTAAATATTATTTAATTATTTAATACTCGTCACGTGTCAAAAAAAAATATTTTGGAGATATTATTATGTATAACTTGTAAATTTCAACAAATCTTTTGGAGATTATTATTATGTATAGCCACTACAGGTGAATTTGGATTTCAAGGCATCACCAGTAACGGGGCTTCAAAACTCCATTTTGATTATGGATTATGGTTATTGATTACTGTTTTAATGTGGATTTGTTGTTTTTTGTAATCTTTTTTAGGTTTTATATATATATAAGTGAGTCAAATTTTTTGTGATGTTCTAGTTTTTAGTTATGATAGTATGATGGATTTTTGGCAAGATCTGGGTTGTGATCGATGATGGATTTAGGTATGCAAAAGTGATGGTGTGGGTTGGATGGTTGATGATGGTGGTGAGTTAGGTGGTGGCAGCAGGTTGTAGAAGACAGATGATTTCAGTTGAAAAAGGACACGTGTCAGAGGCTGTGGGGTTGATATGGCAATTATTTGATGGTTTGGATGAACAGTCACAAAGCCGGTTTGGCAACAAATTGAACAGCTTAATTTTGAAGGTATTACTTTTATATATAAGTCTAGATTTGTTTATTATGTATGTATATATATATAACTATATAATATGATCTCTTAATAGGAAGTGACAAATAGCAAAAATATATATATCAAAATCCACTGGCACCAAATTAATCTCTTGGCAATATTTTTTTTATAAATAATATCATAATTTGAAAATAAAAACAAAATGTCGCATGTGTTAAAATCTTATTTCGAATCTAAATATGTTAGATGTCATTTTTTACAAAGTATTGCATGAACCAATTTGAAATGAAAATTTGAAATTAACATAATTTTTTTATTTTTTAAGGATTTTATTTTTTAAGGATATTGATTAATTTACATTTTAAAGATACCTATCAAAGTTTGATATCATACTACACACAATACCAAATTTGTATTATTTTTGTCCTCAAGCAAAATCGAAAAAGATAAAAAGAAAATTAAACCCTTCAATCTTTTTAATTTGTCTTTTAATCTTGGTTGATAAGACTAAAATTAGGAGGAAGGGAGCAGAGATCATGAGCTATTAGAAAAAAACATTATGATTATTCCATTTATTTGACTTCATTTAACATAAGAGGTAGCAAAATTTGCATTAAGTAATGAGAAGAAAAAAAGTGGATGGTGGTTTAACTTATTTTCATAATAATGTAAAGGCATATATGTGTGTACGTGTGTGTATATATATTTTGCAAATTTACTTACGAAAACTTTATTATAATTTTCTTCTTTTGTTTTAAATGATAAGGTTTAATGAACTTTTTGTAATGTTACGAGCAATAAATCATCCATGTCGTCGTAATTTGAAGACTCCATCAGACCATTTAATCAATAAAAACAACGAACAATTTCTACAAAAGGTAATAATGTAATCGACACTAGCATTATTATTAAAAGTAATATCTTATTTTTATTTAAGATTATCAAAAATTAAACTTTGATCACTAAATTTAAAAATTAAGCATGCTACCAATATATAACACAATTGTTGGTAGTAATATCTTCATTTAATATATTATATATCATCAAATTATTTGTTAACTACTAAATTTATTTTAAGAATATATTTTTAAATATAACATTAGTGAAAATTTTTAATTTGTCAACAAAACCTTATGTTTTTTTTTTCTAAGTAAGGAAATTCGAATCAATTCCTTGACAAAAGATACATGTATTTATTATTGAATCAAATATTTAAGTGCACATGATTCTATTAAGGTTTAGTTTGTTTCACTAAAAATAGCTTTTTGAAAATTATTTTTAAAAAATGGATTTATTTCTTGAAAATTATGATATTTTATGTTATTTGCATGATCCAATAAAAAATGTTTTATGATGTTTGGATTTATTTTTGGGAAAATCAGCACTTTCATGGAAATAATGTTTTTTACATAACTATTTAAAATAATACATTTACACTTATCAACAATAACGACAACAATAACAATAATAATAATAAATATTAAATAATAATTAATAATTAAAAAATACGACACAATAAAATCATTATAATAAGGTCTTACAAACTTAGAATATAATAAAATAGTTTATATATTATTTTTACACAAAAGATAATCTTACAAAAGTTACAAACTATGTCTATAATAATATAAATTGTAGATTTTATTTAAATTAAATAGTTTTTAGGTGTACAAAATAGTTAATATTGTTCTTAGACATAATAAACCTACAAAAATCATAATTCGTCTCCACAAAAAAGTGCTTTCCATTCAAATAATATTAACATAACTATTAAAATATTTAAATTATTTTATATTTTAATAATAATATTTAATATTAAATTATTGTTTATATTAATATTTTAAAATACTTAAAATAGCATTACTTTTCTTGAAATATTATTTATATTAATATAACAATATTTTTGTTATTATTTACTATTTAATTTTAAAAATATTCACCGTTAAAATTGTTATATTTTATATTGAAAATATTTATTATTAAATTTATCAAATTTATTATTTATTTATTAAAATAGTAATTTAAATGTTTTTTTCAATAAAATATAAAAATAATATATTTTAAATTAAAACTATTAAAATGATTAAAAATAGTCATATTATTAAAATATTATTATATTAAACATTATTAATTATTAAAATAATACAATTTATTTACTATACAAAATTTATTATTTATTATTAAAATAATAATATAATATTTATTATTGTTAAATTAAATTCCCAGCTCAAAAGATTTTCATTTTTTCACTATAAAGCAAACATCAAAATCACCAAAATGTCACATTCTAACTTTGGTAGGACCAAGAAAGTTAGTGTTTTTTGACATTTGGTTATGCAAGAATATTATACTTGTTTTTTTCTTCATATTTGTGGTAAAAAAATAAATAAGGTTAATGTTATAAATGACACCTAAATTATAATAAATTATTTGATGTAGTATTTGAATTTAAAAATTTTTAATATGATATCTAAATTATAAATTTATAAATTAATATAGTATTTGAAAGTTTATTTATCCGTAACGTGTCATTACTTTAAATTAATAATATTATGAGTAATTATTATTTTAATTAATAAATTTATAATTCAAATAGCATATTAAAAATTTTTAAAATTTAAATATAATTTAAAAATCATTCATGACATTAACTTATAAAAAAGCATTTCTGTTGATATAATTGTTGGTCTATATTGATGTAATTTTTAATCTAGTGATTAAGGAGCTCACTGAAAATTAAAATGGATAATGTATCAGATTTATCACAGTGAAGAAGGGTAGACAGCGTTAGAGGTAGTACTCAATCTATGATGTCTTTCGATACTCAAACTAGTCAAATGTACGAGGAAGGAACCAAAAGTACAAAAATAACTATATATATTATAATAATTGTATAAGTCAATGATTTTAATATTGTCTAAAGATAATTAATTTATAAAATATTAGCAGTATTTTATTTACTTTA